ACTATCTAGATAGTTCTTCTTTACTTTATTAGACTAAGAATAGCCTCTAGCTTCCATTAGCAGTTGGTTTAGGTCTGCTAACAGCTCATTAAATGGGCAGCTGCCTTGGTGTAGGGTTTATAGTTCTTACAGGGCCTTCTTGCTTCTGCCCTAGTCAAGGAACATAAGATTAAGTTAGTTATATAAGCTATTTAATATCACTTGAGTTGTGTTTGGATCATTTCCATACTAATCTATCCAGGGGGCTAAGGCTACAGTAGTGTTTCCTTTAAGTCTGCTAAATATATACCATAAGCACCCATGGAAGGAACTAATTGCAGCTTGGTTAAGTAATAGCTTTGCCTGTAGCTTGGCATGAAAGGTCTGGTATGCAGCCTTATCAGAGCTATTATACATCTCCATATCAGGTAGTGTAGGCTTAGGTCTTTTTATTAGGTCTTCCACCACAGTAGCCAGTGGGGTCATCTGGGGAGTAGGTGCTATTATGGTAGCAGTTATTTATTATTCTTTGAGTTAAGCCATTTAATTAGTGATATTCTGTAACTGTTAGGCCATTTAGGCCATGAGATTTGTCTGCATATTGTTCTGCTGTGATGGTTGTTCTTCGCTAGGTCCTTCAGGGGATGTTGACATCCGTGATAACGCGTTGTTATAGTTCATGCTGTCTATATCACCCGTCTAGTTTGTCTGGTTCATCTAGTTCGTATGATTTATCTGGTTTGTCTGGTTCGTCTGGTTCGTCTGGTTCGTCTGGTTTGTCTGGTTCGTCTGGTTCGTCTGGTTCGTCTGGTTCGTCTGGTTTGTCTGGTTTGTCTAGTTCGTCTGGTCTGTCTAGTTCGTCTAGAGGTGCTGAGCGATTTCTAATGTCACAGGCTAGAAGCCAGTTCAACCTATGACCTAGGTTTGGACGGTAAGAAATCGCTAAGGGAGAAATCTAGCTAGGGCCGCGGCGGCCAAACATAAAAAGGAGTGTGCAAATGGTTCTTGCGGTCACATAACCGGGCAGATTGCTACATTGATTAGTATGAGGTCACGTGACCTGCAGCTGGTGTCCAGTTTGGACGTGACTTCGCGAGGGCTGTACGATTTGATCGAACAGCTCGAGCACCCAGCGGGCCCTGCCCGCTACATCTATAGAGGCAGAAAGTTTAAGAGAGAGGTAGTAATAGTCAAGCTAGCACAGGATATCCTTTGATTTTAACTGCAGCTAAAATCCTGTAGTAGAGTAGCAATCTTAAAAAGAGTATTGCTGTGAATTATATTCTTTAAATTCCCCTTTGACCTGTACAAGTTATTTTCTGATGATATTAGGTAGAGAATCAGTAGAATTAATTCTAAGGAAGATATTATAACAGAAGAGCAAGCAGAGCCTATGAAAATATATATAAAAAATAAAATAACTATAATAAACAATACTTACTCAGTCTTAGCAACTGGCTTCTTAACTCTTGGAACACAAACCCACTAGTATAATAAATAAGCTGCAAAGATATTAAAAATAATAAATACCTATATGTGTAAGGATCTACGTCTCAGGGTAGATGGCCTGTTGACTAGGTAAGAATTGGTGATGATAATCAATGGAAGAGGATGGTAGAGAGTAGTAGATCATATAAAATAAAAACTAATCCTTGTCTTTTCAAATACCAGACAAGGGGCATACTATTTATCTTCACTGTCTATCCTAGATGCATTCAGCAATGATTTGAAAGCAGCTCAAGGTGTGAAAGCAGGAGGTTAAAAATAATTAGGAAGCAAGGGGTGGCTGCATAATTAAGTAGCTAGGCTATAGCTGAGCCTTTATAATTATACCCCCTCTGGTTATAACAACTGTCCTCAGTCAGAGTTGTATAACTTTAAATTTTCCTAAAGAAGTAAATAATATCACAATAGTTAGCATAATGTAATGTTATTAATAGAGATAATTAATTATAGGGCATATATAATGCTTCTATTATATTAGCTTTATGTATTTTAAAATTTGTTATGTTCTTTGTTATTATATACTATGGTGTGATAGTAAATAATATTATTATAGGTAATAACCATAGTACATTTATCTTAATTATATCTTTATTTATGTTTTCTCTTCTTTTACTTTTATATATTAATGCTTCTCCTTTATATTATAGCATTTTCTTTAGTGTCGCAGTTACTTTTTATTTATTAATACCTAATATTTAAGTTCTCCCAAACCTCATGATATCTTATTCATTTCTACTATATTTTACTTCTTCTTTATGGTTCTTACTATCAAGTTTCATCATGGCAAATACTATTATTTATAGAAAGTACTAGTGTATGTGCTGCCTCTATACTGCCTTAAAGAACTTTAACCCCTAAGGGGGTCTTCCTTTTAAAGTTAATTACAAGCTTGCAGACAGTACTTTTATGAAGTATATATAGTATAACACCCATTATTCACTCTGCGAACCTGTATATTGCATCAGTCCTATGTATTATTTTAGTGTTAATAGTTGTTTCTTAGGCCGCGCCCAGTATGGCTGGGAATGCCCTTGACCTGTCTACTATTATTAAATGGTATACTAGGTTCTTCAATCCCTAGTATACCTGGGATCTGAGCCTTTTTGTGGACTTTTTAGTCGCTCTTCTTAGGCTTATTAATGCCTTTAAAAATATAGAGCAGAGCTACTATTAGTTATATAGTATTACAGGAAAGAAGAAGGAATAGCATGTAAGTTTCTGGGTTGATTCATCACTATAGCACTATCTTAATGCTAATGTTCTTGTAGAGCAATAAGTATAATAAATTCCTTAAAGGTTATCACACTGAATTAGCTCACATTCAGTACCTAAACACTAGGGCTACTGCTGATGAATAGGCTGCATATTATTTAGCTAAAGCTCTTTAACTTATGCCTGGTGATACTAGGTATATGGCTTGGGCTGCCTCTCTTCTCTTCTTTATAGAGGAGATTAAGGTGATTAGCATCTATTTCTATAGTAATAAAATAGTGGTTACTGGCTAGACTCACTTAGCTAACATCAATTAGTCTTTTCCTTTAGTACTTGAGGATATTTAAGTTGGTGTTGTGTTCTGCATTTATCTATTATACTTAGCCTTAGCTAAGCCTTCCCAGCACCTTTATGTTAGTTAATAGTAGCAATTCTTTTCTTATATTTCTATATTGCTTCTTGTGCATTAGTCATATCATTAGTATGGACCTACTAGTTATATTCTAAGGGCCAGTCCTTCCATTTAACCAAATAGTACTGTTCATTTCTGATGATGTAGTTATCCTTAACCTCTTTAACTTCCCATTCGTCATCATCTTCAAGCTCTGGCATTGGTAGTGATTGATCATGCTTTACCCAATTCCATGGTTCCAAGTATGACACATGAAAGACATTATGAATTTGATCATATTTTGTAGGCAAAGCAAGACGATATGCTTGTGAACCAACAGCACCTAGCACACGAAAAGGTCCAATAAAAGTAGGAGCTAGCTTGCCCAAAGTTCCTCTAGGCATCTAAGTAACTTAATAAAATACTACTAAGGAACATATTTGTCTCCTTAATTAGGTAGAAGCTGCAGTTAGAAGTCACTATTTCATCTCTAAGATACCCACCTATATTTGACATGTATGGATCCATATACTAGCTATAAGTCCTATTAACTAGGTCAAAGCAGAGATACTTATTGTCTGTGTAGGTTATATTTGTATTTAATATGCCTACTAACAACATTAGAGTTGCATTTGGTGCGGGTTCGGGCGGGTTCAAGCCTAGTTGGCACCAAACTGCTGCGGTTTCGGGTTCAAAATTTAGAACTCACACCAAACCCGGACCCGATGCGATTCGGTTGCGGTTTTCACCGCAAAACCCGCTGCTAGGCCTATACTAACTAACCATGGTTAGATTCGGTTCGGTTTCGGGTTGGTTAAACCGCTAATTTTAACTGTTTTAACCCTTACCATTCCCCCTTCGGGGACCCCTCTGACGCCCCTATCGAGCATGCTTATATTAAATTATGATTTTTATATGAAATATATGGTAATTATCATCATATTAATCTAGATCTAAAATATGAATTCAATATCTATAGGTTTGAATGGGTGGTAGTTAAAAAATCATTTTTAAATATGGTTATTGTCAACAGTCGGTCACATATATATATAAACTACCACTACTTTCATACCAACCTATGACAGAGATGAAATTCCCTTATATCTCAGCAACCACCAGGTATTTTTGATTAATATTAATATCACTAGATAGCCTTTGATTCAGGCTATCTAGTGATATTAATATTAATCAAAAATATCTAGAATTCAGTGATTTCTAGGTAAAACAGTTGCGGGTTGGTTAACCTAACTCGCAAAACTGCAAAAACCGTAACCGGTGGTTTTCACCGAACCCAAAACAGTTCCACCCTATGGAAACCAAAACCAGTGCGATTCCCTAGGCTAGGAACCGAACCCAAACCACTGCGAGTTCGGTGAGGTTCGGGTTCGATTTTTGCGGTTCGGTTATGCAACTCTAGTTCAGATTAAATCCTTTATAGGGATTTTTAACCTTCTTAGGAATTAAGTGTCATATAATCACCTGATCTGGATATGCTACTAGATAGGATAATTATTCATTGCAGGGGGTGTAGAGCCTTTAAATCATGTAAGGGTAGGGGGTAGGCCAAAGGGCGCCCTGTATGTGTCCTGCTGATATTAAGGGATTCTAGCCCCTTTTATAATTCTACCTAAGCTATGAAGGAATGTAAGAATCTACATGGTTATGTACATATTAATAACATCTACCAATATCCCCTGCGCACTCTTGTAGACTTAATCAAAATCACACATATTGGTTGATATCACATTAGCATATAGCTTCCCAAATCCATAAAGACAATGCTCTACTAACATATCTTAATACTTATTTCTCATTATCCTATCCTCATGACAACTATGTTAGTAAGTCTAGTAATGTATACAGGGCCAGTAGGATGACCTATTAATTTAAAAAAGATATCATCAGAGCAAAGCTAATTAGCGGTGGCCACCTGCGCCAGACGCGAGCCTGCGCCAGACGCGAGCCTACGCCAGATGTGAGCTTACGCTGTACATGAGCATACGCTATTTTTGAGCCTACACTATGAGGGGCAAGCTATAGCCTTCAAGAAGAGGCCGGTGCGAGATATATGGATGGTGAGGGTCACTAGCCACAGGGGAGATATCGTCTCCAGTCACTGGAACAGTCTTCGGAGGCATGATAGCCGTAATCTTAACGACACCCAAGACAAGAGGATCAGGGCTTGGCAATATGGTCATCCTGGCGCGGAAAATAGTAGCATATCCGCTGACATAAAATAATGTTGTGAGAAAGAGAAAGATAAGATACAAAGACCAACATCTCAGAAGCAGTCAATGCCAAAGTACCAGCCCAGGGTCTTACCAAGTATGGAACAACAAGGCTCGTCGATTAGACGGTGCTAATTTCTAATGAACCATGATGGGTCAGCAGCGACAGGATAATAATAGTGAGGAGGCTAGCTCTAGTAAGGTTCTTGAAGCATTTTTACCATGGCAAGGTTCTTCCTCTTATCTTCCTCTTTCTTGTTCTTGAGCTTGAGCAGCCTCAAGGCGGACAGTTTTCCGAGCGGCTTGGGCTCTCTGAACGCATTTTCACTCTTCCTCAAAAATAGAAGGTCAGGATATCATGAATTATATAAGCCAGGCACATTCTCTGGAAGCTTTGCGGCCCTGATAAACCACTTCAGACCACTAATAGTGGCAGGGACCCTTTCAAGACTATCCAGATCACCTAGTTAGATAGCAGCTTTAATGAACAACATAGCAATCTCTATAGAAATAAAGACATGCTATGCAGAGGTACTGGCAGCGCCCATTTGAAATTCTATCATTCCATTAGGACTGTTCAAGAGGTATAGGAAATTCCATCTAAACATCTTATCATGGTTAGGGTTCATGAGGAGTACCAACTCTCTCATACTGGAAGCCTGCTGAATGACTGCAATGGTTTGTTTTCATGTCAGATTTTTGTGTCTGAAATTCTCATTGTCCAACCAGTTGCTCCATGCATATTCATTTGATAGCCTCTCCTCTGGTAGAAGTGCTTTAAATGCAGGCTCAAAGTGTATAATGCTTTGACAGACCTTCTTGAGCTGGGAAAGTGTGTAACCGCCCTGATCAAGACAGGTGCATGCGTACCGCAGCTAGGATTTGCGCTAATCCGGTACAGTCATTCTCGAAATCGGCTTGACCAATAAACGCATGACAACTCGCGTCTTGGCCCACCGCCAAAGCCTTAGCGCAGATCATTTATGAGCGGGTCGCATTAAACTGAGGGGCGCAGTAAAATGCACTCTGTATGTTACAGTACCTTGTACGTAAATTTACACTATGCGCACGAAACGTCCGTGAAATTCCATGGAAACCTACAGTAGAGTAATGGCGGTAGCGGCAGTGTAGTTGAGGTTAGGCAAGCGGTCCTGTTTCGTCGGAGTTCAGGATCGATTCGGGATCAATCAACACCACCCTCCAGGCGAGCTTGCTGTCATTTACTCGGTCCAAATCAAGACGCTTGTGCCAAGGCTTCCCTTGCTCGCAGCCCGCACAGCACAAACAAAGCACGGCCCGTCCGCGCGACGGATCGCCGCGCTCTTCCCCCTCTCGGAGCACCACGCCCTAGCTAGAACCTCGGCGCCTCTGCCTGTGGCATTAATGACCATGACCTCGTCACCGTCCGAGTCCTCGGGAATGTGGTCCTTCAGCTGCTCGATCGACCAGATATTCTTCTGGAACCGCGGCAGTTCCCTCATGTGCACTTCGTGCGGACCCCTCGGGCCTGGCCGGCACGGCGGAGGTGTCACGAAAACGGGGTTAGTGAAGAGCTTGTACGTGATTGGGCTCTGGTTGTTGTCGATCTTGAACGTGATGCTCGCCCGGTACTGTGTCTCGAGTTCCACGTCGAGGTCGTTTAACTCCCCTTTCGCGGCTTTTTGGGCCACGCCAATGTCAAGCGCGAGCTTTTTAAGCTGGATGGATTTGATCTCGCAGGTGCTAATATCGCGGACGGGCGGCTCGGGTACGACCCAATTGCTTGGATCGCGCATCTCAGCTAGGTACTGTTGGATTTCTTCGCCGGGGCCGATCCGCGTCGCCAAGTGACGATCGTATCCGCTGTTCAGGTCCATGACACCCTCATCGGAATTTGAGCGGTGTTCGGTCAGGGCAATGCGTCGGGCTTTAATGCGGACATGTCGCGCACAGTCTGTCGGTGCTGGAGGGTCAAACTCGACGCGTGGGCACGGCCCGATCCAACCACACAGCGATATCACGCCGGGGAGACAACCTAGGACACGTCCCAGCACCGTTCTCAGACGCCAGTATGATCGTGTAGGTAGTGATAGTCCGCAGTCGTAGTACCGGCTGACCCCGGCCTTGGACTTGATAGTCGGCGTACAGAGAATCAGCGCCGTCATTATCTTGAAGGAAAACCACTTTCCGGGGAGGGTCAGGCCGTAGAGCCAGTCATGCAGGTTAATGTCGATGGTTGCCCCGCCCAGGAGGTTGCTGTAGACGTCCTCTGCATAGTCGCGGAGCTCGTTTATGTACGGCCACTTCATGCGTTCCGCAAACAAGAGAAGCCCCTCGACCTGCTGCTCGTGAATAAGTGAATGGAATTCGGTGGTCTTGCCGAATATCTCCCAGTCTTCGTCCAGAAAGTCGGCCCGCATATTATGCTGCTTCTCCTTGTCCTTCTCTGAGTTGATGGCTTTGACGGTCTCCGAGATCTTGTCCTCGGCGTTGGTCAGCCCCTGTCGCATTTGTGCCGTCGCGTCCTTGCCTGCAACTTCTAGCGCTTGTTCATATGCTTTCTTGGCTCGCTTTGGAAAACCCAACTTGAGAGCGGCCATGCCCAGTCGAGACCATGCCTTGGCATATTTGGGATCGATCAGGGTCGCTACATAAGCATCTTGCTGCGCGTCTTCGTATTTCTCCAAGCCGACCAGGGCGGCAGATCTGTTGGACCGGTAAATGGCATTTCCGGTGTCTATTTTAATGGCCTCAGTGTAAAGGTCAACAGCTTTTTGGTAGTCGTTCTTCTTCAACGCATCGTTGCCCTTGTTCTTGAAGTCTTCCGCCTTGGCTTTTTCCGCCGGCGCCACCGGCTTCTTGATCCCGTCGAGTGACGGCTTCGCATCAGTGAGGATGATCTCAACATTCTTCAACCACAATTCCGAGATAATAAGTGTTGCCAGGATCCGATTCGTGAAGCCTGTGTGCGAGCCCGATCCTCGCCGGTATTTCAACCGGACTGCCAGCTCCCTTCCTATAATGACCTGCCGCAAAAAGTTCCAACGCCCAATATGCACATCGTCAGTCGGGGCTACCCACTGGGTCCCGACGCTTGATGTAGTTGTAAAGTCGGCGAAGATATCTGTGCGGTTAAGTAGGCTATACAGGTCGCCAATCCTGCGGTCTGGATCCTGTGCAGCTTTCTGGTCGTAGTACACGATCCTGTTGAAAATGTAGTCAGTTGAGCCCAGCGTGGAAACATGAACACACGTTGGATGTCAACGTACCCCATACTTCCAACAAACTCTTTTAGATCGAGCTCCTCCTTAGTTGGGCTCCATCCAAACTTGACTTGATGTTTTTGCAGCTCGTTAAGCCTGCGCAGTAGCTTCCTAGCGGGCAAGACCGGAAGGTCGGCATAGTTCACTATGATTGAGTTCTCCCTAGGTTTAGTCTCCTCAAAGTCCCAACACTCCAGTCCGTAGCCTTCCACAGTGACAGTTCCAGGGTTGATGTTCTCATACTTGGCGTGGCTCTCGGGGTCAAGCAATGAGTAATCCTCAGAGTCGAGCGACTCATACTTATCTCGTGACCACTTCTTCATAAATTTCCTCTTCTTATACATCTCTGCAAATGGTTAGCCAACTAGACCTGGGAAGAGGCGGATCAAAATTACCAAATGACGCGTGATTCGTCGATACAAAGCCTTTGTCTCTATCCTCCCAGTAAAGGAAGTCTCTCTCTTGCTTGTGACCATCCCAATACACATGGCCGGACACGTGCGCCCCATAGTAGGGCCCTATGAGACTAACGGTTAAGGCCCCGACGCTCCTCTTTTGCACATACAACTCGACCTCCCTCAGTCTTTTAGACAGCTCGTCCATCTCTGGCGCGGCTTCCGTAGCTGGCACTTGTGCCCCACCCTGTCGACCGCCTAGCGGTATTTCTTCATCAGCTTCTTCCGGCTCCTGTGCCGCGACATCCTTGGCGGTCGTCTGGCTATCCCTATCATCGCCAGTTCCGGAAAGCAACTCGGTCCTGGCGGATACGGTTGCACCGAGCGCTTCAAGCCGCACGCTGGCCTGTTCCGAAAGCCCCACATGGTCTCCAGCCATGGCCTCTTGCAACAGCTGCAACTCACGCACTTCCACGGCGGCATCAATGTCGCCTCTCATGGCCTCAGCAATCTTCATCTGCGCATCGGGAAACAGACTCTCTAGGCTATCGTTAAACCCGCGCAGCTCGGTGACAAGAACCTCGAATTTCTTGCAGTCGCGCACCGCCCAGATGGCCTTGCGTGCCAGGGTGGTGCCTCGCTGCCGCTCGCGCGCCATTCGGCGCAGGTTGTCGTACGCGCGCTTGAACACCCCACCCAGGATGCGCTGGCTCTGCGATGGAACAATTTGTCCTTCGCCCGGAGCCAGAGCGGGGTCGAGAGGCTGCAGACCGTAGTAGCCCTGCAGGCGGTCGGTGTTCTCAAACACATGCTGGATGCAACCGAGCAGACGAAACACGGCGCCGCGCACGTCTTCACGGTACAACCGCGGGTCCGCACGCACACCGCTGAGGCCGACGGCATCGCCCCAACACAGCAGGCGGACACGCTCAACTTCGAACTTGACGTTGAGGAGCTCGTATTCCATGCCATACTGTCTTGCCGAGTCGACGACCTCGTAGACCTGGACGCAGGTTTTCCAGAGCGCGGCGACACCAAGGACGAGTCCGGCAACATCAGCCATGATGGAGCGATTTTATGAACAGAAAATCTTGTGCTGAATAATCCCTGCCACAAGGGATAGTTTTAAACTCTGTTTGAGATGTGCCTGAGGGCTTCCTAAGATGTTTGAAGGTGCTGTGTCTGCCCAGGAACTGGGCGCGCCTGCTGACCTAGCTGCGCCACGGGCCGTAATTGGTTATCACCTACTCTAAGGCTCTCAACTTTTGCGAAGATGATCAGTACGTATGCGGCGCGCAACAAACGATCGTCCACGTACTGTTGGACCGTCCAAGGCTTAGAGGATTGCGAATGGAATTAAGGAGAGGAGTTCGGGATGCGTTTAATAGCGTGTCGAGTCTGCCGGGAGGCTCAACGAAAGTGAGAAAGATAAACCAGACGCGGGGTCAAAGCCCATGCTAGGCCGCCGAAGCGTCACACGAAGCCGCACGCCACGAGGGCGGCCTAACAATGCGGGTGGCAGTTAGGCCACGGCAGGCCTTGATGAGGCTCTACATAAGATTGACATCGTGCAGGTTAGCAAAAAGAGCTGATGCTACGAGGCAGACGTTCTGGAAAGAAGGCACTGGGGCCTATCATCTTGTCAATTCACAGAGATCCCACTACGGTGTTCCATGGAACTCACGGACTTTTCAGACGCATAGTGTATGTAATATTACAGGAACCCCCCTCAAACTAAGGCGAACCACTCAAAATGATCTGCGCTAAGGTTTTGGCGGCGGGTCAAGAAGAGAGTTATCATGTGTGTATTGGTCAAGCCGATTTCGAGAATGACTGTAATTGGCGGACAAAAATCTCCGAAGAAAATTGGTGTGTTCACGGCATAATGAATCATTGTGAGCCCGGAAAATCGGGGATATGCTCTCAAGGCCCCTGTGAAGTATGCCATTAGCAGGAGAAATAGCCAAAAAGATGAAACTCTCTACTACCAGATACAAATGCATACAGGGTGCCTGGCCTTTGTTTGGCATATCAATTGTCGAATCCGAGTCGAGGGACCATTCTGCGAATCGCGGCCCGAGGTATGACTCGTTTATCGCATTGTGCATACATGGATGCTTGTCTAGAGCATACCGCGCCAGGAACTCATTGTAGGCAGATGCGACAGACTTGGAGAAGGCCCAGATATTACTGCTGGTAGTCATTCCATCGCGAGGTTCTAGCAGGAATTCAACCTCTACTCCAATCCCAAAGCTTCCAGTAGGAACATTTAGAGTATCTGGGACAGTTACTTTACCTGCTAGAAGCAAGCGCCCTTAGCATGTAATCTTAGAGGCGTTCCCGTGAACTTACATCCAGGTAGTCTTCGTGCTGCGGGAGGAGCGGGAGGTGGGGGTGGTGGGGGTTATGTGCCATTGACAGAACCTGAAATATATGTCCAGCTCAAGATTTTGGGAGAATGAAAAGACTGTCTGTTTTGTGCTACGGTTGGCTGCGATTCAGATCAGCCAGGAGGAGAAAATCACTTTAATTTATATCACCAAAAGGGTAGTGATGCTGAGCATTTTCAGGAGCACAGGAACACATGTCAACTGGATTATTACAGTCAGCACACTAAGATTGTAAGTGCATTCCCTCATTTCGGCGCCTAGAAATATGATTATGAAATCTGTGAGATGATGAGAGTCAACAAACGCTGTTTCCGAAGCATGTCTGAGACAGAAGACAGGGGAACAGCTTCGGAGAAGTTTTGCTAAAATTAAATTGAGGTGCTTGGCCATCAAGCTATAAGAGCAAAGACAGCTGGATTAGATCCTGATTGGCAAGTAATGGATGGTCGGGTGTTATTTCTACAAATAATCCTGGTGGCTTGTCATAGTTGCCAACCGCCGATCTGTACTTTGGCGGCAACAGTATTAAATAATCACCATTGCCTAGTCAGGAGCAAGCGTCTGAGTAAGAGCGACTTTTCACAAGAACATCTTTCTTGATACAACATTCTCAGACACAGCTGCGTACCCATGATCCTTGTCTTAGGCTGATTATATCATTACCTCTCATTTATTTGTCGTACGCACTCCATCTACGGTGAGCATGGCCAGTTCAAGGCTATCAGAAAGAAACCCTCCTTCCACCCCGGGCCCGCCACCTCCACCTTCGAATCCTCACTCAAAGATATCTCCCTACGTCCTGAAGCTCAGGAGCGAGCCGCCTAATTTAGTAGTATTCTGCGTGTGCGGAGTTTAGACAAACTATTATCTAAGTAAGGGGACAGGCCCCCAGTGGGGGTATGCTGGTGGTTCAGAGTAGTTCTGCTAGACAAGCCTGCCCAAGCTAACTCTGTGTAATCTATTCCATCTCCTAACATATAGCTCCTTAATACAGCTGTAACCACGCACATGATGCTAAATAGACATGATTTTCTCACATACCAAAAAGTCTCTAAGGGGAAACTAGTTTATAATGCAGGCAATCATTCCCATCATGTTGTTAGCATTAGAATAGTAAAGCTTAATATGCTAGTAGGCATAATTAAAGCACAGGATGTTTAGCATATCCCTGGAATCCATGCTTCACTATTATCCTTTTCTCTTCTTAATGCATAAGCATTTGATATTTCCTGAGTAACTACTATTTCCAAGCACTTCCAAGTCACATCTCCAGATAATTTATCATTCCAATATATGCAAATCCTACCTGTGGCACATTTCAGGTCAATACTAAGGAGAATTTTCCTGTATACGCAGCCACTACTCGAAAGTCACCAGAAGACCAACCTAGCAGCAAGAAAGACCAGTCCTCTACTCCAGCGCTCGCGATGGTCGGATGGCATCAATGCCTCTGTCATCTTAGTTTCCATGACGTGCTCACACTAGGAAATACCGGTACCATTCGCATTAAAGGCTCAAACACTTTTTAAGCGGGCTAAAATCACCCACGTCAAGCGGTTGAAGAAGCTGCGAAGCATGGGCAGGCATGCAGAGACAGGTTATTGCATTCTGTTTGCAGAAACCATCGAATTCAGCAGTTAAATGGCTGCTGTGGCCGTCAAGAATAAGCAACCACTTAGAACCAGTCATATAGCGCTTAGAAAATGGTTCAAGGACATTTTTCAGCCAGAGAAGACCTATTTCAAGGGTTGTCCAGCCATTCTGACTAGTAGCATGTAACTAGTAGCATGTACATCAAATGAAGTGTTACACTAGCATAGTCGCAACCTTGGCCTAAAGTCAACTGTTATATCGGCCAATATTGCCTCATAGTCGATGATTCATAGGTACACCAACATATTCTTCCTTGTCGCATTACTGCTTCCGGAGTTGTATATTACTGCTGACCGTATACTGTAAAGGATTAGGCCTATCGAGGCGACTCTGGGAGAGGCCCTCGATGCCAAAAGCCAACCGCTTCGCTATTTGATAGCATGATGCATTATAGCTCGCGCCTAGAGTAAGACCACATCCAACGTCAATGCATATATCGCACCCTAGTCCGTTCTCTGTGCCTGTTCATATGTCTAGTAGAAGCTTCAGGCGTATGGTCCGGGTGATTCCGGGCGACACTACGGAACTCGCGCGAAACAGCCAATGCCCTAGTCGGCGAAACTGTGTGCTTCTACTCGAATGGTTCATTCATTCTCTATGATGCGACGCTGGAGGAACCGTGGTCACGTTTAAGAAATTCCGAGCCGGGAGAGAGCTTCCCACTTTCGTAAGGGTACTTGCCACCTCCCAAGGGGAACATCTCCCTGTCCCAGGAGCTCTTCCGCAACAGACAATGAAGGACGCTTCTAAGTTTCTCGCCTATCCCATGAGTTCCTTAGGCTCGCACAAGATACCTTAGCCTAAGGATACGAACCACAAGATAAAGGGAAGACCAGAAAATGCTTGGTTGGAGGCGCCAAAGAGATTCTCGGAGCAGCTTCCAGTCCGGAGCCGGACCTCCATTCAAGTGTCTCTTGCAACCCGCACATCATGGTATCTCGCGCAGTCCTTGAGCTCCAACAAATTCTATGTGCTTCCGTGGGCAATCGTGTGCCAGGTCATTGATCTCAACCCTGATAATGCGTGGACATACCATGGTCTGGTGCTTGGGGGTAGCTCGTGTTCTCCTTTGCGGAAATCTTGGTCGGCGTTTCAATTTGGGCGTGGGGCTTGCTGAACGGGAAGTTGAGACCCGGTGCGCTATGAGTTCGGGTCCCTTTTTGCACCACTAGTTCCCCATGTTAAATAACATGAAGGACCGGCCAAAACCCTTATTCCTTAACGACGCCAGTGAGTAAATCCATGATCATATCGCATAAAATTCCGACGGTCGAGTCTGCCTCTTTCTGACACATGACATGACTGGACACAGCGATTGAAACATCCAGTATAGAGGCGAAGGGAGCCACACAGACGTTTGCGGTCTCACACGGCTGATTCGGAGTCGTAATCTGTTGCATCTGACAAGGAGTATCTCCCAGACGACAGATCGGATGCGTATCGAAGTTCTGACACCGGACAAAGCTCCCAAATCGCGTACCCGGTGGCCATGACGTGCAGTTACGCACGATCTGATCATATTCAGTATTCCAGCACTCGATCGTATCCCGGTGCTGTTGCTGGACCTGGCTAAGAAGGGCCCGTTTTGTCAGTGTCCCACACACACGGACACGCACGGGGATGATATTCAAGCACGGTCCAACTATGCGATCTTCATGCGGGATTCCCAGCAGCCGGCCATTAACGACTTGACCAAACACAATATCACGCGGCGCGGCGTCTGGAAAAATACGCGCCAGAGTTAATGCCCAAGCCGCTTTCACGATTGTTGCCAGGGTGAATTCCGCAGGAAGCTTAACATGGGCTACCTGCTTGCTTGATGTTATTAGTCGAGGAGAGTCTACTGTGCCTTGTTCCGCGGTCGGTGGGCGCGGTGTGACCTTAGCAATGTTTGACGACTGACTATCCAACCTTGTCATTGATGAGTCTGCTAACAGCTTTCTCCAGATCCTGTACGCTTCAGGCCCGCTGCTGTGCCGTGCGACACGGGCATGCACTGAGAATGGAGTCGTAGGAGCGAGTGACTGGCCATTGTATGAAGCAGATAAATCTTGGGAGATAATCGCCCAGGAGAGGCCGTCCATCTGAGCATGCACATGCCGAATAAGAAGGGTATTTGTACCATCTGGTAGTGCCACTATCTGCACCTGCAACAGGGGCAAGCCGTTGGTAGGCGGAGTAGCCAGACCCGCCGAGTCGTCGCGGCAATGCTGGTCGAGACTGTCGGCAGACAGGTACTGGAATCCAACACTCATGCGTTTGAGCACAACTTGTACGATCTCCTGGCGGCCATTTTTGGTCAAGGTGAGAAAGACTGTGCGCAGACTGGAGTGCTGATCTACCAGTGCTTGACAGGCCTTCAAGAGCCTGCACCAGTCGACCTCGGGGGCAACGGGATGCTAAGATATCGGTAGTTCATATTGTGAAGACTCCAGCTTTGAAATGCCGTCGTGTGGACAATTTCATGCACATTCTCTGATATGTGAGGAGGTAATACCATGCACAACTCCTCATGGGCTGTTGTATGTTCACGAGCGTCCGGTGCGTTTTCTTGTCTCCGGACAAGCTTCCGGGCTGGGGTAGGCTCGTGGCAGACCGCGACAAGATCGGAAAGAACAGGGTGATCATAAAGGTTGGTGATCGTAATCCTGACCCCTTCGCGTCGGGCTGCTGCCACCACATCCATTGCCTTCATGGAGTCTATCCCCGCGGCGAAGATATTCGTGCTCGGATGGATGTTTCCAGGCTCAAGCCCCAGTAGATCTGCAACAATGCATTTCATCGTGTTCAGCTGGCGAGCTTTTCCCGGGGAGCAGATTGTAACGTCGGCCTTGACCGAGATATGGTGTAGTGACTGGCTTTGCTGCTCAGGGTTGTACTTCTTCCAGTGCTCATGTGCGGTGTGACATCTTGGTGCCCTTTCTAGCAATGCATTGCGATCCACCTTGCCTGATAATTTCCGGGGAAGATCCTGCATAAAGATAAAATTCGCGGGAACGAGATTCGGTGGTAGCTTCATACTGAGTTCTTGTCTAATAGTGGAGACGGTTTGCCAACATTTGTCTCTAGGAACCTCCAACGCTCCATCCCGATCCACCAAAATCGAGCGATCCCGCGAAAGTCTGCTGCCTCCAATAAACGCAACCAGTTTGGTAGTGCAATGCCCATCCATGCTGGATTTGGCCGGGATGACGGCCACACACGATATCTGGAGCTTCTGGGCCTCACGACAGCTTTTAAGGCAGTTCTCTATCTCATGGACGTCAATCAATTGGCCATTGGCTTTGACAACCTGAGCCTTCCGTCCAACGTATATAAGCGATCCATCAGAGGTGTACCTGACGAGGTCACCCGTCTTGTAGAGACGGCCGCAGTCGGGAGTTGGGCCATCGACGAGGCGACTCTGCCATTCAAGCGCATCTGGAAACTGGGAGGCAGTGTCTTGCGAATTCTTCAGGTAGTGCCGGCCAAGACCTGTCCCCTGAAGCACTAGCTCCCCAACAGCGCCAACGGGCACCAATCTGTCATGGTTGTCCATATTAACCACCCAAAGACGAGAGTCGCACGCCTTGCCGAGATTGCGAGGATCGTGGCCCGGAAGGCAGTTCCCGACCATTAGGGTAATCCCTGCTGTCTCCGTCGCTCCAAAGCCTAGAATCAGCCGGACCTTGGAGGCCCAGAGTTTAATGAACCGAGGATCCGGGGACTCACCCCCAACCATCAGTGTCCGTAGACTTGGCACCGAGTCAGGGCTTGGGATTCTTGAGATGGAGGGGCAGAAATTGGCGAACGTAACCCGGTGACGATTGATAAAGCCGGCAATATCGTTGATACGGTCTCTTTCGGAAGGGATGCAAAGGCATCCGCCCAGGAACAGCATCGATAGTATTTCTCGAACACTCATGGTGAAGGCGTATGAAGAGAACTGCAAGCGTCGCGTCTTCCCACTCAGGCCGAGAGCGGGGGCCGTCTTCAAAGTTGTTTCGCAACAGGCACGGTTCTCCATGATGACACACTTGGGTCCCTTGGTACTACCTGAAGTAAATGCTGCGTACAGCGCACTGGACGGCGTGCATCGCGGCTGGGGTAACCGGGGAAGTGATTCCGGATCGGCCCAACTGGAATCGAGACAAACCACCTGCTCGACTAGTCCCTGAGCTGTGGGTTGACATTCCCGAGAAGAGACTATAACGTGCGCGTCCACTTTGTGGCATACCAGATGTAGGGTCTTCATGGAGAAGTTAGCATCCATGAGAACAAAAGCTCCTCCTGTCTTGACCACAGCAACAATGGCCACGACAGCCCATTTGGACTTTTCGAAGTAGACTGGAACAACCTCCTCAGGCCCAACTCCCAGCTCGAGTAGACGCAGAGCCAGGAGGGACGATCGCCGGTCCAGCTCGCCGAATGTCATCTCTCCGTCCCATGCGGAGATTGCGGTGGCATCCGGGGTTGCAGAACATCGCTGCGCGATGATATTATAGGCACATTGTTCCTGCATCAACTGCATCCCAAAAGGAGCATTCCAGCTGCACATTCGACGGATATCCTCGTCGCTACAGACGTCCATGTCGTCCACGGTTTCTCCTGTTTTGCGAATGATCTCAAGTATGGTTTGGTGCAGGGTGTTCGCTACAGCGCGGCCTTGTTCATCCGATAGCAGCGCGTGGCTGTACTTGATTGATAAGGAAAGGACGTCAGCGTCGTGGTCTAAACTGAAGCATATTGTGATTGGTACCTAGCAAGATAGTGAGTGAGTGGGGACTACACATGCTGCATTATTTTTTTCCGAGGGAGTCAGTCACGTACACGTTCCTCCCGCAAAATATTGCTCGTCTGAACCGCGTCTCGAGCAATGAAAACACAGGTGTTGGAAACTTGTTCCCATACCCCCGCATTTGTCTCTATACCTCTACACGTACACCCACCGACCGCGTCGCTCTCATTGCGCAGAAGCCGACGGACCACCGCTGAACCAGTTATATGAGCCTCGTACGGCCTATCCTCCTGACCGTGAACATGGAAGCAGACATGGTCGGCCCCCGTATAGGCCCGTAGGGCCACCGCCCATGCCGCTCGTAGAAGCGGCATTGCATCCGTTCCTTCAGCCTCAAACCACTGAGATAGGGCGCGGTGTCCGAGGCTTTCTAAACGCCGTGATGTACTTCCGTATGTGTTTTGTACTGCCTGGACATTAGAGGTAGGCTTCTTGAAGGAAGCCAGCGCTGGGAAAAAGCATCTGGGTGGATTCCGAATCGAAGTCATGATCTTACTCGAGTTGGTGAATATAGAAGAGGAATGCTTGAGTTCTGGAATTAGGAGTTAGATGGCCAAGGGGTCGGCGTGTTTCTTATACCTCAATTAGCGCCGGATCCAACTCAGCTCATGTACTTTGCCGGCAATTGCACCTAGCAAGGGATCGACCAAGTTGTAATGGTGATGCAGACGTAGGTTTGACTATCCTGCAAGGAAGGGAGTATAGTTTGTTGGCATTGGAGATCGTATGCACGATTGCAAGCACACGTTGTACGCGCGACTTGACGACGTCACACCGCCACTTACACCAACAAATTCACATCTCAGAGTATCAAGTCTAACAGCAAGTAAAGGCCAGTTCTACGCATGTCTTATGGCCCTGAAGCTCGGCTTCTCGATCTACATCATATGCAAGTTCGTCTAAGAAGACTGCCTCTGTACCATCCAGCAATACCGCATCAGCCACCTGCAGGTGATACATCCAATCCTCCCCACGCTCGATAAGCGACCCGAAACAGCTAAGTATGACCTCAACAGCGTGCAAAATATACTCAGCGCGGCGGCGCCACTATCCCGAGAACTGCAGAACAACATCCAGAGGCGCTTGACCACAAAGCGACACAGACCAACCTTCAGATTTGGAAGCGCGCCGCGTTCCTATTAGTTAGGCTGCACTACTCCTATTTAGGCTATTTAGTTGTCAGGAGAATGGGGTCGGCATTTTACTGACTTCAACAGTACAGTACCTCTGAGGTCTCCAAGAATATGCTGGCACTCGGATATGTATCCTCCATGACGCAGGTATTCTTGAGGATATTTAGCCCCCTCGCACCCAGCAGACTCTGGGAACCAGAATCGACACTCTCATTTTTCGGTATCTCCCCTTTTGATTCCGCTGCGCCAATCAACTAGTAGATCCACTGTATTTCAATAGCTATACGGGGCATTCCTAAAAGTAGTTAACAAGTCCTGAGTCGCTGTGATATATTATCAAAATCAGCTAACCTGAGTTGGTTTCGTTGCGCTAGTGAGATTCCCCAATAATCTCGAGTTGATATTGCCGAGTCCAGTCAATCCTGGCAATCGATTTTGCCGAATCCAATGGTACAGGTAGTTACGGTACAGAGGACGGCACATGACGCAGGCCCGTGGTACGACGCCTGCAGCCGCAATTTCCTGATGAACTAATCAAGTCCCTAGGGGCCTAGCATTGGTCTTGGCATTATACAGTTCCACTGTCCTCAAACCATCGGTGAAAACACACAATTGGGACCAGGCTGGCTCGGGTCATACTGTACAAGATGTCTCTTCAGTGACATGTTTACGTCGGCTTCCGCACAGCCTTGTGCACTTTTGATGATAAAATGTGTTCCTCTTCTGGACCGTCTCGGATCATCAAGTGGCCGACACCACGTGTCGTATTATCACATACCCGCGTAGCCACGGGTTTCATGAGTGGCTGGGATGGCGTATGAGTAAATCTGAATCCGGAATCCGAATCCGAATCTGTATTATCATATACTGTCACCATACGCACGTGACTATATCATCAGCCACACCGATCCTCATGCCCCTGTCCTAACATGGCTTGTATCGCAAAACGATAAAGATGGCACTTAACCAAGCTGCACCGATGATGATGGACTCTATTCGTCCTAAGTTCATAGCCAGCCTCTTGAGAATAATCGGGAAATATTGACTTAAATCATACCAACCTCTACATCTGGCGGTAACGAGCCTGTGTCCCCGAGCGACGTTTGCGGAAAATAATTCCGCGCAGTCTGGAATCGTATAATTTTCTCGGTTCCTGTACGTGGGATTGACTCTCCATCAGATAAACAACGGAGCACGGTTGGAATCTTATAAGCCTCAAGGTGAGAGGAAAGATCTTCTCTGATGCGCTCTAAATTGACATATTCTCCCCTTCGAATCCGTAGTAGGCAACCTACACGGTATCTGACCGCGGCATCAGGTATTGCGAGCACGCAGGCTTCCGTAACATAGGGCAGGCTCTGCAGACTCAATTCGACTTCGAGAATGGAGACTTTGCTGTTTATAGTAGATATAACTGGATAGTGAGTTAGTATCGGGAGTTCCATCAAATTAAAGGGCTCCCTACAGTCCGTTTTGGCGCGGCCGTCTAAAATGAGTTCCCCATCCTGGAAATGTGCGATATCTCCCGTTTTAAAGAATCCTTGTTCATCAACAATGTCACGAGCGGACTGGTCAAGATAACTGCAAGAAATCAGTGTTCGAATTTTCTCGGTAGGGAGATACCACAATGCTCTACAAAACGTTACTTACCCCAGAAACATACTAGGTGTCTTGACAAGCATCTCCCCATGATCGCCCTCCGACAACTTAATCGTGACACCGGGTTGAGCTTCGCCAATTGAGCGCTGTTTCAATGATTAACAAGGAATAGAGGGTCGCAAATATGATTTTCAGACGTATACTGACCTCCAAATTGTACACTGGCGATTGAAGCGTGATTGATATGGCACCAGTTTCCATACTACCATATGCAACCTGGAGCGACGTGCCCCCGAGTAATCCCTTCCAGAACTGCTTGAGCGAGATTGTCGGCATCGTAACGGCACAAATTGCCGATCGTAAACTTTTTGCCCCTGAAACGTACGGTCCTTGTTCTGTCGGGGATAATCGAGCGATGTGCTCTTCGAAATATTCCATCAATTGTAGCCACAGGCCAGTAGGTCCAATAAGGATTGTCAGGCCCCCTTGAGCGAGTCTATTCCATATAGCCCGACCGCTCAAGGCTGACTTATCGTGCACCTCCACGCGAATTCCCTTTAGAACTGCGGACAGAAACCCTGTGAAGCCCTGTCCGTGATATATTGGGGAGTGGAGTAAAAAGGTATCGTCAGCTGATCCAGAGGGCATGTTGTTGACTGTGAGACGGCGAGTAGTCTGAACAACGCCTTTACGTCGACCTGTCGTCCCTGATGTGGAGAGCACAAATGCAGGCCGGTCAGGTGAGAAAAGAACATGCTCATCAATCCATGGGTGATAGCCGGGAGGCGGTAATTCATCTTCCCAAAAAAGCGATATCCTCTTAATATTGAGATAATTTCCCAACTCCATCTGTTGCTGAATATCAGTCACCCGTTTTTCATGCGGAGGTTGAAAGATAATGGCAAGCGGTTGAGAATCCTGGATAAAATCAAGTAGGTCTTGCAAGGCGGCATTACTGTCTGTATTCACATGCCATGTTATCATTTTTCAACACAGAATAAGTTGAATGAGGATCTCAAATTACTTAACGGCATGATGGCTGCACCGGTAGCTAATACTGCACATATGGCTACTAAGGTCTCATAGCTGGCCTCTCCGAAAAGCGCAATACGACAATTCTCCCCAAGGCATATGCCATCATCTTTCGAGGATTCCAGTGATAATTCTCTTTGAATGACCTGTCGAAACGCTGAAATATCTCTGAGCAGCCGATGATAGTCCTTGTTGACAGTGCGTGAGGTACATGAAGCCTCCCGGTCTCCTATATATTGGGCTGTACGGAACAGTTGAGTGAAGAAAGAAGAATTGGGAAAGCCCCCTGTCTTGAGAAAGGTCATCGTTGAAATAGAGTGAAATCCGTATAAAAAAGATTTCAGATACTGTTGAGACTGTAGCTTTGCAATCCAGTTACATCTAAGGAATTATATATGTTGTCCAGCTGTAATAATTATTCAAGTCCTCCGGCTTTGCCGGCAAACATTTAACTGCACCCCTTGCATGTACAACCATCACAGTGTCACATGATATTGTGAAGGACAAGAAGCTGAAAGAAAACAAGGGATAACTCTGTCACCTTGGCGTGCGCAAAATTTCTACACCGTATTTTCCCTCCATTTTGTCTATAAAGGCTTTGTGACTTAGAACATCGTTGGGAACATCGTTGTCATCGGCTACTACCCAGTCCGACATAATGCCCCCCTTGAAGATTATAGGAGCAGGCTGGGGACGTACAGGTACACTGAGTCTCTGTCACGCGCTGGAGCTATTAGGGTAATTGATTAGTCTCATGCACATGTCTTGAAGTAGTCTGCTAATTTCTACATCCAGTTTCTCATGTCACCATATGCAATCAGCCCTGCTCGACCTTAGCCAGGATCCTGACCTCTTTATTGAGGCCTACCATACCCGCACAGGCGACTGGGAACGCGCATTTATGGGATATGATGCCGCTGTCGATTGGCCGGCAGCTGAGTTCTGGGAGGAGCTTGCAGTAAAATATCCCGATGCGAAGGTGATATTAACTGTCCGGGATGCTGAGGCATGGTCAAGACCATCCAGGACTGGCCCATGTCGACAGAGTTAGAATGGCCGGAACATATGCACAAATTTCGGAGAATGGCACGTGCTATCATCCGTGATGGTGCGTTACAAGGGTTTAGCGATAAGAAGGCAATGATTGCGCGCTATATGAAGCATATAGAGCGAGTCAAGAAGACTATTCCTTCGCACCGTCTGCTAATATTCGACGCGAAAGATGGCTGGCAACCGCTGTGTCATTTTCTTAATATGTCTCCGCCGTCTGGGGTTTCTTATCCACATAGCAATCGTGGTGGGGACTTTGAAGCGCGTCTTCTCTGGATCAGAAAACAAATCCTTGAGAGTGGGTCGGAGAAGTCAACAAGGTATGATAATCTTATACTGCTTGAAGACTTGCTCACTGACATACGATCAGCATGTTCCCGGCCGATTTGAAGCAAATGAGTGCGAGCAGCCTGCCTATGCAGAGCTTGTGCAAGGATGAAGCATCTTAGCATGCTAGTGGGCTATTGTTGAAGCTGAAATACCCTGACAGTTTGGTACCTTAATGTCTTACCGAATTCGAACTTTCACTGGCTTCTAACCAAAAGGGATGTAGCAGGCGAAAATCCATACACCAAGTTCAGTTGGATTGACATCCCCCGTTACACAAAAATGCGCTTTAAGAGGCGACTAGAGTCTAAGCGTACGTTTTTCATTAATGTCCACTTCAATGGGTCGAGACATATTTCCTCATCATTATAATGCCCCATGACGACCTAAAGACGAGACTTAAAGATCATCTTGGCGCAGGGTACCAATTGAGTGGTATCTTTGTGGTCAACAGCCGATTCGTCCGGGTCTCCGGGATGAAGAGATTCAATGATAATTATGTCGCTAAAGGAGCGGGCAAAGGTTGCCCCGGTATCTCGTTAGCGAGAGCTTAGACTTAAATAGTTCTGGACCTTCTGGTCAATACAAATCGACTTGATCTCACGCCATTTCCTCCGTCTTCGATCTGGACCCAATCAATATAATACACCTGCCCATCCTGAGGTCCATCATGGGGCAATATTGGCTGCCCTTGGAAATTATCTCCCTGGTCATTTCTTACCTCGATGTCTCAACAAACTCCAGTCTGATTCAATATGCAACAGTTAGCCGGGAGTGGCAGGCCTGCATTGAGCAACGCACGTTTGCAACCCTTAAGCTGAACACCCCCAGCAGCTCAAGGAATTCTCCCAAGTTGTTGCTAGCAATAAGCAAAGACAGAAATATGTTCAGGAAATTCATCTCATTATCCAACTTCAGCCATACAATATTAGAGCGCGTGCCTACTTGGAGACAGCTGCCGAGCACAGTCACAATAATAAACTATTTGTCCGGACGATACAAGATATTCTCCGGATTCTAGCAACCTGGCCAGAGAACCACCGAGGAATCGAACTATTCGTTCAGGCACAGTCCCCTATCTACGCCACCAGGCGGGAAAGACCACGACGTGAAGCAGATTGTGACACAAGAGAAGAGGACCAACTGGACTTGAGATTTGAAAGATCTTATCTCCATGTCTCTGAGGAAAGCCTGAAGAGGATTCCGCCTGTGATGGCAGTGACTACACTTACTATCTACGGGGGGTCGAGATATGAACGGTTGATTAGACCCTCAGCAACAGCTGTCCTTGTGTCAAAGATGCCACGGTTACGGAAAGTGGTACTGAACCTCAGGGATAACGAAAAACGAGAACAAGACCTCCGCAAGCGCAACCGGGCTGGTAGAATTTATCCCCTTGTATATCTATCAAGCTGACCCCTCACAGAATTTGCGAACTCGTTTCATCTCTTGCCAGCATCAGTGCAGAGACTTGACCTTGTATTCTACAATGAAGCACCCGGATGTGAGACCTTCGACCCAGTTGACCTTGTTCAAGGGAAAGTGGAGGACCTCTTGAGTGCTCAGTTACGGGGCTTTTCACAGCAGCTTACCTCACTCTCTCTGCAATACGCTGTTGTAGGGAAAGAGTTATTCTGGCCTGTTAATACCGATGAGAACAGACAGCTCCCATTTTGGCCGAATTTAACAACATTCCGCCTGGAGTATCGAGACACAAGCCCGTCCGGAGAGTGGCATTTTGAAACAGGCCGTATTGAGGAAGTAGAGGATGCGGGTGCTGTACGGCCGCTTCGTGAGATGATCCGGCATCCAAGATACCGTGCAAAAGCAGCGGTGGAACGTATTCAGGAATTCTATATCTCGGCTGGAAGGGCAGCGCAGCGCATGCCACGGCTCCAATGTATGGATCTGAAGTGCTTTTCTCCTTTGGTAAGTCACGGGTTTGTATACGAGGTAAAGGGAAAAGCAGCAACAGCAGCGTGGACAGATCCAGCTGCATATGCACCGGCGGAAGGGGTTCTGAATGTTTGGAGGGATGCCGCTTTTCAGCATACTGGCGTGGAATCCAGTCTAGAGGTTGAGCTGATAGACAGGACTGGTGCAATTTGAAACGCTTCTTGTCGCTCTCGTTCTTGGCTATGTTTATGATATTTGTACATACCCTTTGTACATAACATTAGTCACTGCCACTTAACAACTACATGAATGATATCCACATTATCCATCTTCTTCACTAATCACATAATCTCGTTGAACGCAGACAATCAATTATGAAACATAGAGACTGATCTGACTACGTCCTCCGCCGACGAAGCCTCACCTCAATCCCCTCCTGACGAACAAAAAAGCTATTATGAGTCTTCCATTCCCCCTTCGGGTCCGCCAACTCAACCTCATACCTCGAGACCAGCGTGGCCACCACCTTGTACACCTCCATCATCCCCAAGTGCCGACCAATACACACCCGGCTCCCCGCACCAAAGGTCAGGTCCGCAGCATTCATCCGCTTGAGGCGCTCTTGGTACGCCTCCTCGGTCTCGCGGGTGGGGTCGCGAAGCCACCGCTCAGGCCGGAAGAAGTCAGCGTCCTCGCCCCAGACGGACTGGTTGCGGGCTAGGACGTAGGGATTCATGCCGACGATGCATCCGCCGGGGATAAACTGTCCGTCTGGAAGGGTGAGGCCTTCGTCTGGGACGTAGCGCTCCAGACACATGGCGACGCCGGGGTGCATCCGCATGGCCTCGCGCACGACCGCGTTGAGGTAGGGTAGATCCTGCGCAGTTTTGAATGGTACGATTGTGGATGATGACTCGGAATGGAGAGATGAAGTCTCCTCCTGCAATCGTTTCCACACGGCGGGGTTCTTGAGCGCAAAATACAGCGCCGCGTTGAGGGTGATGGCGGTGGTGTCCGCGCCGGCAATCATGTTGATCATCAGGTAGGAGATGATCTGAGCGTCGTCGACCACATTGGGGAACGTGGTTTTTGCTTCGATGAACTTATCGAGGAAGTCCGGCTTGCTTGGGTCGTGATATGCTGTATCTTTGCCCTGGAGGCGGTCGACGAGGTGTTGGATGGAGATGTTGGTGATGGTTCCAAAGGACGGCGGGCCGATCCGGTAGATGGGGTTCTTGTCGAGGAGGTGGTCGAGAATAGGCAGTTGACTCACCAACGCAAAGTAATCCATGGCCTTGTCGGAAATGGCGATGGTGTGGTCGAAGTCATAGCCCTTTTCGAGGTACCCTATGGGCTCACTGAAGGTGACTTTTCCTACCACGTCCCAGGTATCTATAACCAACACAAAATAAGCAAGTGATTCTTGTGGCCAGGATGCCCTCACTTACAGTAGAGCAGCCATTGGCCAATATCACAAAGTCTTCCAGCTTTCGGTCCATCAATAAACTCCTCCTCCAGTCTCCGACACAAGAAGCCAATAGTCTCATCGATATGAGGTTCCAGCGGCAGCACACCCGACATGGAGTAATGCTTTGCAATCGGCCGCTTCTGTTGCGCATGCACCTGCGGATCGCATTCGCTGAAGAGGTTATAGATGATCTTGCCGTTGTTCTTGGCACTACTTCCATGATAGAACTCGGTTTTGCGGTAATCGCCGCGGGTGCTGTAGATGGTGCGGATCAACTCGGGCATATCCAAGTCTACCACATTGGGCGCGATCCGAACAACTGGACCGTACTTTTTGTGCAGTTCAGTGGTAATGGTATGCACCTTTCCCTTCCGGACGTGATAGATCCGCCAGAGGTTGGTCCATCCTGTCACAAGTACATCCATTAGGTTTGTTGCACCAGAACTGGGATATACCTCACATACCTGCGAGAATTGGACCGGGGAAGCGGCGTAGAGGGGAGATGAGATACGTCACCAGATACCAGACAATGAGAGCAGCCCATAGAGCTCCAAAAACTGGGTTGACGAGGACTCTCCGTCCGTAATCGAACGCCACAGACTGAAATGCATCCATGAGAGACGACAATTGTATTGTGTTTTTGGGGAATGAAACAGAAACAGACACAGAATCGACAGGGGGCATCAACCTGGGATGTGTACTATTTACGCCATGTCCCATGGCAATTTATCGCCTGCGGAGGCTTCGACTGTAGATTGGAAGCTGGGGTCTAGATCTTCGGTTAACGCCTTGGTAACATTCACTAATGCACGGACGAGACAGAATAGGTAACTTGAATCCGCACGGGCCGTCTTCAGGGTGAAAAGCACCATTGTGGCTTCCTGAAAAATCCTCTTGATTGGTCCCATCGGACGAGATGCCTACAAGGAGTACATGGCACGGACCGGATTGGAAACCTCTCAGAGGTATCCAGGCAGCAAGTGTCCTGTGCGTCCTGTCAAACCGATAGCGGGGGCCAGATGACACCTCGCAGGGGCTAGTCGAACATGACGCCTAATCTGCCGCTCCAAGTGCAATCATGATTGGACGGATAAAAGGCCCAATATATACGAGCTGGGACCTATCACAAAAGAAACTTCGGAAGAAGTTTCCTGACCCTGTCCTGTGGACCGCCTCTAAATCAAGGTTCTCTCGATATTTGGGATATGTGGGCACGGTCTATCATCTCCCAAATTTGAATGACAATGGCTGATATCTATCGAGTTGATGGATCATCGAGGCGCTCGTTTGGCAATGCAAAGTATCAATTATTGGATCTCCAGCACGCCGTTAGAATGACAGCTCACAGACGGCCTATTTTGAGTAGAAAGTACGAAACTGCATGTATATTTATCTGCTTGAAACCAGCAAGCTGAACTGAACCAAACATCTTTCCTCGGCCAAGGTCAAAAGAAACACCATCCTCAGAAGACCAGACTTCACAATGGCAATGGATAAAGGCACAAAAGCCATCGCCGTCATGTGGGCAATGACTATACTATCCTTCATCCTGGTGCCTCTGCGCATGTACACGAGAATCTTCATTATCCAGGCCCTAGGGCTAGACGATCATGTGTATAACCTTGGTTGGGTATGTTCATAGCATGATCTTGCAAGTGTTTCGAGAATTGACTGGTGCCAGGTCTTCCTGCTTCTGTACACCGTGTTTCTCACCATATCCAACCAGCACGGATTCGGCCAACCCATCATGACCTTGTCCATGGACGAAGCGGTGCACGCGATTTACATGGAAATGATCGGGCAAACGTTTGCCGTCCTGGGAATGGCAATCGCCAAGCTGTCTCTGGGTATTTTCCTCCTCCGCATTGTGGTCAAGAGTTGGCATCGAGTGTCGATTTGGGTGTCAATGGTCAGTCTGTCCATTGTCTCGGTCATGACGGCCGCGATCTTCTGGACCCAGCGGCTGCCATCAAGGTCCATTTATGATCCGCGCGTCCCCGGGCGGACTGTCGTCAACGTCGTTCCCTTTTCAGTATTACTTGGCTGTAAGAGTTTCGATACGAATGCGCAACCAGACTACTTGAGCTGACCGAACTAGCTTGGTGTGCCGCGGTAGACTTTTACTTTGCCATCCTGCCTTGGATCTTCATCTGGAATCTGAATATGAAGCAGAAGGAGAAGTTGGTTATCGCCATAAGCTTGAGTCTGGGCTTTATGTTTGTTGCCATCCTTCCGTGTATCTCGCAGTAGACGCTGACTGACTGACTGTCCCAGAGCCGGAATCTGCGGTGTGATCAGAACGATTGAGTTAGGCGGATTGTCAAGCTCCAACTACACCGGTCAGTAGCCTTCCTCCCCCTGCCGTCCCTGGGATTTCACAAAACTGACATACGTGGTACATTCCAGAGGACACAATTAATCTGATTATCTGGTCAGCCGTCGAGCTCGCAGCGACACTCATCTGCGTCGGCATCCCCACCATCCGCCCCCTGTACCGCCATATCGTCCACGGGTCGCGGTTCAAAGACTCCAATGAGGGTTATAAGAAGCATGACGAGAGCGGCGAGCCGAACCCGGGAATTCGCATGAAGCCTCTGGGTAGAAAGCCTCGAAAGGGTGATCTCGAGACCACGACATCAACCACTTTGGGTGATACTGGATTTGATATTCCTCGCGGCGAGACATCCTCGTATGTTCAAACTGTGAGAGAAACGGACGAAGAGAGGCTCGTCAGTTCTCCCAGAGGGCCGCATGTCAACTCCATTCAAGTGCATGAGGAGGTGACCGTTGAAAGGAGCTCAATGCTGTCTGGCTAAGAAAGGAGCCACAGTAGTGAAGCTGTAGTTCCTTAGGGCTCTACTGTACCTTACTTGCAGGAACTGAGCTGTTTGGGGGCGGGATTGGCTGAATTATTGATGTTGTCAAAAGTAGAGGCTGGCGGTATTAGTCAAATATATACCCAAGACTAACTTGGGTGCTGTCTGCTGCATTGACGGGCAAGTTAAATGTATAGTTTGTATATATATGCTCATAACAATCCATTTCCACCGCCCCTCCTCCCCCCACCCCCAAAACACCGCACAATGCTTGATATGGTATCCAATTTTTGGAAGGTGAGAGATGATAACACCAATGTTCTGTGGGAGGTCCCGGCTGAACGCATTCGCCTAAGAGCTTGATGTTGAGGTAAAGAAGAGGGAAAGGACATCAGGGTCCTCGGGCCAGGGAGACCTGGATATAGCAGCTGTTGCCCTCGATAGCGGAATGTTCACTGATAGCGAGCTGGTGGATCAAATGATGACCTTTTTGGCCGCTGGACACGGGACCACATCCCACGCCCTTCAGTGGGCCATATACACGCTCTGCAAGCATCGGGAGATACAGGATCGTCTTCGAAAAGAGGTTCGTTCGCAATTGCCATCCGTTGCTGATGGCGGATCGGTTCCCTCCGCTGGTCATCTGGATAGCCTGCTGTATCTGCGAGCAGTTTGTAATGAAACTCTACGCCTCTACCCTCCTGTGCCGTCGACCATCCGAGAAGCACTATGTGACACAACTGTGGTTGGCTATCATATTCCCAAGGGCACCGTCTTTACCATCTCCCCGGCGGTCACAAACGTGGATGTGGAACTCTGGGGTCCCGATGCTGGGGACTTCAACCCTGAGCGCTGGGTGCGAGATGGATGTGTCAATTCAGGAGGAGTCAGCGATGCTTTTGGAATCCTCACCTTTCTTCAAGGTCCACGCAACTGCATCGGGGCCACATTTGCCAGGGCCGAATTGGCGTGTCTGCTTGCTGTACTTGTAGGTCGATTCCGGATGGAACTCGAGGACCCCAACAGGGAAGAAGAATTGACGCAGCGGGGAGTCGGCGCTGCACCTGCAGATGGATTGCGTGTCAGGTTTGACATCATTGAAGGATGGTAGAAATTGAGTAGGATCTGCTGTATGAGCTATGTTATGTAGTCACTGAAATGGTGGTGGGACTTGGAAGTTCTAGTACCTAGTACCTAGGTTCTTTTGGGCACTTCAGTAGTTGCGTCCACCCGTCCCATCATCATTAGTCACCATAATTCAGTCATCACCGGCAACTCGGCACGAGAAGAGGCGATCATTGGATGCTGGACATCCCAAAAAACACACCCACTTCATAGACTACATGAGGATCTCATTGTTGTTCTTGATAGTGATTATAGTATCGACTCTACATAACCAGAATGAGTAGGGAGAAAGGTGGACCATGTGGCGTGCGTATATTGCCGCCAAATGAAGGTATTCGGAACAGCACCCCCTTTACTACTGAAAGCAGTTTAAGTTCAGCAGCGAGCGTGCGATCGGTACGATAAGCTTCCTGCCCCTTTTTAAGATGCTCCAAGGCAAACAAAGTGTGCTCAATCGACCCGTCTTTCCGGCGGCAAAAAAAGCAACAGTACGCCGTTGAAGCGACGATCCGTGATGATTATAACTGATCTGATGGAACAGGAAGCTAGCCGAAATCGAACAAGAGCTGCAGCAACTCAAGAACCAGTTGCAAAGTCACGACCAGCGATATCAGAGTAGGGCTAACAATGTCATGAGCCCTCGCTCATGTCTTCGTATAAACGAAGAAACCGAGAGGATTGACCTTTCCTCGATGGACAAAACCGTGGGGAGCGTCTGCATACCACAAGCAGTGGTCCAGACCCTTTTGAACGAGTAGGACTATCTATGGTCATGTCACTAACCAGACTCTCACTAACAGCATACTAGATATTATGCTAATTACCACATGTTCCTCCCCATTCTTCCCGGTCAAGCAGTCTTCAGTGCCTACACTCATTCTTCTGATCTCCTTTTCTCAGTGGTGATGTTGACTGCTCTTAGACGATTGTCAAAGCATTATGATCTCTATCTGTCGCTTGTTGATGTTGTGCGATCGCTGTTGGCGAATCATTTGCTGTCGGCAAGTGGTACCATTCAGACAATGCAAGCACTATTATTACTCTGTCACTGGCCACTTCCATTCGACAGAAATGAAGATCCATCGCATGCCCTCATTGCACAGGCTACTCATCTTGGACTTCGCCTAGGCCTTCATAGACCGGGTCATGGAAGAGAATTCCTGGCTCATCCCTCCCCTGTGGAAGATATGGAACATATACGGCAAATGACATGGGTAGCCTGCTTTATTTCGAATATCAGGTGAGTATAGCATGTAATGGCAAACCGAGTGATGGCAATTCTCATTCTTCTCAGTGTCAGTGCTCAGCTGGGACTTCCAGCCACAGTCCAGCTCGATGACGGCCTCCTGGAGATACTGGCCTCGAAGGGCCCCTGGCTTCGGGAAACCCTGCTCTGTCAATTGCAGATAGCCTCAGTGGCCTCGCGGATTAGCTCAGCACTTGGGAGCCACAAATGGACCACCGGGTGTCCGACACATGAGTACAATCTAATGGTTCGCCATTTCGAGACAGACCTGCGCGTGCTAGAGATTCAATGTGCTGCTTCCTGGTCGTTGGCAGATCACATTGTATATCTCGGCACTCAGCTCATGCTTTATATCATTGCCCTCAGTGCGGACGAAGGTAAACAAGCCAGCTCACCGTCCTCCTGGGTGGCTTTTGGTTATAGCACGGCGATTTGCCTGATTCAGAAGGCTTCTTCAATGGAAAGCAAATGGCTATTTGCGCCCGTCCGCCTTCATAAGATTGTTTTGAACGCGGTCTGCTTCCTCGTACTATTAAAGCGGTTCCGATACTGGGAGTCTCTTGATTTTGATCTGCTTCTACTTAGCAGCACAATCAACCAGGGGCTTGGGTTATTACCAGGGTTGTCAGTAACTCCAGGAGACTTTATGTCTCGTGCATTGTCATTGCTCGACCAGTTCAGCCAACTTACTGACAAGTTCCAATCTCGAGACATGCCGAATGAATTCTTGCCGGTGAAGTTCAGAATGGGGGCGAATGTAGCTCTCAGCACGGCAGTTCGAGCGAGGGAACTGATACAAAAGCAACGGGATCATCAAGGGTGTTCTGATATGGTTGATCTGGGAGCTATGCAGGACATTGATCAGCTTTTGGACTTGGACTGGAGTGAATTGTTTGGAACAGGATTCGGTGCCTGACTGTCGAATGCTAAACGAGTCAGACATTCACTGAACAGATGCTTACGCCCAAACTAGGGTCAATGATCGTGGGGCGGAATGCCGCCCATGTCCAGCGAAAGACGCCACCCTTGCCGGAGGAATACACGACCAAGTCTTTCCATCACGACCTGGAAAGTTGGAATCTGCTCTGGGATGTGGTGCAGAAAGAGACCGGCATGAGATTTCGGATGGAAACTTGGGAACAACCCGATCAAGACCTCATGGATCATCCAGAACTGGGGTATATATGATGTACTTCACCGTGTCTCTGGAGTGACAGGAATATTAGTGGAATAGCCCTGTTTTCCACACCCTGTGGTCGTATGTGCTTGATTCGTAGCACGTCTTACTCATATAGCATTTGTGGAATAAGTTTGGAAGACCAACAAGACGTCAAATGACCTAGATTTTTGCATGATGAGCCCATAATTATGGATAAGGCGAGTCAATCAGAGATACTCGGCAAGGACATGGAAGATCAGCTATCCTAGTGATATAATCTGATAATATAATACAGGCAAAAAAAAAAGGGGGGGGAACGGAAACTGTAGGAAGTGTGAGAATATCCCCCAGGGGTTCAGTTGCTTTGAAGTGCACTACAGCAGTTCCAACGCTATGCAAAATAAATAAAACCCTCAAAACAGCCAAACACCCTGATCTGTCGTAATTAGATGGACATTCCCCTCTTCATTATATGCTTTTCCAGTTCCAGCATCATACACGGGGATTAAGCCCTCAGGAACAGAGGGACACAGTTCCCACATGTACTTACTAGTCAACTGCTAATTGCGAGGCCATAAGCAAGGCAGTTCAACCTGTATGAAGCCAGCATATTGCAGATCATACCGCGTCTTAGGATACCGCCCATCGATCATACCAACGAAGCCATACAGCTGACCTTGCCATTAAGGGGTCTCCCCCAGCGAGGAACAGGACTAGTAATAATCAACTTAAGTAATTGTTCATTAATAATAAGGCATCCTTTAAAGAGACCATAGCCCTGCCCTTTACTAACACAGAGATACTCAGCAAAATGCTGGCGAGCCTGTTCAATTTCAGCCCTGTCCCAGAAGCTCTTGTTAGAGAAGATCACATCCTTGTATAATTCCTTCATAAGTTGTCCCGTGGTTAGATCAGGCTCCGGATCCTCTGGTTTCCTATGATGGATTTTGGTGTAGAGATCTGATTTAATTAAATAGTTCATGATTTTAGCTAGTTTATCCATGAAGATAGGCCACAGGTTATCTAATTTAGTAGTGTAGACTGTTCAATAGATTATATAGCCCCACGGGAACTTTAAATCTAGTGAGTGAAATAGAAAGCGTGTTATCTGATAACTTTTCTGTTTGGACCATGTCGCTTTCTCTAAGAATTTGAATAGTAGCCAGTAAAGTCTGGTGTGACCATTGCTGGGGCCCAAGATGGGTGATGATAGAATGAGTAGTTGGTAATTTCGTCCACTAGTTTGTTTATTGAAGCCGGGCCAGGAGATGGCACGGAAGAAGATGGGATAGAAGACATGTTTGGAAAGTGAAAGACCATAAAATATCCAAAGAGCAGCAGGAGAAAGAGATAGTAGATGATGATCATATAGGAATCCATTGTGTGGGACAGTGGGACAGTGGGACAGAAAAAGTAGGGGATCTCTGGGGTGGAAGGTGATTGATTTTATAGTCCTAACTAGCAGTGGCTCATCAGAATCATATAATCGTATATGTGGGGATGAATTAGGAAGATAAGCTGTTAGCTGAGCTAGACAAATGAATTAGTATACTCCTCATCACAGGCATTGCTCTGATGGGATTTGATTATTATTTTTACTAATTAGGCAAGGTGGTAATGGTTGAGCAGAGAAACGGCCCTCACATTTAAGCTAGTGATGGAATACTAGTAATGGGCTACAGGGAGTCTAGTCATCGCAGACTAATTAGTTACTTAGGCTTATCTGTGCTATTAGATAGCATTGCTCAGGCCGCCTTACTCACCTATGCTTACCTGCGCTCCGTATGGTTTAGTGGCTCTCACCTATAAAGCAGCAGGCATTCGAGAGTGCATTTAACTTTTAGCTGCATTAATCCCAGCTCAAGTATGGCTGAGAAGACAGGAAGCCCTGTTTGCCAGACCCTATAGCCATACATGCTAGATTCTTAGCAAGCTCTACTTACATAGCATATGGGAGAGGGATACTGCTTTATCAAACATGATCCCGCTTCATCAACTCCCTGAGGAGAGCGTCATTACTGTACGTCTGCAGCGCCTTTTCTTTCCAAGCATCCCATTCCAGATCCCCATCAACATCAATGGCTTTCCGGAGGCCCTGAAAGAGGCCGAGGAAACCCTTCCAATCAGCAAGGTCGTACCCACAGCAGAATTCAAACCGGTGAAGGATCCTCCCATTTCTCACAGCTTCGGCGAGATCAGGATGACCTTTATCCTCAAAGGATTGCGCTGATACCAGTTCATCCCCCCCGGGGTGGTTGATCCCATCATAGAAATCAGCAACAGGGAGAAGCATAACCGGAGAATTGAAAGCTGCAGCTTTTGCATCTGTATGTCCCATTCCCAGTCAATAACTCCAGTGATATTGTAATCATCGTCAACGAGGATATGGTCGCCTTTGTCGTCTGCATGCTTCAAATAGAACTGGTTAGTTTTAGCTTCCGCAGGTGGAATTCTGGAAACGGCATCCAAGAGGAAGCAATGGATTAGGAATGCATCAATTGCTCTATCAGCATATGCCTCTCCCCTGATGATGAGATCTAGCGTTAATTGTATGCTCGAGATGATGTATTCTTTGCGAGAAGTGAAAGGGCCAAGGGGATGCATCTGTGAGTCCACATAGTCTGTTAATGATTCTCTTGCAGAAGGCCCCACGTGGTCAGTGCCAGGCTGGTCCAGAGAGCCCATGAAGTCGAACGGAAATGCTTTGAGTTTGATGTAAATGTCTGCTAGCTGGCTGATAATCTTCTTTCTCTGTTCTGGAGTTGTTAGAGACCATTGTAGCGACTTTCCAGGCAATTTCTCCATAAGGATGTACTCGACGCCGATAGCACTCGCAGTCTCAAAGCTATAATCAAACACTCTCGGAGAAGGGACGTTTGTCTTGCTTAGAAACTGAAGCGTTGCAACTTCGCTTCGCATAATGTAGCGTCGAAGATCTGGCGGCGGTGACATGGCATTGAATCTTCGAATGCGCGCCAGCCAGCTGACTCCGTCTTCAAACTGGATTTCAATATGATAATTCATGCCGCCCATCACCGAGGTACGCTTTGCATGATCATACTGGAGCGACTGTGGTAAAGAGCAGGGAATACCATTGCGCAAATGGCTTGCTCGAGTAAGGAGTGCTGGGATGTTGATTTTAGATAAGAGTTTTGTGATCTCTTTCTGCTCTGCTTTTTGAGCAATTGCGTCATATAGCTCTGCGTCCTATTTAATATTTAGTTGCTGCGGTATGTAATGGGACATGTTCTCACTTCCCAAGTAGGGCATTTATGATATTGTGAGCCAAGATGTTTGGCGCAGAGATGGCGATCACAGATGATGCATTGTCCATATGTGCGAACCGATGGTTTGGTGCAGTTTTCAAAATCACAACCCCACATTGGCATGGCAGTAGATGAAGTTGACAGAATTTGGCTAACATCAGATTTGTCCGAGGATAACGGTGAGGTGACTGAGCAGCTAGTGAGATGAGGAGCTGTTTAGCTGCAGCTGAAATTTGATCTAATTATCCAACCCCTCCTTGGTGCTTACTCTCAGCTCATGTAGCTAAACTAGCGAAGAAAAAGCATACATAAGCATTGATGAAGTGTCGCACATTGTGCTTCACTCTCCCTTGTCCATCTATTCTATAATCTGTATATTAATAATTGGTCGAATACGTGGTATAAACCTACCTCTGTATCCATCAATTGAACCATCCCATAAAATGAGCTCACAAGGCAGCGACCATCATAGCACAGGGCCACCTGGTCGTCCACAATTTCCTCTTGTGCGGGGTCAGTCTGTACTTCGAAAATGGCTTCCCATGATCGGGTTCCACCATATTATAATGGTCATTTGTTCAATTACCATCACCCTTCTATGTAAGCATCGCACAGCGCTGCATCATTTCTTCTATGCCGTTGCCTGTGAATGCAGTGCTCACAAATCCAGCAATTCTTCTCGCCGGATGCACCTCCTCCAACGGTCTGAGCAACGTGTATCTGGTTTCCCTGCAATACAAAAATGCCAGCACCTCGAGCCTGAGCCCCAATGACCCCGTGCTGGTGAACCCAGGCATTGCGGAAAAAGTCTACAGTGTCTCACACGGCAATAGCACGATTCGCGAAGTCCGCGCTGGGTATATGGGTCTCTGTTTGACCCTCAGCAACGGCGCGCGGTTATGCTCTGGCAGTGCGGCGGCGCTGGCGAGCCTGGTCAAGGCCGAGGGGATACAGGGCAATGATACAGGAGCTGCTGACCCGCTGAATCTGATCTGGATTGCGCAGAATTTCAAAGAAAAGATTGTCTTTGACGGGTTGATGTAAGTGTCGTATTCTTTCCTATGGCTTTGTCTACGTAACGAAATGTCTAGGTGGAGGTATGATCTGACATGAATAGATTCATCACTGTGGTCTTGACCTTCCTATGCTTTATTCTCCTGGCGACATTTCCAGGATGGCACGAAGAAGTCGGTGAGGACGGCTCGGAGCGCGAGGTCAGGCCCTTTCCTTCTTGGACGATTATGCAGGTTGTGTTGGTGCTGAGTGTGTTGGGGTTCATGTTCGGCTTGGTCTCCATTTTTTGGCAGCATGTTAATAGTAGTGCTGCCGGGACTATGTCCGAGAGTCTCACGTATGGGGCCATCGAGGGCCATGTAGGCACGGCGGCGATGATTATCGGGTGGGCGGCTGTAGTCTGCCTGGGGATCGTTGCCTTGGCATTGCTGACCATGATCTTGAGTATTCAAATACTTAGGAAGTTGACTGATGATATATAGGATGGTGGATGGTGTGCATCTTGATATGTGTTTGAGCTGAGGGAGTTGAGAGCAAGAGCAATGTAACACGAGATGTTTCCCGGGTGATCAAGGATTATTGGTACGCTGAGAGTGGCTACTCCTAGGCTGCCTGACTGCCGATTCAGAGAGGGACATCGCATGTGAAGCATAGGAAGCATAGGAAGCATAGGAAGTAGAAGCGAGACTCTCGCCTGTGTCTGAAGATACAGCCCTAGCCCTAGAAAATAAGACCCTCAATCCAAGAAACAAGACAAAGGGCAGCAGAATAACCAGGATGGCCGCAGTCAAACCGGCTTTGATACCCGACGCTAGTGGACGTGTCCAGATCAGTGCGAGCGGAATTGCGACAAAGCCTGCTATTCCAAGGGCCCAGAGAAGCAACGAACGTGTTGTTGGGGGAATACGCCTCAGCAGGCGCATAACAAGTCTCGGGAAAGCGGAGCGAAAGTTGGCATCGGACCTTCGCCAGTAGGGTACACCCACAAGGCCAACGAGGGCAAGTATAATCACGAACGTAACTGCGCCCTGCACACCTCGGTCGATATCCCGGGTCCAGAGAATGGCGACAGGTGCTACTGCAACAGCGCCGATAAGCAGGGTGAAACTGACTGGGAATCCGACCACCCTCCATAACTCGATCCCAGCCGTACGGCCATTCCTGCCTATCCAAGACCAGGTTGCTTTGGTGCTCCGCTCGAGTGTGCTTCCGAACCATTGCAACAGTAACAGCATCGACAGAGACCGTACTTGCACCGGAAGACCGTGCTGCTCTGCGTATCGTCTAACATCCTGCTTCACGCTCTGCTTCAGATTTCCCAGCCATTGACTGCGCATTGTGAGCCGCATCAGGTACGCGAACGTCGTAACGGTAATTGCGACAGCGAAGAAGTTCGACAGTGGGGCCGAGTCTTTGAAGGGCTCGACCTGCATCCCAAAGATAGATGACGAAAACGATAGCGGAATGAAGAGAAACGCCAGTTCGGTGAGACGCGTGACAGCGTGCGCTTCGTCGATGGAGCGTCGACTGTCTAGGAGACCCATAGTGGATGTCAAGGATGTAGACGCATGCCGGAGTCTGGTGAGCATCTGGTCGATCTCCTGGAAGAGATCTGCCACGTTCCTTATAATGCCTGGCTTGTTTTCTGAGGTTGCTGCAGAGGTATCGGCTGGAAACGTGAAACCAAAGAAAGCCACAAAGCTCTTGGTTGATGTTTTGAGTTCCAAGAGCTCTCGCTCGGCTTTACTGATGAGCTCCCGCCACAATGCCAGTCGATCTTCCATCTTCGTGTCGTCGAGGATATCGACCTCCATGTCGTTTAGGATCTGGTTGAGCACCCCAAGCAGAGTCGTGGTGTCTTGACGAATGATCTGAAATAAGATATGTAGTACATGTACGGGCGCTGCATTATCCCCAGCTATATCATGCATTGCCTGCCGAGTGGACCTTGTCTCGTTGAGTTCTTCTTGGAGCGTGCTCAAGGAATCGCCTGTCAGAAGGGCCTTCTCCAGATCAATTGTAATGGTTTTTCGGGGGGCCATCTGCTTAACCAAAACCTGGAAGCTCGTCCTCACGTTCACCTTCCTCCTATCAACTTCTGGTCTGCGTCGCCTCAGCAGCCAGTCCAACACCGGACGTGGCGCCTCCTCTCGCCGTGGGTTTCCGATCGGAATCGCTAAGTCCTCGTTGACATCATCACCCTCAATTATCAGGACTGGTGGACTTTCCGTTCCAGTAATATTTCCAGTGCCTTGGTCATCACCGTCACCAGGTTCGACCATAGACTTTTTGGGGATCAGAAGTGTCAAATCATGACTAATGCTGATCATCGGTAGAGGATCAAGCAACACGACAACTACCATTCCAGTCAGTCTCCCAGTAATTTCCAGGGAACGTAAGAGCTCACTTGTTTCATACTCCATATTCTCGGCTTGCTTTCTCCAAATCGAAGTCCGTTCCACCAACCCAAACTCGCTCATCTCCTTTGCCGTCCCACGTGGATCAACGCGCAGATCCCACTCGGAGCGAAATATATTCGTCTCGGCTATGAGACTAATGCTTGAATTGCCGGAGATATACTCTAATCCATCACCCTCCAAATCAAGCAGGTCTTCCCGGTCGCGATTAGAAAACAACGGTGGACGACGATACACGGGCCGAAACCACTGGATAGACACATACGGCTTGTTCAACCGAGCCGTCTTCCATGACCGCGCCGGTGGATCATCATACCGCGCGCCACTGTACCCCGAGTTCAACAGGTGCTCCTCGAAGAACTCGGGAGTAATGCCAAAAGTCTCCCCCAAGGCATCGATAGTTTTCCTGGACAGATCCTCGACGAGAAAGACGCGCCCTTTCAGCCCATCCCGCATGCCGTGGAAGCGGGAGATCTCTAAAGCGGTTTCAATCTCCGCCCTCGTCGCGGTATTATCGTCGTAGTACTCGTACAGTGTGATGGAGGTTCTCTCCAGGCGCGGAATCTTGCGGATATTGCCGTGCTTAATGTGGTCGAATATGTTTTCTGCGCGGTCCAGCACGCGATAGTAGGGTTCCCGCGGTGAGGGCTTTTCCCATTTCGGTTCTTTGACTGCCGGCCGTTGTGCTGACGGCGGTGGTGACAGCACAACGGCCGGCGGTGATGGCGGCAATGGAATAGACCAAGGATGTATGAAGGTATCGTCGCGATCAATCGCCTCCAGGGAAGATCTCGCTGCATTTGCATCTCTTTCTTCAGGGTCACTGGCCGTGGACGATCCATCGCGAGACTCGGGTAATGGAACTCGCTCAGGGATTCTGTCGAATGCGTATGGAGCATTTCGCACAGAGTCATCCAGCCAGAGCGGTATTTTTTTCCGTGGCTTACGCGCCTTTCGGACATCGACCCCCGCTTCGGCCTGTTGCTGCTTGATCCATTCCACGGTGTGACGGGATGGTTGCTGAGCCATTGGATTGAATTTGCGGATTCTATTTGCCCTCTCTCGGGTTAAGGTTCCAGTGTGTACATTATGTGCTGTTATGAACTGTGTTCAGATGAATGACTCGGTTAGAGCTGACAATTCGACCGAGAAGTGGAGGTGCATGGCTAGTGTGAGTGAGGTGCTGAGTTGGTCAGCGTGTCGTATCATAGCAAACATCCAGAAGAAAAGCAAATAGACACCCATTCACGTGTGAAATACGAATCATCGAGACAATATAAAATAATCGAATAATCACATATATTCTCAAACCCATTCAGATAACGCAACAACGTAGGTATATATATTTGTGTGCGTGTTTCTTTACCAACACAGTAGGCGAGAATTAATGATATGCATTAGCCTGGCATACAGAATATGGCTTCTCTGTTTCACTCAAACAGACCATGCATCAACCAAGGATCGAACAGAGGCTCTTTTGCAGTGGCTCTTTCCTCGGGATTCCGGGCCCTAAAAAGGCGACGATGCTCAAATAGATCCCATATCTTGACCACTGTCAGTTTCATAATGTGTCAGAAGCACGAGGTTTATCTTACCACCATCTCAACGTTCCAGATGTCAACTTTATAGTCCCAAGACATGTCCAAGATGACTTCAGGTGCCCGGTAGACATCCGGCATGATATCGCCTTGTTGTCGGTCAATTCTCAGACGAGCCTCGCCTAGATCACAGAGAGCTGGGGTTCCGTAGGATATGGGAAGTGGTCGTGAAAGGTAAATGGTACAATCTTCAAGGGTCTCCCTCGGGACAGGAGCTTCAAATTCCGCTGTATCAAATTTGGCCAGTATGGATCCATCCTTGATGCCAAGGGGAATATTATTTGGCTGAGACCTAGTCATTCATTGCTAAAGTTTAGCTCGTCCTTCGCTGGAAAGCCTTTTTGAATGGAAGAGATACCAACCGGTATGTATAACCCTCGCCTCCGTGTGACGGAAATCTAGCGCCAGCAAGGATATATTCCGATGGTAGTTCTCACCGTGGCACTACTCATGACCCCGCCTGGAATCAGCGGTGCCAGCTGGTCGACACTGATCCCCAGAGGAGGATGTATCAGACAGGTATGGACACTATCGCCCTCTGATTGAGATATCGATCAATGTCCACCTCAGGCGGCGTCTTCTTGTAGGGATCATAGAAACGAATAGAGCAAGACAAGTTTTAGTCGTGAAGGCGGCCACTCTCTGCGACACCAAGTGCATCGCATGACGCACCATGGTTCTTAGAATTGTATACACTTGGTCAAAAGCGTGGTTCTTGTATCTAAATGAAACCTGTTGCTGTGCCGTTAGCTGGGGCTAAAATATGTTTTGAATCGGATCACCTTGGACTCATTATCGATCCGGAGAAAAATCCAGCGTATACCATCTGTAGCAATTCCCTAGATGCATGCATCTTGGTGGATGGCCTTTCGGGCTCTGTGTATTGCTCCTATCTTTTTATTAGTCTTGATATTCAATAGACAGCCCAGTATGCTGCTTACCGATATGTGCAAAACAGCAGGGTAGTTCCTCTGCGTAATGGCCCAGCTCAGTTGAAATATGACGATGCTTACCACTGCATCGTCCTCATCGCAGTGCCAGATAGTCCAGGGTGTGCGAACCTTCAGCCTCCGGGGTCTGCCATGGTATTGCACGTCGGCCGCTATACCGACTTTGGGGCGTAGTACGATTGGGGGCTCCTTTTTGTAAAACTCTTTCCGTGGAACGACTGTCATCCCAGCTTCAAGTGCAATAACTGAAGTCAGGAGGACCTTTATCTTTGCGTCTGCTAAAGGCCCTTCGACTGCCCAGGGGTAAGCCATTGTAAGCGGTGTATTTCTCCACCGCAAACACACAAGTGCGTCAATAACGTTCCCTATACATGTTAGTATTCATGAGGAAGCAAATAGAATTCAGAGTGATCTACTTAGGAAATCCGGTGTCTCCATTACATCAAAACGCCATATCTTGTCCTCCTCTGCACTGGTGCAGAACTGCAACCCGAAAAGCATCGGAATCCTGTCGTATGGGAAACATCTGGTTCTGAGGATCTCTACATCCTCTGTTGACGGAGCTTTTGGCATATTTGCGTTTTTCTCGCGTATCTCTGTATCTGATGGATACTGGATCAGAGTCTGCGGTCCTGCGTCCACAGATCAGGGCTCTGAGCTTCCCCATCGTTGGCGAAACCTTGCGTTTGAGAAGTCTGTCAGTGGTGGACTGGTGTTGAAGACTGGGAGTAGTTGTCTGTAAAGTAAGGAAGCACTTTGACGTCTTACACGTGTAGGGAACCATGTTCAGACTGCAAGAACCGCGGATCTGAAATCTTTATTATGATGTATGCATTTACTGTTATTTGCTCATCAGTCCTCAAGAGACGAGTACACTCTGGAGATATCTATTGAATTTAAGGTATCTAGTACTCAATGTACGTCCGAAGGTCTCTTTAGTGACTTTTAACTGTGCATGGTATAACGCTCATTCTTTGTACGATATAGTCCTGGATCTAGGCATTGCCTGAGGTATCTACTTCCACTGGGGCATGTTCATTATCTCTGCGTGGATAAAGCCTGCGCCTCAAAACAGTTTCTGGCCCGTGGCCCATGGACTCATCACCTCATATAATAAGGTTGTGGTACTCTACATGTGCATGTGCAGTGCGCGGCACAGCTGCAGTCAACCTAGTGGGGTAAGAAACTAGTATACATGCACCGGGGTGGCAGCTACTAACACAAACTAATGCTAATGCATGAGCAGCATGACCATACCCACCAATAAATCCCCTGGTCTTAATGACTCACACTTGAAATACGTACTGCGCCGAGTGAGCTTCAAGGATTATGAGGAAGACTACGTTACTTTATTGGATGATGGAAGTAGACGCAACGCGAATTCGCTTGCATTCGGTACAAAGGAAACAGACTAAGTACATGTCCAATGATTATTGCCATATAGTAATGGCTTGCATTTGAGACAGACAGTGCGAACGAGTGGAATGACTCAATGAAGCCAGCTTGCAGGATCTCAAGACTGAGTCACAAAACTTGCAGATCATCCCGGCGAGTCCTCGAATTGAGGACAGAAAATGGAGGGAGGATACATCCTCGGCTTTCAGGTTTTCCTTCTTTTTTTCATGATTTCTGGCTTTGATGCAAAAGCTATAGTTTCGTTCTTTGTAGAGAATCGAAATCCAAAGCGTAAGGCAGTTCAAACAGCTTCGCAGAATTCCAGCTCAAAATATGGAAAAGCCAATCATGGAAAGGCGTTGCAAGCTTGCGTGAATGCCAACAGAAGCAGGTAGAAAGGAGGTTGTGCCAGTGAGAGCGAGTCGGCACTGGAGGTCCCTGACGCTCAGTGACGGTGGACTTGGGAGCGTCCTTGACTCGTCTTGGTGTCTGGCGTGGCACAGAGGATTTGAGACATTGTTGTTCTTAAAAGCAGATTCAGAAACAGTTCATAATAATTCAACGATAGTATCCAGTTGGTCGGTAGATGCGCGAAGGAGATTCCTTGGAGCGCTCAACGCGGTCTGCCGCATCAGAGTCGTACAGGGAGCCGCGGGACGATCCGCGTGGAGATTGGTAGACGATCACACGACGACGCTTGAGAGTGCGGGGCTCGCGCTCGATAATCTCGTTGCAAGCAATGGGTTGCTGTGTGGTTGCCTGGCGAGGCGCGATGGGGGGTGTGCGATCGTAGCTGATGATAGGGGCCACAACCTGAACTCGGGCTTGGGTCCGGCTCTGAGCCTTCTCCTGCTCCTTGCGCTGCAGACGCATGCCATCCTCGATCGCCAGAAGAAGGCCTCGGACAGCGACGCAGTCCCGGGGGATCTTGACCAGTGTGGGCTGGCTCAGCTCGCGGTCGATGACGGACTTGGCCTTGCCGTTCTCACTGTAGAGGTATTCGGCCACGTTGAGGGCGTACTTGTGACCACGGTCACAGAGGGAACGGTCCTCCTGGTGGACACGCAGGGGGTCCGCGCATTGCGAGCAGTGACTGGCATGGCGCTCGAATGCGGTCATGACATATTCCTCGTCGTCTTCGAGCTCGCGGACGCGCAGCACGGGCGCGATGGGCTCTGGACTATCAATCAAGGCGGGCATGGTGTATGATCGAGGAGGGCGGACAACTCTGCGGGTTGAGATCCTTCTGATGATGATTCGTTCCCGTAGGGTCGACAGGATAGACGGTGGGAAGAAACGACGCGATGAGTCGTAGGGCGACAGCGTGACTGCTGTGGGTGAATCAAGGCAGCTGAGGTTGATTGATTGCTTGGAGCTCTCTTGCCGATAGACGTTGATGCGATTCAGAGAAGCGATGAAGAAGTGATAGCAGTTGGTAGATGGTAGATATTATAGAATGTAAAAGTAAAGTGTGCTTGATGTAATGACAGACAAAGAAAAATATCGAATGAGACGAGGGATGTTGAGGTGATATATAGTCACCTGGAAGAGAAGGCATCCATAGTCGAAAGCCGAGTATATAAGACTGCGGCTAACAGAAAAGGGTCTAGTGATGGAGTGGATCGGTCTAAAGATAGGATGACGGCATTGGTCACAAGCAGTGTTCAAAAAAAACGCCTTGTGGCCTGTGGAACAGTGGGAGAGTGGAGAGCGGGACTGTGTGCACGGCAGCCTGGCAGATGATGCTATTCCCGTTCCACTCTTAGTGCCCCGGTGTTTGCCTAGGGCGGATGACTCGATAGAGTCCTCAGGCTCCCACGAAACGCTGCGACTGGTCAGTCTGCTGTGGCTGGTGCATGCAGGCAGTGCCTTTAGCCTCTGATTGTTAATTCTGGCCAGGAAAAGGGCGTCTGCTGCAACACTGTCGGCCAGAGTTTCTGCTTGTTGGTTGATTTCTGGTCTTGTGATTGGCCTAAATGCCGTAACTGGCGGTCAACCCTCCCTTTGAGACCATCCAGGGATGGATCCAGGATCACCCTTCCCCATGTCCACTGGAGGTCTAGTCCGTCATCTGTCATGATTTATGACTCCATGTGGTGTGGATGCTGCACAAAAGGGTACAAGTGACATGCAGATAGTTGCATCTTGCAGTCCATCTAACTGACTTTAGAGATGTCTAGAGTACTCTAGTTTTGGTTTACTCATAGCGATCCTTGTCGGTTACCTATTCGGGATTCGGGGAGGATTTGAGCCAGGATTACAACAGGGAAATGACTGATTTTCAGCTGGAGTGTGTAGATACTGCAAAGTGTCCTGTCCAACTGTGGCTTGGGCTCTCGTGTTCCTAGTTCTTACAGCTTATCCCCCTCAGAGCGACGCCATTTCCTCAACTACGTACCACCAATTCCATCATTATTGACTTTCATTCTAGTTACTCATAAAAATGGTATCATCATTACCAAAGAGTTTATCGCCGACCTTCGAAACAATATCTCCGCTACACGCTCTTGGATCTTATTAACTTGGATTTATTGGTCTTCCTTTGCCCACCCCGCGACATGTTGACGCGGTGCAACCGCTCTCTAGATCTCGATTAATCCTGAGACGGGGGATGGTTTCAGACCATTATACCGGTAACCCATGCCGTGCCTCTGATCTGTGATCATGTACAGTGATGCTATTTGGGTCTCAGAATATGCATCGAATGGGAGGTCTGTTCCTTGCTGGTCGGGATGATCATCGCGATTATGCGCTCGAGCCTCAGGGGTCGCACTGCCTCAGGCACTCAGCCTCAATCTTCCTCTTCAATCGGTTCGACTTCTGACGCTAATGACGATTGCTACTGTTCAGCCTCAAGCCACAGAGACTACTCTCAGTCTGAGATATGTGGCTTCTTCGTACTTCTCTTCCCTGTTTATCACACTTCAGCCACAATCTGACAGGCCAAGCATCCAACACGAGCTCAAGTCTCGGCAACAAATGGTCAGTTCGATTACGTGCTGCCTGGGAATCCGTATTCTAGGCTTCTGAATTTTTAGAATCCATGTCTGAACTGAGAGTCGATATTCTACAGTTGTCTTTCGGAACGATCGTCGTTGCACCGAGAATTCCCCTTCTCGTGGGCCGCAATCCTCGACTACAACGCGCGATTCGCCTTGAGATAGGCGCGGACTTCGCAAATGTCGCAAGTTTGTACCGTTGCTTCAGAATCGGGCCATTCTCGTCCAATGGACCATATGCGAAGAGACGTTCAGAGCGTCGGCTCTATATTTATGTCTACCACTAATTGACGGTTCGGGAGGTTCGAGCAGAACTCACGATGTCTCCCTCACGATGTCTTACATGTCTCTATCTGATTGGATTGAATATGCTAAATTTGATGAAGAGACATTCCCATAGATCTTGAGAGAGTGTCAGGTGCACAATTACGACTGCCGCGACTATCTTGTGGTAACTGTCTTGTCGTACGGGGAGAACATAGCCGCAGGCTCGCTTTATTAGAAGAATTAAGAAGGAGGTCTTCAAGAAGCCAGCCGGGCTAGCTCAATCGGTAGAGCGTGAGACTCTTAATCTCAAGGTTGCGGGTTCGACCCCCGCGTTCGGCTTCTCTTTTTGCTCTTTCCACATTTCAATGTGGAAGGAAATCTTTTTCTGACATCAAGTCTTCGTTGTGGATCGCGAGGCCGTTGGTCGGAAAGCGTTGCTTGGCTCCACCGCAGTGGCCCGCTCCACTTTTAGGGCCTTGCCTTACTTAGTTCATCAATGTTTATGATCTCTATCAAGTCTTTTTTGTATATGAATATATGATCAATCTATCAAGTTATTAACCTTGTGTAAAGACTGAAACTAGCATAATGCAGCAACTGTGGACTCTGAAGATAACCTCAAGACTGAAGAGCGGTCGTCGCCATGCAGTCATCTATGAAACGCGCAACTAGGTCTACACATCTACAATCAACCCTAGAACAATGGACGATGAAGCAGTGGATAGACTATCTAGAGTTTATCCACAGTAAGCCTCGACCATCAAGGTCAGGCCATCATCGTGCGGTCGTCAGTCATAAAGAATCCCCACCACCCAATCGATAAGATCTTGCAAGATCCAAAGCAAGAGAACCAAAGACGAAGCAAGAGCTGTCTATCCAACCCATCAGCAGCTAAGCTTTTATCAAGAGAAAAATGGACTACCATCGCGAGGAAGAACAATTCATACGAAGCGTATGATCGATGTCAATGATGCCACGTCTGTCTGCGCAACACACGAACAAGCATTAGCACACGCCTGTGTCTTAGTATGCAAAGGAAGGAGACAAACAAACCTAAGCCTTCTTGCAGGTGAGAGACTTCATGTCGCACTTGGGGCATTTACCACCGCATCCCGTGTTGTTGAGGCAGACCTGGCCGCAGTGGTCGCGTTTGTCGTCGAGGTTGTTGACAGGGGTGGCTGCGTCGTTGGTAACGGTGCCCTCGACGTCTGGGACAGCTGCGGCGCTGGTGACGGCGAGGAAGAGAGTGAGGCTGAGGAGGTTGAAGAACTTCATTGTGTTGAAGTGGTTGGTTGGTTGTGATGTTTGAGTGGATGTGGATGAGATTGATGGAGTGTGAGTGGAAGTAAGAGAGGTAGGTGGTGAAGAGAAGAGAAGAGAAGGGAGATCGATCATGAGGGGGTATTTATACCTGTGAGGAAAGAAATGGCTGTGAATAGCTTGAGAGTATGATCGTGGAGGTTCATAGGGATAGTGATATAAAGACTTCACGTTTTTGCTAGTAGAGTTTACACCAGTGAAGAAAGGACTGGGATGGCTTACCAGTCAGAACATACAGAAACGGATTATTCCGGGATACGGCCCCCCTTATACTAAGCTAGTGAATTATCTCTTTGGCTTCTACTAACTTCATCAATGAAAGTATGGAAATTGGGAGTCATGCAAGTAGCCCGATATTTGGATGATTTCTTTATGCGCCTGCTGCTGTGAAACCTCAACTTAGGAATTTTTCGAGGGTTCTAGTCATGATGATCCCTGAAGCAAACAAAGAACCTCTGTCTTCCAATGGCTTAGCTTTACTTCTCAATTTCTGGAATGTCGAAAGAAAATGGATATCCTGAATCACTACATCCAGAAAACCAGCCGACTTGTTGCCAGTATACACTGAGATCAACTCAAGTTCAATACGAATCTCGAGAATTTTATGTCCCATTTGTGCTAAAGATAGTATGCGCTGAGTATAAAAATTGCACAAGGTCAGTAAGCTGCCACTCCGAGGGCAGTCTAGTCGAAGTGCTTGAGAGAGTCGCTGTTGCTAATCCTTTGCTTCCCCCAACGGTGGCGCATTCGCCCTTTGTGACCGGCGAGAATGCAAACTGTTCGACTTGAACGTGTTCTACATCTGTCAGAGCGCCTTGCGAGCCCGGGGCCCAGTCCGTACCCCAGAATCAAGAAGTATACTGCCAGAAGTACAGCGGCAAGTCATTGCCGTCCTAGAAGTCCATACAAAGTCCACTGTATGCACGCGTTTAAAACACTTGAATGGGTGGAGGGCATGAGAAACTCGTCACTAGATATTTGAGACTTCCAGCGAAATATCTACCAGCGCGACTGTAGAAGATAGCAACCAGCGCATGCAGAAGCAAAGCCGATAAAGGAACGCTACAAAGCTACAGGACAGGAATACCGCCTATTTTTTTCCAAAATCGCGGGAAAGGATTTTCTAAGCTCGCGCAAGATAGCTGCGTCTTAAATGATTGATTCGTCTCCGTAACAGCGAACAGGAGAGCACGGATGCCCTCGACACGTTTGAGACCAGGTTGTTCTTGGTCGAAACAATGATCTGGCTGGCTCTAGCAACGTACTGACGGACGTCCTTAAAAGCGCTGAGCGCATAACTTTACCCTCTTGGTCCCATTCAGCCAGTGAGTCCTCCCTCATGCGTTGCAGATGCAATCGAAGCTCGGCGAACATGTCTACTTAAGGTCCCTCCACTTCACAGACATGTTCAAAATCAAGCAACCGAGCCCTGAGATAGAGCCTTCTGTTCTTCTGATGGTAGAGGCCAAGAAGTGTACGACCCTCTTTCTCAGCTGATACAATCTCGCGGAGTACTTGGAACTCCAGAGAGACAGGGGAAGCGGCTATGTCAATCGAGGCCCACCTTCTTATGCTGCGAATCGTAACTATATTCGCTGGGCGGCGACCCATTCAACTTATCCTTCATCTCGAATAGTTCTTTTTCCCGAGCCGACGACGCATGGTATGGACAATGCCTTTATCATATGCATTACTAACAAGAATCCTCTCAGTTTAAGTAGGGTCCTACCTACCCATATAGCTGACGCGCTGCTAGAGTGCGGAGCCAAATTCCGCTGGTGGTCTTACTTCACACGACCACGTTTGAGCTCATGTCCCCTGGGTTGCCGTGCCGGAAAGAGTAGTCAGCAGTGCCCGTGAAGTTGAGAAGGATAGGAGCAGGCGCTGTCTGCGGTAATCATGCCATTCATCTTCGGTGGCACCAACATCCGGTGTTCTTGCTCTGCTGGCTGCAGGTAACTGTGAGTTCGCGTCGCGGTTACTTGTTGCCTAGCCGGTTCGGGAATTCGGGAAAAGGCATTTGTCGGGTTGCTTGCCCCTGTTTCCCGCCACAGTGACATGATGAGTGGTCGTCCTACCCCAGTAGTACTCTTGGGTGCGATAAAGCCCCATTCTGCGGCTAGAGTTAATAATTTCGCGGACGAAATCGAGTGATATGACATCGTGGGTGTATGAAGGGAGGACCTTGATTGTACCAGTCGAGTTGTTGAGAAGGAACCGATACGAGATTCAGGCCGAGCATTATGACTCTCGTCGTCCAGCTGGCACGAGCTGCATTCGTCATTCCGATAGTAGTTGACGAACGGCCGCAGCCACTGTGCGATATACTGATATCACCTGCGTCTGCCCGCTCTGAATCCCATATGAAGGGGCATACCCGGTCCGGCTGGGATAATTCCTGTGAATCTGTGTCCTGCGCATCAGTCTGCACTTGTACCAAGAGCCTGCGCTGCATCATGTTGCTGTGGGGTGGGGATTTTCTAGGGACTGTCACTGCCTAAGTTCGCGCCGCACCTGAGTCAGCGCCATTACCAGGACCACCACTGTCACTGTGGTGGTTGTCTTCATCACCAGAGCCATCACTGTCTGCAGCCGTCTCGTCATCCGACACCACATACTCAGCCAACTTGTACTATTTCAACATATTAGCAAAAGGTTGTGGTGATGATACTAGCCTTTTCAGCCAGAGCTAACCCGACTGGCCAATATCAGCTCTGGCCGGAAGCTGTAGGGGCTAGGTTGGAGGAGGTGGGGATACTTTACCTTGATGGCAATAGCGGCCTTGCCCTGCTTCTAGCGTGTAGGTCCCTCACTGGGCGAAGCTTCTCTTAGGCACTTGTATGCACCCCATGGTTTTTCTTTATTCACTCCACGTCCCTCTGCGGAAGGCCAAGGTCGTCCAGGTCTTTAATGCCCAGCCGACTGGCTGGCTGGCCAAGCATGCGGCAGAGTGTCTCCGCCGCACCTTGCTGGATGACCTCGGCTTTCGCAAGGTCAGCTGCCTTACCTGCCGCGTTGTTGTCCTCTGGGACATTTATTGAACGAGTTGCGAGGGGATGGACTTCAGGAGATTATAAAGCTGCGCAGCTAACTGGGGGAGTGCCTTCATTATACCATTGCATTCAATCCAGTGGGAGATGTTGTGCTCCTAGAACGATGACCACACTTTCTGGGGTTTGCGCTGTCCAAGGCAATGGGCTCGCCCAACAGCCTGGAAGAGTGTGTTGATGTTGAGTGGTGGCTCGAGACAGGATGACCCTGCTGCACTCTGTATGCGGACCGGACGGGAGTGGATTGTATAAATCATCCTTCCAGTTATGCTCTGAAACTCTAGGCTCTGCGGCCAAGTACAGACTAGTCCAATAGACATGAAGTCACCATCAGTGCTCAGGAGTCAGATAAATCTGCCTGCTAGGACGTTTGTAAGATCAACTACCCAAGGAAGGAAGATAAGAATGTAATGGAGAAAACTGCAATGCAGAAGGGCGATGGTAAAGATTGGATGAGAAATGTTGGCTGAGAGGAGGAAGAAGTTTCATGCTATCTAGCAGTGAGTAAATGCAAGACCACCCACTGCGCATCACAAAACTCATTCACTGGCCCGGCCACGGTTGAGGGTCGGATAATCTTGTCATTCAGGCTCGTTCTCCCGCAGCCAGTAGAGAATCCGAGTCAATCCCCGATGTTATCGAATTCATGGACTGGTAGCGTATTAGCCGGAGCAAAGTAGCTCTGGTGGATGATCAAGCGAGAGTGAAGGACTCTTTGCCGTGGACCTGTATGAATACTTGACACAGCCTGGTATGCATTCATTTGTCATTTCCCACCTTCTATTTCCTAGCCACACCTCGTTGCCATACTTGAAAGGAGTCCTCAGGGGCATTCCAGTCGACTTCAGTGTCAAGTTTCTTTTTGGCGATGAAGCTTTTCGGATATAGATCCTCCCACTAGAGTATGGTACTCTTTTCGGAGTTCAGCCCGGCATGACAAGTTGTATGAAAAGCTTTCTGTTGGACTCGTCCCATGGATTCCTGTATTATTTACCGCAAACAGACATGGGATGTGGAGATAAGAGACATGCTGTGGGTGTCAAAAACACAGTGTGGCTGGTGAAGGTGCACTAGTGGTTTCGGTTGCAACCGACGCAGAGGTCGGCTGACGGCCCGAGCGGATTTCAAGATCATCACCCATGTTGTTCCAGGTTTTCTTGGGATGCCATATCAAGTTGCGATTGACTTGGAACCCCGCATCTGAGAGGTGAAGGAGGGTGGGATGTCTCGGAATGGTGGGCGACCAGGTTAGCGATGGAACTCTTGTCCGAAGATTAGTCTTGCGGTGCGCTCGATCAATATTCAAATTTGGAATGAACTTTTAGGGTTCTCAGAGGGTTACTCTGTCTTCAAATAAAAGCGCTCGTTGACGGTGGACGAGTGTGCATGAATCTCTGGGAATACTTGGAGTTGCCGGAAATATTCTGATCGATGGGATCTGGGCTTGCCACCTTTTGAAGGACTGCAAGACCGAAGATCCACATGAGCAGATGCATGCATATTCTTCCGGTGCGGATGAACCCAGCACTAAGTGAGTTTCGAGCATCCATTACTAGGTCACCCGACGACTTCAGGGCCCTTCGAAGCGTGTAGATCACTAGACGACGTACACCATACCTTTAGAATATCTGTGCTTGTTTTCAATAGAATCAGTGACTCTGAACCGAGACCCCCGAGGATGGGACTTACTACTATCATGTTTTAAGCCCTATATACTCTAAATAGTCAACTTGTCTGCAGATGACGGATCAGTGGATTTCGGTTTGCATGGCATATGAGAGCAGTACGCAAGGCAAAATCTTATACTTGAGTCTCCTCGGTTCCCATTGGCATTCATGAGAAGTGGAGCATGATCGAGGCTTCTTGCAGTGTTTCTCGCGGGTATTCCGCTGTCAAAGAAAACTTGTCAGCTTCTCACTGCTGATGTTGGGTACTCAAGGATGAGAGTGTTCAACGAATGCAACGGCCAACTGCTTACCTCCCCCCAAATGGGGCACGGCACATTTCCAGCAACTGGTCATCAAAGTCATTTCTCATGTATATAGGAACGTCACTGCTTTGGGCCAATGATGCATTTGCAATGTCATTGTTGGCGTGTAGCCGTAATGTGCAAGAGGGAATCATGAAACGAAGATCATTGCCATGATGAAATCCAAGCCGAAGGCTCATACTAACTCATAGTTATACAAGCAATTGTATATAGCATGCGCAGAGAGAGTTTGACGCTACTAAACAGACAGAAGCATGGGAGCTCTTCTCATATTTATAGATTAAAAAGGCATGATGAGAGGCTTTCAGTAAAAGCTAGAACAAAGACAGATACAATCACCCAGGAATATCAAACCGCTGCGGAAAGAGTCCTCTGAGGGAGTTCAATGACAACAACAGACAGCTCATTAAGCTGGCACACATCATAATAACCTTTGTCAATACACAGAGAGGTACTTTTTCTATGAACCTGCAGCAAAGGGCAAAGGCCGGGCCGTAGTCTTGGCATTATCCGCATTCCGCACTATCCCTTTCCAGGATGACATATATCACGTGATACTATCCAGACCCAAAGTTCTCTCCACAAACTCCGATAACTCGGAATCCGTCACGACAAGCCTCCACCCCCCTCTTGCTGTTCCTCCCTCGCAAGTCGCCAAAATGGCCAAGAAAGGTATGCGCAGATTTCTCTCCGCCGCTGTGTTTCCGACGCAAATCCGGAGTCTCCCATCCCATCACGATGGCGATCTGCGGAGTACGGATAACTGATGACTGACTTGCGATCTTCTTCTCAGCGAAATCTCGCACGATTGCCGTTCGCCTGATCTCAATGGCTATGACCGGGTACTATCGCACAATGATTCGCCCTCGTACGCATCGTCCTCTGAGTATGCTCAAATACGACCCCGTGGTGAAGAAGAAGGTCTTGTTCCTGGAAGCGACAAAGGGTGGAAGGGCGAAATGATTTACGATGTTCTCTTATCCAAATATCTGCAACGTCAAGCTCGGTCGCTTCGAATAAGGGAATTGTCCTTGTGGATCGGCTCAGGCTTCCTCGGCATCAATGAATCCACTCCGTTCCGAAACCATCCAACGTCTCAACGGCAGCGACAAGTCGAGCCCGTTGCTTCCATCAACCATCATGTACATTAGGGAAAGCAGCGGCAGAAGCGATACTCTGGGCTCCTGAGCGGACACGTGTCTTGCTAAGCTGTTTCTATTCTGGTCTTGCATTTCGGCGTTTAGAGCAGTACATTCTGGGTTAATTCTAACATGTTCGATATCTCCATTTTCTCTCCATCTTCTCGACTACATAAGTGGTATATCTCCCTTTCGTGACTTGTTCAATCTTGTGATAAATACGCTGCGTATCTCGTTTCTCCTCCCTCGTCCATAGATTAAATTGTCGCTAACCTTCAGGCGCGTTATTGTCGAGCTAAATTCGGGCCTTGCTATCTATATACCATCAACCTCTTCATTATATCTCTGACTGAAACGGGCGTTGTAGCGGTCACCTGTGTCCATTAGCAGCTATAGCTTCTTTGCAAGGAGGATAGCGCTTACTGCGTAATCTCCGGCCTCCGCGCCTTGCGCCTCGCGTCGTCCACCTCTTGTTTTTCGGATTATTTTCAATCGCTGATGATTGTCTACTGCTTCCAGACGCTAAGCTAGCAGGGCTTGTTCTGCGCTCCAAGTAGTTGGCAGTCCCTTGCGCTTGCCCTCTAGGCTTGGAATTTGACGAGGCCACAGACACTCGGGCTCTCTTATCATTGCTCGTGTATTGATTCTCCGTATGCGTATCACGATTCGACCGTTCGCTAGCTGGAGAAGCATTGGGCTCGTTTGTAAATTTGGGGACCCCCTTCGACGAAGGAGAGCGCTGAAATTTACTGTAAGTGCGTTTCGTGGTGCGTTCTAGTTTTTTGATAAGCCGATTCTCGGAAGCGCTCTCCTCAGCAGTGTTGTCCACGGTCCCTGAGAACTTCCGCTTCTCAATCCTGTTTACCTTTTTTTCTGCCTCGAAAGTGACGGTTTTCTGCTTTTCCTGATCCTCCCTTGCATTCTTATGGCCACCAGCCGTTTCCGTCGCCAAGGAGTTCGGTTTCAGCGGCTGGTGCGGTGAGTTCCGCGAGTGTTCACCTATCATTCCGAGGTCCAAACCGTCATCTTTGTGCGATGTAGCTGCATTTCCCTTCTCATTCTGTTGTTTTGGCGTTTCCACCACCGTATTGCCCTGCGCTGACTTGTTCTTCGGGGTGAGGTCAAGCATCCCTGCAAGATCGCTAGGTTCAGGACTCAGAGATGAGCTCGATGCCGGTGATAGCTGCCGTCGAATACTCGAGAATGGTACAATATCAGTTGATGATTCCGGCTTTTCACAGTGACTAACGGAGTCAATGTTTCCAGCTCTCGAATTAGTTTGTACTGGGGAAGACAGCCCGCCTCCTTGAAAGCTCTGTGTCCGATATATCACCTCTGTCATCTGAACAAAGCCCTGAATAGGACTTTCACAGATCCTGCTCGGTGTCAAGGCCACAGAGGGACTTATACTCGCATTCGCGTCGTTAGGAGCTGCAAGGACAGTAGTTCCTTGTGAATCGGCACATGGGTTGTCAATATCTGTCGAGCTCAGATAGTCCCTCAGTTTGTCCCAAGTACCCAGGAATGATCCTCCTAATGAAGGATCATCTGGTCGAGCGATGGCCTCTTTGATATTTTTCATCCAACGCTCGGAGTCCTGAAGCCTTTTGAGGAGAGCATGTATTTCGGATTTCGCTTTCGCTTTACCGGTTTCCAGATTTGACCTCGCCGATTCGGCAGCGCATAGCTTTTCCTTCACCTGTGTGAGTTCCTTTTCTTTTCCAAGTAGGTCCATTTGACATGCGTCAAGCTTCTTCTGCAGATTTTCGAATCCAATGTCTTTCGTGGACAGCCTATCATTGAGTTCGACGATTCTTCCTTGGACTTCACCGAGCTGCTGGGAGATTGTCTTCTGTTGAGCCAGAGCAGCAGCCTCTGACTTTCGCAGTAGTTCAAGTTCCGCTTCCTGTTCACTCATCCGAGCTGCTTCCTGGGTACGGGAGTCCTCTAATTTCCGGATTTGCTGTTCTCTTTCCAGGACCTACAGGAATCAGCAATTTTGACTGGGTTATCTTCAAAAAGGATTTACCCACCATCGATTCCAATTCATCTCTTTGCTTCTTCGCTGCATGCTCCATTTCAGCCTGCAAACCATTAGTGGAACTGCCCTCGTAAGACTCTATGTTGATTACCATTGACGCTTGAACCTCAGCCAGCGACTCCCTGATCGTGGCCATATCTTTTTCCGCTTCTGCTTTCTCTCGCAGCAGTTTATGGATTTGTTGCTCTGACCTTGCCTTGGCCTGATCTCTGGCAATGACGCTCGCTCTGTTCAATTCCTCCCGAATTTTCGTCTCGATAGATATCGTCTTCTGTCGCAGGTTGACGACTTCAGCCTCGAAATCCTGTGCTCGTTTCATCTCTTCCTCCATCTTTGCTGTTACATCCAGAATGGCACGCTTTGCTTCCTCGGTTTCGAGCTCCTTTGCCTTAGCATTCTCTTCAGCCGAACTCGCTTTGATTCTAATCTGCTCGATTTGATCTTTGAGTGCGGCATTCTCCATGGACAGACCACAGACATCTGTTGTTGGAGCCAGGTTCTGCGCCTCAAAGATACTCTTTTCTAGATGCGTAATATGCTGGGTAAGATCAATCTCCTTCTCATTGAGCGTCGTGAGAGAGGAGTTGATGCTATGCATGCTTGGTTCGAGAGCTTGCAACCTTTCGCGCACGGCGTTGTACTGTTCTTCGTTGATCCCGAGCTGCTTGAGAAGCGCCATATGACAGCCATTATCGTTTTCGAAGAGCTTCAGCTGCTCCCTAACATTATGTGCCAAATTCTCGTTGAGCGCGAAGTTTCTTTCGAGACCCTCATTTAGCTTGAAATCAAACTTATTCACACTGACAGCAGCAAGTCAAAATTCCATTTCCTCGGTACGTTGTCTCAGATCATACCTTGAGAAGATCTCGTGGACGATGTCGTTGCATTGGTGGATATGCACTCTGTCCCTTGAGAGCTGTTCGCTCAGTTCTTTGAGAAGTGAAAAGCCCTTCTCGAGTGTCAATTCCAATGTGGTTTGAGTTGCTGCTTGAGAAGCATTCACACTCTGACCCAGTATGTCAAACGCAGAGTTGAGCTTGCTGAGCATCTCCTGCTGTTCAGTCCGGATTACCGCAAGCTGCTTTGTTTGAAATCTCGAATTATTGTGAATGTACGACTCAAGAATTGATGACCTTCTCCTTTCTTCTGCCAACTGGGCTTGAACAAATGCTGTCTTTTCTTCTGCATTTTTCAAGGCCAGCGTCATCGCTTCAAGCTTTTTCTCGGACTCTGCGAGTTGAGTTCTTTTTTCCCCGACGAGAACCGCTGCCTGAGAAATCTGACGCCTAGCATCTTCAATGCCAGACTCGATTTCGGTTCTTTCATTCTCCAGAGTTGCTTTTGAGTCTTTGAGTCGGAGGTTCTCATTGCGAAGGTTTCGATACTCAGCCCCAAGCTCGTTGAGAATACCCTTGAACTTCGCTAGCTTTGCTTTCCAGTTCTCTATCTGGGCTCTGTATGTCTTTGATTGACACTTGCTACGCTGAAATTGATTGTCAAGGGTCTCGAGCTGATTCTTCAGACTCTTGTTTTCCTCCGCCAGTTCAGACATGTCGGCTTCCATTCGCTCTTGTAAATTCGATGCAGCGCTTTCATTTTCTTCTCGAACTCTCATCCGATTGATTAGAAGCTGGAACAGATCTTCCTCTGACAATTGCGAGCTTCCGTTGTCCGAAGCCAGTGTCATAGTTCGTTTCGCACTGGGCACATTTTTCGTGTTTGTGGGACGTCGCTTCGAGATCCTGAAATGATCAGTCGTGGGCCCCAGTGTGTGCATATTAGGCATTCCCTCTCTGTTCACAACCTCATCCTGGCGGTTGGGATTTTGCTGCATAGCAGCCGCCCTTTCCTGTTTTTCATTGTGCTGCTTTAGCGAACGTCCACCATGGTGTTCAGCCTTAGAACCCGTCAATAACTCTGGAGAAAACGTTGGAGGGGACTTACACTCGGTTGGGGAGCCACGGAGGTGGTGTTATCGTCTATGAAGTTAGGCCTCCTACACAGGACTTCTTTCAGGCTTTACCCACCTGGATTTCCTGCATTCGCGACGATGCGTTGAATACCGCCCTCTGTTTGCGAACCACCATCTTGTGCTCTCTGGCTTTGTTGTCGATCCGTTGAAGTGTTTCTGCAAGCATCGCTTTCGGCGCTGTTACAACGATTTTCTGCAATCTCCGACTCCTGGCGTTTGTGTGTTGCTGGAGAGCAGGACCTCGTCGCGCTCGAGAGGGATAAGTTAGTTCGGATCATTTCGTACATCGTGCAGTCCTTTTCCGACGCATGAGAGATAGAACTTGAAGGACAATGAAGGACAATCAGCATATGTGAAAAGTACCAGCATTGGAGGAACCAACTTTACTTGGTCTTGATGTCTGGTTTCATCGGCCATTCCACGCCTATTAGTTTGTTCCAAGGAAGGATTCCTGGGCACCGAGCATGGCCTCTTTGTCAACGATTGTAGTAGAAGTGGCCTTCCACGTGGACCAGGTTTTCCGAAGGAGAATCCGGCGACATCGAGTCCAGAGCTTTGGGGCCGTTCAAGAAGCAGTGGAGCGGGACGAGCTTCTTGCGGTCGACCTAACCCCTTATCTTTCTCCATAACCGCCTCCAGATTTGGTGAGATTGGCTCATTGGCATTTTGTTCCATGTGGAGAAGCATTAGATCTTCGTCGCCCTCATATTGAGTTACAAGGCCGTCACGCTCAAATTCAGATATGGATAGAGAGTTACCAGGTGAAGAAGGGCCAATGTTTTGATTTTCCATGTCGTTGTCGTCTTGGATGCTCAACTCAGCAATGAACTTTGACTTCTTGAAATGTATGGCACGCACATTGGCGTCCTACTCAGGGAAGAACCGCCGTGGATATCTCAAGTTTTAGGATAGTTCTTGTGCAAGCCTGAAGTGAAGATGAGCAAGGGAGACGTTGACAGACATACCAAGGGACTGAATGGAAAGAATCCTTTTCGAGATGAAAAGGTAGAGTCAGGACCGCCAGCTCCCTCGACAGAAGAAACTTCTTCATCAAGTGGTAGCTTCCATTTTGGGAAGTACCACGTCTTTGTCTCATAAGGCATCAAAATCCCAATACTGTACCCCCTTAGGGCCCCAGAATCATACTGATGCCTTTTATGGAGGATGATCCTGGAAACTATACAGAAGCAAATTTATATAGAAGCTTCTGTACAAGACCAACGTCTCATAGTATGGTTTGCGTCCCTTCTAGCCATGTTATGTGTCGGAGTTCCTCGGTTTTAGGTAGAGGCAAGAGGGTACCTTGGAATGTATCGTCACTCATGTATACGGCATAAAGAGGTCACAATAGCTACACAAAAGGACCTAGACTCAGTATTCGGAAGAAAACATGATGGAAAGATATGCAAAGGAAGACTGAAAAGCGTTAAGAAGAGAACCGTAACACGCTTCAGAGTTATTTAGCTGGCCGCAGAAATCCGTCTAATTATGTTTGAACATATTTGGATCAATAAGTATATTCCGGTGACTATAGATTAAAACTGCCATTAAGGAGCCTATATGTCCATTAAACACTGAAACGAAGCATGAAGTGGTACTTAGCGAGTGTTGCGGTGTGTATATTCCCACAGTAGCGCAGTCGGATTCGAAATCACATCAACACAGCACCCGACGGAAGCAAACATCGTCTTTCTTTTACACAACATGAAATCCCTTAGGCAGAAAGGCTTCGGTATTTCTTGATCTTGTACGGCACACACAAGATTTAAATTAGGACATAAAGATGACCCTTATGGATTCTTCAGATCCCGGCGGCCAGCGCTTAGCTACCATTGGCTGCTGGATTAAAATGGCAAAACGAGCCGTCGCACCCTGAGCGTCAATCACAGAGAAACAGCGCCTATATCACACTGTGATGAACGTCCCGCTCGAATGATTCGTCGATGGGGTCTTGTCACCGAACTCTGAAAATAGTGCACGTTCCCTGAAGATGCAGAATCTGGTGTGTACATGGGCCGAGATAATCGTCTTCGAGCCTATCACCATTCAATATGCAGCCTTGACGCAGCAGTTTCTTCACAATCCTCAGACCCCTTGAGGGCTGTGCCATGCCTGAGAGTGTATAATAGTACTATAGACCCCGGGCTTGTCTTTCCTCCAGCGCCTGTTTATTTGCGATTACCTCTTCCGTGGTGAAATTCTACAACCGTCTAACAGACTTTTGAATAGCACATAAGATACAGTGTTAGGAGAGAGAACTCGCCAATGAGCATCCTATTGCGATGTATAGACCTATGATCCTCTACTATTGCGCTGTCTTCACTCTTTTTTTGGCACGCTCCGCAGCGCAGGACTACACGGACGTTCAAAATGAAGCCGGAGCATCGGGTCCATCGTCAGATTCAGTGGGCGTCTCATCAAAAGGAATGATCGCTCTCTGTACCATTGTTGGTGTGGTTGTGGTCATTGGATGTTTGTTCCCCTTTCCTATCCCGAGTTGCTCTCTCCGCTACAAGTACTGATGTATTTTCATCGTGCAGTATCCTCAACAGCTCTTTTCTTCGTCGCCAAAAAGCGCCAATGGGCGATGCGAGAGACTATTCGTCGTTCTGCACGACAAGTCGTCCAAGCGATCAAGACGCCCTTGACTCCCAGATTCCCGAAGGTCCCTGAGCAGCTCAGAAGAACCCAGACGAAAGAAGACCAGAATGAAACAAGGAGCCAGAGACTCAATGACCTGGAGAAAGGGTTCAAGACTTCGAACTCGAGCAACTGCTCTGTCCAGATCACTGCCGGCAAACAATCCCAAGGCAACGAGAAGAAGACCAGGGGTTGGGGATCACGTTTCGCATTCAATCGCTCGTAGATCAAATGCGTGGGAAACCCGCTGATGCAAGAGAGACACGGGGGTCTTCCTGTCGTTGGTTCTTTTTATGAGTTTGCTACGATTTCTCATGTTCCATTTGTCCTTCTTCTGTGGAGTTAGAGGCGAGAGACATGTGCACCTTGATTTCAATTGTAACGATTCCCCTTGTTTATCTATTTGATGTTATGTTAATGCTGAGCTCAGAGCTTCATGTATGTTCATCCGCAACCATACCCTTGAAATCCAAACAGTATGAGAGGGTTTGCTCTAATGTTCCTGAAACATCGAAGTTTCGGATTTATAGTGCCTGAGTCTCGACCGTAGCGTCAGATATCTGTTCAGGGAACTTCTGGAGGGGTCTAAATTCTGTGGGCACTGTTGATACAGACCATGGTCCCACTCGGTGTCCCCGAAACTTCTGGAGGAGCATACCGTACATCCATGCTCAGATTGCCTGTGGCAGAGCGAGGTCAACACGGTGAGTGCATCAACGGACTGAGACGTGTCTCCACTCGCAGATACTAAGCTTCCGGTTTGAGTGATATAATCAGAGCCTGCCGTCGAGGATTGGTTCTTCCCCTTCTGAACGTTCTAGACAATTGCAACGGGAAGCTTATCCACAAATAACAAGCCATAGCTTCAAACGTGTGGCTGTCTCGTCTTGACGAAGGCGAAGGTCAGTCACGGAAATGAGCCCCGAGGATAGTAGTCTTACTAATTCATGTACTTTATGCAGATCACTCAAATCTATACAGTGCTTGATGAGTATATCGACGGGACCGAAGCAGCTTTCATCTGGGCGAGGACAACACGCATCTGGATCTGGTCTCTGTTACGCGAAATGGAGGTTGCAGACAGGACCAGTGTTTTGCATACGTATGATTCAAGGACAGAACACAATGGAGTCCAGAACGGCCGCTTGCTACATTGTAACCAAGTCACCTGTGCTCTGTAGTGTGACTCTATCCAGCGTTTTGAATCCTCGTCCCATGGTTTCCTTCACAAGGAAGTTTTCAGTCGTACCAGCCCTGATGTGACTCCAGCAGACCCTCATTCTCATAACTGAAGGCGCCTTTGTCTTGTCTGCAGGAGAGAGCTTATGACGTGGAGCAGAGATGATGGCCAGGTCGACCGCGATGTATGCCTAGTCTATGTGTGTTATACCACTCCAAAGAGGATGCAAACAAGTTTCAGAGCCCAAACCTAACGGATGAAATGTCGCCGTGAGCGAAAAGCTGGTTTGCCGTGACCGTGGTTTGTTTGTTGATTTGTTGGTGCTGGTCTTGACAAACCGGGGGAGAACCCGACGGAAGATGAACCTTCCAAGGGCGCTCCTCTGGCTGTCCTCAACTTACCAAGTACTCAGAGTGGAACTGCGAAACGATTGGTTTGCGATTTCAGGGGCAACAGACAGTCGATTGTTGAGGTACCGACGTCGGGTGATTTCCTCTCGGTGAACTTTAAGACTCTATCTATTTGACCATGAAGCTTTCCCCAGCATCTCCTCTCTGTATCATGATACTGTGGTGATTGCTGTAAAGTTAGCAGGTTGCATGAGGAGAATCACGGAATTCGCGGTTGAATTCTGATCTGGTCAACGCAGTCAACTGTACCTGTAAGTGAAAATGTCCATATGTCTTCCGATACATTCTTGTTATCATCGATTCTGAAGAGACAATTTTTCAAGCCTACCAGCTCCCACATGTCAAACCCAGTACTGTCACCCTGCTGACAGCATCGGAATACCATCTTGAGCATTGAAATGAAACCAGCCTCTGCGTCTGCAGAACGACAAGATGAGGACCAACAGAATAATGAGATCTCGGAAACCGCGAACCCCAGAAATACCCCAGACGAGCACGGTCCTAATCCTGAACCACTGCGAGTTCTCAATTTTGCAAACGACGATGAACCTTCTCCATCAACGCCGGGAATATTTGTCCTGAAACTGCCGAACCTTAGTCCAGAATCAACGGAGCGAATCTTTCCCATCAGCTCAGTCGTGTCGGTCGATTCCTCCGCTCCGCCAACACCGGCAGCGGAGAACCCTGAAGAGCAAAACTCCCCCTGGGCTGAAAGTCTCCGTTCAAATTTTACTGTTGGCAAGCAATCACCCGGCCAGCCAGCTACGCCATCGCCCGATGACCGCAAGGACGCACCCTCGATTCAGAGCACAGTAGAAGCATATGGCAGTTCTTTGAATGTGACTACTGGAAGCAGGAAGCGAACCCCCTTGGAAATTGACTTAGCCAGAGAAATTTCCGACATATCATCCGAGGATGTGAATGTGTCTTCCCAGGGGGGCTCTGGACTTATGGAGCCATCCTCTGCTGCGGCCCAGGACTCGTACTTCGTAGGAGCAGGATCCTGGATCGACCAAACGGGAGCAGCAACCTGGATACAAGACATGGAAGATGACCCAAACTTCAAGCACATTCATGGGCTTGGTGCACTTATAGTGCTACAAGAGTCCAAAGGAAGTCTCATCGTCCAGGTTGCGAGCAAGAACACCGAAGAAGTTCTTGGCTACAAACCTGACCAGCTTTTCGCACTACCGAGCTTCTGCGATATCGTGAAGGATGATCAGAAAAAAGACTTTCTTGGCCGTTTTAACCTTGTCCGGGACAAGTGGTATAATGTCGAGCAGCACGGTCCAGATATCCACGAAGTCGATGTCCGTCAAGGTTACGGGACAACGAGGCGGCTTTGGTGTACGATGCATGCCACAAAGGCAAACTCTGGTCATATCGTATGTGAATTCGAATTGATGAGAGCCGTTCTTGATTATTGGAGGAACTCAGGGCCATCGAAATCGGTCTACGCAGTCTATGACAACACAAGCTCAGACGACAGATCGGATGAGAAGAACAGCACTCCGAGCATGCCTCCTGAGATGCAAAACATGCTGAGAGGAATCAGAGGAAATTTCCAGTCTGCGGATATGTTGAGCGCCTTGTCACTTGTTATCCAGCTGGCCGCGAACGCCTCCTCCCTGAGTATGCTTTTCAACTATCTTATTGGCATCATTAGGGAATTGACCGGTTTCAGCCGAGTGACTGTCTTTTATTTTGATCGTGACGGGAATGCGGTTCCTATGAACGATGCCGTTGACTCGCGCGTTATTGCCAGTTTCCCGGAAGACCTGCATTTCCCAAAACCGCTTTCTCCGAGAGACTTGGGAAGGTTTCATTTGGGCAACAAAGTTTGTCTCGAGTACAGTCATAGGCAGTCACACACTGAGCTGGTTTACCGTGATGCTGAAAATTTGCCGAGCGAGTTTGATCTAGACCACTCTTACCTGTTGGCGAGATCACCGTACCTTGTGGATCATGTCACCGGAATGCCGGTCTTTGCTTGCATGTCTATCAATATAAATGCCTTCGGACGTGCATGGGGGCTTATAATGTGCCAGTCGTACGAGGAAGAGATGCGGTTACCCCTCCAGTACGAAAGTTCTTCTGGCTGGTTAGCGACACACTTTCAGGCAATATTGAACGTCTTTCGAACACGATGACTGCCGACATGCAGGGTCCTTTCACTTCTTCAAACGACGGAGATGAGAAAGGCGATAGCTTTCAGGTGAAAGACTTACTGACCTTGTTCAAGGCGGATTATGCTGCATCCTTAATGTTAGGTGAAACCAAAATCCTTGGAAAGCCCCACGATGCGCAGGAAGTGCTCGCTTTAGTGGAATACTTGAAACTGAAGGAACTCGGTGCTGTCTTGTGTTCAACGGACATGACTCGAGATTTTCTGGACCTCAACTATACCCCTGGTTTCAAGTATCTATCCAATCTGCTGTACGTACCCTTGTCGACGGACTGTCGAGAGTTTATCGTTTTCTTCAAGGCGTCACAACGCGGGGACACGTTTCGTGCTCGGACTGATAACAATGCTCGATGTCTGGGTCAAGGACAGCCGACAGACCTTGGTTCAGAGGCGAAGGTGGCCGATCGTGAGACTGATGTATGGAATGCGGGAGACTTACAGAAGGGCTCCTTTCTGTCCTTGATATACAGGGCCATGCTGAAAGAGGTATGGCAGCAAAAGGAAACAACAATGCAGAGCACCCAGCTTATGCGACTACTTTTGGCAAACTGCGCACACGAGTTTCGGACGCCGCTGAACGCGATCATCAACTACCTTGAAATTGCATTGGATGGAGATCTCACTCAAGAGACTCGGGAGAGTCTTTCCAGATCGCATTCCGCTTCAAAATCCCTCATTTACATAATCAACGATCTCTTGGACCTCACGAACGCAGAGAACGGTATCAGCTTGATTAAAGACGAGAACTTTGATCTCGTGGAGACCATCCATGAAGCCTCGAGCATTTTCTGTGAAGAAGCGAGGCAGAAGGGTGTTGAACTTCATGTTGTACAGTATTCCGACATTCCTCCTGTGCTGGGAGACCAACGGCGAGTACGACAGGTCATCACGAACCTCATCAGCAATGCTGTTCAACATACATCTTCGTCGGGAACCGTGACTGTCGAATCATGCTTGTTGCCTGACTACACAGAGACTGGGAGACTTGGAGTTGAAGTAGCTATCCACGACACGGGAACTGGCATGTCTCAGAACGATATCGAAGCACTTTTCTGTGAACTAGAGCAAGTTTCGAACAAAGATTATATACGAAGTCGAAGTCCGCAACGCTGCGACAATGCCGTAACGAGCGACAGTAGCGGCTCGAGGAACATACTTGGGCTGGGCTTAGCCCTAGTTGCTCGCATAGTTCGCAATATGAACGGTCAACTCAGCGGGAAATCAGAGGAAGGCCAGGGGAGTTGCTTCAGGATCAAAATGCAGTTCCCTTTACCTTTCGACGAGTCCAATGAAGAGAACCTTGATTCTGACAGAGCGTCGCCGGTTGACAAAGGAAAAGCGAGGCAAAGTGAAACTGAAGACGGCCAAAACGTGCCTCCCAAGCAAGATGAAAGTCAGTCCAGCGAAGATGACAGAGCTCGGGCAGGGAAGAATACTGGATCCTCAGAGTGTGCAGATTCCACAAAACATGATAGCCATACATCAGACGACACAGTCACCGCGGGTCTTGCTCAACATGACTCTGCCTCGAAGCAAGAAGAATCAATAATACATCCTGACATAAGGACAAAACCTCCGTCTACCGAGGAGGACGGGCAAGCTCATCAACGACATCTAAGGTCCGCTGAGCAATCTACCAGAGCTTTAGCCGATGAACGGACGAAGCCAATCGAGGGAACAGCGGCCGCGTCCTCAGAAAGGACAGCAGAGCCAAGTCAAACCAAAGCCCAAACTCAGTCCGATGTCTCACGCAACGAGGCTGCAACTACTGCCTCTGACGGCCATTTCAAAAAGACCCTCCACATCTTAGTAGCCGAGGACGATCCCACAAACAGCGCAATCTTACGCAAAAGACTACGGAAATCGGGACATACCGTCTATATGACTGAGAATGGAAAGGAATGTGCTTCTGCATTCCGTGACAATGCGCACTCATTTGACGCCGTCCTGATGGATATACAGGTCAGTTCACAAAACTTCGTAGGTAACGATCAATCGTGAGCTGACCTCTCCAGCAGATGCCGATCGTCGATGGCATGGGGTCAACCAAGATGATACGGAAATATGAAGAGCTGACAGCTTCTTCGACTTCTGTTCCAGCGACTTGTCGGCCTCAGCGGATTCCGATATTCGCTGTCTCGGCATCTCTGGTGGAGAAGGATCGTCAGACGTATATCGACGCGGGGTTCGACGGGTGGATCATGAAACCGGTTGATTTCAAACGTGTTGCTCATCTTCTGGATGGAGTGTATAAGGAAGCGGTCCGTGAGGACAGTCTCTACAAGCCTGGCATGTGGGAGAAGGGAGGCTGGTTCGATAAGGGAGGTGAGAGCTAAGAATCCTTCTGTGGAATTGAGAGTTATGTCGGCATGAGACAGAGGCGGGAGTTTTATACCCCGCAAAGTATAGAGGTAACATAGATACAGAGTAGGAAACTCAGACGATGGTCACTATTAAGGTAGATAACAGATGCTATTTAATGGAGCTAACCATTCAGAACGAGATTGTCCAGTAAGAAGAGTTGTAGACCATCACATAACAACGACTTCAACTATATGCGCCATCTATGCATGTATGTATATGTGCATGCTATATGAACAAGATGTACAACGCCGACAAGATGCTGATGATTTGACCCAAGGGAGAGAAAACATAAACCAAGACCACAAAACCCATCTTTCAAACTACAAGCTGATCAATAGTACTCCGGCAAGTCCCCAAAATCCGGCACTGCATCTCCGCACTTGAACGATGGCGCATATGCCTTGGCTGGCATGAAGCCATTCTTCCAGGCGGTCCTGTAGCTCCACTGTGCCGCAGACTCGGTGCGCCAGGTCCAGTAGAACCAGCCCTGTCCGGTCTCAAACGCAGACATCTGTGCCTCTGCGTATGTCTGCAGAAACTTCTTGTAGTCGGCCGAGTACTCACTGACGTCTGCGTTGGCGTTGGCGCAGCTGCAAGTGGGCCCAGTGTCGGCGGTTGGGCAGTATTGGGTTGAGTCTGTGAGGGAGAAGGTTCCTTCCCAACGGGTGCCGCGGCCGACGTTGTTGAGGTATTTGGCGCAGTCTGTATCGGCTTGGGACCATTCGCCGCAGATCGTTGGGCCCCAGCTATAGACAAGGGTCAGTATGGTGAGCTAAGAAGACGAGGAAGAACGTTGAAGGAAGACAGACCCTGTGCTTGTAGAGTTGATCTCTTTGATCATGTTGTACCAGTCGTTGCAGATTAGGTTGACTTTCGCGGTATGGTTGAGGCCTATTTGCCCTGTATTGAAAATGGTGTATTGGTGCGTATCCAGTAACATCTTGTCGGGACGGTTCTTGAGCATGCTCTTCCATTTACTCAGGTTCAGGAAGCCATCGTGCAAAGCGACGTACGCCGTGATGCCGTTCTTCTGCACGAGCTTCGTGGCCTCGGTCGTCCAGTCAAGGACATCCTCGATTGAGAGCGAAAGCATCAGTGGCTCATTCACGAGCCCGTAGATCGTGACGATATTCTTGTATCGGTCCTGCGCGAAGAATTTGGACACGCTGTCGTGAACAGCGAGAGACCGATTGCGGTTGAGCTCGCCATCTGTCCCATTGAGCCAGCCAATGGCACCCTCGCGACCGCTGTGATTCCACCCGTTCTGACTTCCAGGAATCCCGTGCGGGTCGAGCTTGACTCGGAGCCCGTATTTTCTGCAATACTCGATTGCTCGGAGGAGATATCGCCACGAAATCTTTGCAACATAAGGGTCGTCGTCGTACGTTGCTACCGCCCAGTAGGAATATTGGATGCGGACGTGGTCGAGACCTGCATCTCGGATGTCTGCAAAATCTTGTTCAGTGATGAATGTAGCGTAGTGCTTCTCAATTGTCCTTGCTGCGGAGCTGCCGAGTCTCTTGGACAGTGTCCATTCATCAATGATCCCTGCGACCGAGGAGTAAGAGTCGAACAATGAAGGAACGATGAACGGTTCGATTGACAGCCAGCCTCCCAGATTAACGCCGCGGATTGGCTGTGACCCATACGGGAATGGTTCATTCAATGGGGGAACATTGTCGTTTGGTCTAGCCGAGTCGTCCCAGGTTGAGTTCAAACCCATGATGGAAAGGCCACCAACCGTCTCATTTGTAAACGTGACATTGAAGTCAGTCGTGTCATACCATGTCCACGGGTCCAGATATGTTCCCTGAGCGTAAGCCTAGTACAACGTCAGTGGAGGACCCAATGAGCATATCTGCTTGATCAAACGTACTGGAATGCTGTCACGGCTCAACCCGTCCAGATTCGATTGACCAGGAGAGGTTCCTTGTGGATCTGCCGGGTCCGACTTGTTGTCATGTTTCTTGGACACGACGACGGCGACGGGAATCACAATGACCAGGATCAGGATCAGAGCGCCCAAGCCAATCCACCTCTTTCGCTTCCAGAATGGCCGTCTGCCGCCTGCATCGTCCATACTGCCTCCCCAGCTACCTTCTTTCCGCCATCTAGCTTCCATTGCTGGGCCACCACCTCCACGATGGCGGACTTGCATCTCGGGGCTTCGCCCTTCTTCAAGGTATGCCCCAGATGCGACCCTCGCCTTCGTCCGATCTCTGTGTGACTCGCCAGGCGGATCACGCAAGGCGCGGCTTTCTTCTCCCACGACTGCTCGCTTCTTCTGACGTTTCCTCTCCGCTTTGGCGGCGTCCTTCGCGTTCTCGCGTTTCCGACGCTCCTCCTTCTCATATTGAGCCCCGAGCCTAGCCAACGCATCCGCGCTCAGCAAATTCGACGCACTATTGGTCGAATCACTGCTCTGATGCTCCCTCGCCGCTGCATCACGCCCCGCTTCCCTTCGTCTAGATCTCCGCGCTTCAGCATCCGACTCGCGGCCTCTCTCCCGACGGCCGTCTCTCGTCCGATGTCGCCCATCATCCTCATATGCCCTGCGCCTGTTCTGACCGTCCCGGTCCCTGTCGCGATGCCGCTCATGCCGCTCGCCCCTTTTCGGAGCCTCCCTCGCCCGCGATCTTTCCCCTCGTCGCGCATCATAGTCATCGCCGTAAGATCTGCTCGCTCGCGGGTGCGGGCTGCGCTCATCACCTAGCAATTCCTCGTCAACCGCCCCCTCCGCATCGCGCTCGTAGTACCCGCGCGTCCGCGACTCACGCGGGGGACGGTACCCGTCCCGTCTGTATCGGCGCTCGTTAAGGTCGTGCTCAAGTTCGTCATCGTCATAATCGTCGTCGTTGTCGTCAGTTGCGTAGCGCCGTCGTACATAGTCGTAGTCATACCGTGCTTCCCGGTCGCTGTCGCGACCGCCGTAGCGGTCCCGACTTCGGGAGTGACTTGGCATGCAAGATTATTCCGTGGATTGGAATGTTCGGCGGGGCGGATGTCAACAACCGGTATGTAGGAGCTGCAGCGGCTTTGGTTTGTTTATGATCGCTGTCGGACTGGCTGAAACCCTTGAGGGATGTGTCGGCGCAGATATGGTTCGTGGCTGTAATTAAAAATTAATATCATGCACCAGCGTGCAGAAATCATTCACTATCAGAGTGTGACATGAGCGCAATCGATCCGATCGAGGGAGCGAGCACAGCCTAGTATCAAAACAAAGACAAGAAAAGCATACGCGTTGCCAACCACGGCACGCGATCTGGGCCAAGGCTGCGATTCTTGAGCTTCTTAATACCAGACAGACATATAACCCTTGTATCAAAATTCAAAGTCTCAATTCTCGAGTCTCGTTAATAAAAATGAATCGAAGGTACGGTCGTCCATGAGGCTAGCCCCTGGCTCTGATCCTGGTGGAGGTAGGATGGCTGTGCCTGACAGGAGCGCCAGTTGCGGAGCAACGGGGCGGTAACAACCAAGATAGGAACGAGGAGAATAGTTACTCTCAACATCATAGCCTTTAATGCAACATTGAATGTGTCTTAAATGAAGAGGGCAAAGAGAGGCTTGATCGTAGAGAGCTGCATTGGTCGTTTTAGGTTCGAGATAGATGGTAAGCACGTGGTTTCCGGAGATTGAGGACACGGATGTCAAACTATGTGATACGGATGGTCTGTGGGAAGTCCGATCGGAAATTCATTGACAAATTAGGGGGAAAGACAAACAATTCGAAAGAGAAGATGCAGTGGTATAAGTATCTATCTAGCTTCATCAATCTGATACTCAGAATGCCTCGCGTGGCCAGTTTCTGACAATTGTCAAGAGGTATGTGAACGCCATATATCGGGATGAAAAAAAGACCAAAGTAGAAGATCATGAAGAAAAAGAGTAGAAAAAGATCCTGTCGATTGTACATGGACAATGAATATTGGAATACCAAATGAACATCCAGGAAATATGAAAGACATGTCATATCTGCCACCTCCGTCTGTACAACTCCGGGTTCCGCCAACTTAAGGATTAGAACGACACGAAAGAATGCGATGATATTATGCCTTCGCTGACTTCAGGGGAATCAAAAAAGGAGACAAAATTATAAGAGGAAATTTTCCGCGGTGCAAAGCTGCCTGTAATAAGATATTGCGCATCAGATGTGCCTGTGGCGCGACCGGAAAATGCATCAGTTTTGGGAAGAGTGGCCATTCATTGGCGGCCTTCATAACTGACATGTCGCGTAGGCAAAGTGAAAAATGAACGGAGAAGGGTAGGCCTCGAACGTCCGTACTGATAACCGGGCAGAACAATGCACTGCCCGTCGCCCACTTTGTCACATCCTGGATCGACTCGTGGGTTGCATCGCAGCTCTCGTCGACTTCCCGCGTGCGCCCTCGAGGGCCACAAGAGGCAGAATGCATAAAGGACCAGCCCATTGGTGCAATATGTCAGTAGTGTTTTCTCTTTTTTCTTTTTCTTTTTTCCACTTGTTCAGTGGCTGGCGATTTTGATGTTCGATCCGCCACCTCTGGGAGCACGATTTTTCAACAGGAGGGATTATCCACGGCTTCCTGTCCTAAGCCTGGGGCCTATCCAGCCCTGTTGTGAAACCGTTATGAACTGATAATTTGTCTTGCACCTTCCTTGCCCAAGACGCCTGGTTCCTGAGGCTTCGGGCTTCTGTCACGCCCCTTCTTGCGGCTCAAGAATGCGAGCATACCACTATTGGAGGATTTTCCCTTAACTGACGCACTATCGTAGCCCTCGGCCGGAAGAGTAGAGCTGTGGTCGGCGAGCTCACTCCAACTACCCGCTTCTTCCAATACCATCTGAACACCTCCGCCCTTACTTGTCTTGCGGGTGGCTCCTCGTGGACGATTGGGGCCAGGGGGCGGAAGCGGCCGAGAGAACGAGGGAGCGGGTGGGGCGGCGGGGAGGAGCTGACGGAGGCTGCGCGTTTGCAGTATGGTCTGGCGAGTCGTGCGCCTCACTATGACTGGTATTGTCAGGTTGGGTCAAGTGACCGACGGAACCCTCAGTGCGTGAGGTCGGTGAGTTCCTCGACGTGTCAGGCTGCGAATAATGACGAGCGTGGGCTGAAGACGTGGCGGATTGGAGACAATCCTCAGGATTCCTGTCGGCAAATGTGAGTATCAGATGTCGGTGAATGAAGTCGATGTGGTGGCACTTACTTTGACGCCGCTATTGCCTCAGCAGCATTGCTGAAAACTCCGTTAGCACGGAACCCAGATAGATCCTGCTGCGGCAACTCCTGGACATACCCTTGATATGTAACTGTGGTGTAGTCGAAAGGTTCAAACATCGTCTCGATCAGACGGTGAAGCTCATCCTCTCTGATTTCCTTCGCCGTTGCATCCTCTCTCAATTCCGCCCTTGGCTTTTGTCTCCGCGCCCGAGCCTCCAGAGGCGCCTCTTCGAGGAGAAGCTCTTCCAAATCATACGTGGCGTCAAAGTTGGTCTTGTCGCTAGAAGGTCGGAAAACAGGTGGAACTTCCTTGCGTTCCAGAGCAACAAAGTCGATCTCTGCGAAGAACATATGCGAAGTGAAAGTGTCAAATCCAGTGGCCCCTATTCGTTTGCTTCGGTCCTTCTCCAACAGCGCAGACATTGCTCGCAGGCACGGAACTGAAACAGCGGGGTTGGTGACGTAGTATTTCGGTTGAGCCTTTTTAATGTTCTCGCTTAGGACGTCCTGGCTGCGACCTTCAAAAGGTCGCTATATTGCTAGTTAGAGTAGTGCGAGAGACCAGAATTGCGGCCAAAGCAAGTCCATACCTTGTTATAAATGCATTCGTAAAATGTAACACCGAGCGACCACCAATCCACTTCACAGTAATAACCTCCGCCTTCGTACACCTCCGGAGCCAGATAAGCCAAGGTTCCTGACTTGCTTGTGAGGGGCTTGCCCGGTCGAAAATCGGATGCCACATTCTGCAATGAGGAAGAGAGGTCAGCGGATAAGATAACTGGGATCGCATTGCTCAAGAGGGCGCCACATACGAAATCCGCCAAATGCACATGCCCTTCCGAGTCTAGCAACACATTGTCCGGCTTCACATCTCGATGAATGATACCTTGTGAATGGATGTATCTCAAAGCACAACCGAGTTCTGCCATCCAGAAGCGTACTGCCTCTTCTGTAAAGCACTTTCTTGAGATATGGAATCGCAAATCACCGCCGTTCATCAAATCAACCACGATATATCTTCACGAGATATTAGCAACCAGTGTCAGGGCCATCCAGGAAGCTTGCTGTAGAACGCACATGTACTCGATGTCTTGGAAACTGTATCTCAAGTTGCAAAGAAAGGGATGGTTTAAGTGTTCGAGCATTCGTCGTTCTCGAATGATGTTTCTTACGCTCTCCGATCGCACAACTAAAGAAAACGAAGCAAATCATTAGTACGCTGCACCAGCAAGAGAATCGGACGACATCAAAGCTCCCACCTTCTTCTTTCCGAATGTACTTCAGAGCAAATGTCAGGCCGGTATCCTTCTTCTCCACGATGCGAACCTTTCCAAAAGCACCTTTCCCTACCACTCGAAGGAGGCGAAATTGGTTTAAGTTCACTATCACAGGATAAGTTAAGAAGAGTCAGTGAACACGCTCCATACAATTGAAAACGACAGGTGCGTCCAGCACACCAAGATAAAGAACCGGCGACGCACCTTCATCGGTGGAGCACACCGGTTTCCCTTGCGAGTTACCCATTGAGAAACTCTATCCGAGAAAACTCAAGTATTGCGTTCGGTTTGGTTAAATCACCGCGGACGCATCCCAATCGTTGTGCTGCAGGGATCGGACCCGGACGATATATGGTGATTCGCAGACGCAGACGGAAACGACGATTGGCGTATGGAAAGGAGAAGTAGACGGGCAATTGCCAGAAATTCAAGGTATAGGGGACTCCGAGCGGTCGCAAGCCGGGCACATTAATGCTCCTAGATTTCTAGAAGAAGAGACAAAACTATCAGCATCGTAACAAGGAATCGCAGCACCTGGAAAGGCGACGGCAGCGGTACAGAAGGAGAATAACGTGGGCGGAGGGGTTCTTTTCCCCGATAGGCTGCGCAAGATCTTTGCAGGAGTTGAAACTTACCCTTTCAATGAAGGGAATGCAATGGGATCAAATGATGAAGTAACGAAACAGTCTCAGACAATCTGGAGAGGTCGTATGTGATGGAAAAAGTGAGACAGTCTGCCTTGAGGACCAGAACAGCGAGAAGGGATGAATGGCGTTTGAGTCTTGGATGATTTCCGGACTGGCTGAGCGTATCCCGTAGTAGGAGTGGTACTGTTAGTATTGCCTTAGCCCCTAATACGGAGTAGTCAGAAGGCGGCCCCGGTCACTAACAGAGGAGGGTACAACAAAGTTTCCAGTCCACCAGCATACGGGAAGATTGTACTCATCACTCACCCGATCAAGAGCACATTTCTGAAGAATTATGATCAAGAGATTCGATTACCCCAGTGAGTTTTGCTGGTGTTGTTGAAAAAATGGTACTTCTGTAGGTGGACAGTGCTCTCAATAGGAGAGAAACGCGCGAAACTCTTTTTTTGGACCCTCTAGAACAGTTTGATGATAGGCGAAAGGTAATTTGCCCTGCTGACAACTCTGACAAGCATAAAATAAGAGGGACACCAGCAATACGAGCGGACAAGCCAGCTTTCTAACTGAAGTTAAGCTATCTTTGAGGCTTGAACTCTAGCTCTGCTGTCTCAAAGAACCCAGAGGGGAAAAGTGCAGGTTTTGACCGACGTGGAGAACTAGAGCAGTCCACCGAATAGTAACTGCCAAGAAGGGATAGGAGTTTCGGAAGCTGCTGCGGAATAGTCGGGGCTACGCCGTAGTATCATTATTTTGGTCAACAGCAATGTGAAGAATGAAGGTACCCAAAGTCCAGGAGACAGAAGAGATGCCGCTTGGGCCCATGAGCGAATGGGAAGAGGTGTGGTCTACGGAGTACAAAATCTTGGACAGACTCCCAGGGGAACGAGGAAAAACAAATCAGAACGGAGGAAACCAAATGGGGATAACTACTTCTAAGCACTGACTGGAAGAGCCAGCAGTGGAATGGAAGACTAAGCATGTCTTGGAGCCTTGGACATTGGAGAATCAACGAACTAGACCGACAGTCGCCTAGGGCGGGTCCTTGAATAATATGGAACAATGGAGGATCTTGCAAACTAATAGTAGTACCCTTAGCTATTCATACCGGAGGTAAAAGTGTCGTGGGGAACTCCTGAGTGCTTGTGATGAACTTACGATCATATTGCTACTATGCTTAACTGGGTACTAATATTAAAAGTCTCGTACGGAGTACATAAGACTGATCTCAAAGTACGACTGAGCCGACAAGCCACCGCTGACCTGTCAACCCATCATTCGATGACAGTATAAACCTGCTCCTTCTGGAATATCTTCCAAGGCTTGGTTCTGACCAGTCACTTTCCCGAATTCTTCCATTCTTTGTTCCTGAGGTGGTGTCCATGTAAGCAGTGAGCAGCATCTCGTGGCCGCCACGTTTTGGGGCCGACCAGCATGACCGCCCAAAGGTAACCCCTAGTCTACCGATAACCAACAAACTAGACAGTGCTGTCCATCGTCGCAATATCATCAGAAGGCTTCTCTTGAATTTGTTATAAACAGCCATGTCCGAAATCGATCTTCCAGCTGTCATACTACTTAAAGCACAATTGAACAAGCGGAATATTTCTTATCACTGGCTGTTTGAAGGGGTCAGTCTAGGGCAGCCCTTCGTATCACAACAGCACTACTAGTCAAAGGAGCTTGCAGATCATCCAAGCCAGACTACTCTAGCTGCATATCAAACAGCAAAGGAAAAAACAGATCCCTGCTCCCAAAGGAAGGGAGATGGCTGTCTCATGTTTCAGGCATCAGATGGATGAATCATGCGGAAGCTTTTGCCTCTTCAGATCACTGACATTATTGTTCAGCCAGACCACAGTGCAGGGTCTCCGTACCCAAGTTACTTCTGGACTGTACGGAGTACAGTCTCAGACACCATGTCATATCAGTGTCCTCATTCATACGCATAATTTGACATGATAATAATGGCATATGGACTATGAAGGCGACGTTGCCGCCTCCAATAGTCCTCCTCACATGTCACATCAAATAACCCGGCAAGACCTCCCGTCCCGACCACAGCAGGAATCAGCCATGAAGCCGTCAAAGGATCGTCACTCGTCAGCGGTGGTCTCCTTCACTTGGATGACACTCTTAATCGGACCATGTCAATTTAGTCGAGATTCAAGTGGAGTCGGGAACCATTGTTTTCCAAGGATTTGTCGTCAACCGTCGAACCAGTGCCGATCGTTTTTGAGGGGCCAGAGAAAGATCCACAGAGGACAGTGCTAATTGCTAATACGCAGTTGCTCCGTACTCATAGACCACTGACCACTGAACATCTCGGGAGTCGGGAGCAGACACTACGACATGTCTAATAATGAGCTGGCGACAGCTTTTGAGACTGACTTTTCGGGACGACCAAATACGTACCATGAATGCAGACTTTCAGAGCTCAAAATTAATTATACTTCAAACTACTCCAGATAGGGGTGCTATCCCGATAAAGGACTTGGCTGGCTTACATAGCGGTAACTGTTTCCTAACTTCCTATTTTCCACATATTCTTACCATTGGATGGCTCGATTCCTTCGTGGAGTTTATCATCCTGTGGCTGATAAAGGAGAAATGGTTACCTTGTGTATTTATTCTGACGGTGTGCATATCCTCCTGGGATTAGAAGCAATGTCAGCTGCAAATGCTCTTCCTACAGAGTAGATGCATCATCCTCATGGAGGACCCTTGCATTCCCCATCCACATTTCCCAAAAAACGACCTTAATATGACGGATCAGTGATCTCTCATGTCCATCTATGACCTCTATAAAAGCATATCCCAGCCGGAAAACCTAATCGGGGTCCACCATTTCATATCTCCGAGGAGACTAAGGTATCTTCCTCAGTATTCAGGTGCCTTACCTACGGACTACCTTATCCTGCTTATTATTGCCGTCCATTAGGACGGAGCAATTACCCTATTCGTAGCCCTATACCGTAAACAAGATTTCGCCTCTACCGATCTGCACATCCCATTATTGTCTACATGTGATCTGACAGCCCCGGCTGCTTACTACCGTGGATAGATCAGTCTGAGACAGTCAATTGTTGCCTGTGAGGGGGTGGATGTGATAGATCCATGCCGTATCTGGTGTCGACCTGTCAGGGAAATCTGGTTGATACAGGTCATAACTTATAAACCTTGAGAATCGTCTTGCATGTCTATCACTACCTCGTCGACGGCTTGACTTCTCATACCATTCAAACCATTCAAACCAGTATCAAAGATCAACTGTCCTTTCCTGAATAATACGTGCACCCGTCAAACGAACAATATAAGACCCGAAATAATGCCCCTTTATCAAGAACGCCATTTAGCATCCCATCTCCGCATAGCCTTGCCTCTCCATAGAATGACCCTAATTATCCAAACTTGAAACTCCCAGATGCTAATCAACAACGCTTTCTCATTGTGTCATGCACGTAACGCCATCACTCACCAGCGTCGTCCATATACAGAATCCTCAGCCCTAGGAGCCCGCTTCTCCGCCTGGCGATTCCGGTCTTGCGAACTGGACTGGCCCCACGGCCGACTGCTTCCTCCGTTTCCATTATTCTTGGAACTAGAGGCGCTGGATTCTGTCAATGATGCCCCCGATTTGATAACGTCGATGTTTCCCCGGTCACCCGAGAAGCGTGCTTCGGCATCGCGACCAAAGAGAGCCATCATATCGTTCATCGTAAGCTTGCCTGCTGCGCTCTTGCCTTCAATAGTGAGATTGGCCAACTCGCGCTTGCGGTCTTGCAATTCCAGGATCCGCTCTTCGACAGTGTCTTTGATAATCATCTTGTAGATCTTGACATCAACCGTCTGGTTAAGTCGATGGACTCGATCGATAGCCTGTTCCTCAACGAACTAGAACTTCATTAGTCAATCGTAATCACCAGTTCGCCGTGGTCACTTACAGGATTCCAAAATGGTTCTAAGATCACGACTCGACTTGCAGCCGTAAGGTTGAGTCCCAAGGCACCGGCGCGCAAACTGCAGAGTAGCACCCGAGTTGCACTGTTGTGCCTCAATCTATCTAGACTGGCCTCTCGGAGGTCGTTTCGCATGCTCCCGTCGTATCTTGCAAAGCCAATGCCAGCACGCTTCAAGAACGGTTCGATCTTGTCAAGCATCGAAGTGAAGACCGAGAAGACAATGAACTTGTAGTCTCCGGCTTCACGTCTAAGGATCTTCATCAAATGCCGGATCTTGGTGGAAGGCAGGACTTGACTCTCATCGTCACCAGGATTCAAATAAATATCCTCATCGGTGTCCGACTCCGAACCCTGATTTCTTCTCGAATTGGAAACAATGGCAGGCTTCCGTGTTGGGGACTCAGGACCACCGTCCTCATCGGTCTCAGAGTCCTCGGAACTCAGCCATTCGCCACCTCCCTCAGCATCTTCGTCATCAGTCCCACCAGCTTTTCCAAGATTAGGCAAACTGCGTTGGCCCTCCGGGACGATCCACTCCCCATCGTCCTCGTCCTCGTCGTCGCTGTCAATAACAATTTTCCTGTTTCTCCGAGCTCGAGCCTTCTGCGTTTCGGAGAATTTATTTGATGGTGAGTCGGTGAGATCCACCTCTATTCTCGGCTTGTGAGAGCTCTTCTTCTTGCCTGAATTGATACCACCAAGCGTGGCCTTCAGATCGGCCTCGCACTCGCCACACCTGCTGGAACTGCTCGTTACTTCTTCCTTGCTCAGCTCTGTCTGGCAAACATCGCATTTCTTCGAAACGACACTCAGAGCTCCAAAGAGATCAGCCATACTATCGAGATCATCCTGCTTTCCAGAGATAGATTGGCTATTAGAGGTCCCGTTCTGCAAAAGAATATCTTTGTCCTTTGCAAGATCGCTCTTGACCAGATCTGGATGGTTGCATGATTGTCGTAGACGTAGTAGTAAGACCAAAGCACCGGCGTAATCAACTTTGGAGCCGCCCATCATCTTCTCGAGGCTACTTTCCGTTCGCTGTTCGAGACGTTTATAAAAGTTCATCTCACCGGGCATGAACTCCGCAGCTACCTTGATGACTTCTCGTTTGGTGATCTGGAAGCCGGTCGACTTCTTCTGCTCCCCGTCAGCACCTGATCCGCTGGGCTTGAGGTTAGAATTCAGCCTCAAAACGTCCTTAGTGCGCCGCTTCATGAACGCCTTCAAATAAACCTGTAGGCGCTCAATCGCAAGGGCCCCACGTCCGTTAGCCAACGGCCTTGTGATCTGATCCTTCCAAGCCGCTAGGTCGTTGTAGGGTTTGATCCGCAGAAATTTGATCAAACTCTGAAGCTCGTCCAAGTTGTTCTGCATTGGAGTTCCCGACAGACACCATCTATATTCTGCATCAAGCGCACAGGCAGACTGCGTTGCCTTGGCATTTCGATTCTTGATAGTATGCGCTTCGTCTAGGACTATCCGGTACCAATAAACAGAGAAAAGTCCCGATTTCTTCTTGTTCCTATCGACAGCTCCATACTCGGAGGTTAAGGTGCCATATGTCGTAATCACCACATCGTAGGTGTCCAGGCTGTCCGTTGCTTTCGCGCGAGTATTTCCGTGGTAGACACAAACACGTAGCTTATGAGAGTCCTCAACCTTGGTTGCTATTTCTGCCTCCCACTGTTTAATCAATGCCAATGGGGCAACAACAAGAGTCGACTTGCTTAGCCCAGGAGGTACCTTGCGCACCTTCTCATTGTCTTGGTCGTCACTGCTGTTGTCATCCGTTTTGGAGGCGCCGGCCTTGAACTTGTCCGAAGATTTCTGATTGGTGAGTAACAGGGCGATGGTTTGAACAGTCTTTCCCAGACCCATATCGTCTGCGAGTATGCCACCCTTGGGAAGCACTCCTTTGGCGTTGCCTGACCCTCTCTCTTTGTCACACATCCAATTCACTCCTTCCCTTTGGTGAGGGAGTAGCTTAACTTTCAAGCCTTCGACTGTCCCATCATCTTCTTCCTCGTCTTCCTCCTCTTCTACTTCCTCATCATCCTCTTCACAGCCATGCTCATCGTCTTCAGCTTCATCTTCAGATGACTTCTCGGAGTCCTTGATTTCGCCGTTGTCTGCTTTATCAATGTTGTCTTCTGCCTTCAGCTCGTCCAGTTCACTCTTCTCAGTAGCAGCGCTTGACTCGTTGACGGTAACTCCTTCAAGTTGAGCGGCTAGGTCGTCAATTTCAGAAGTGCCCTGCTTCTGTTGTTCCTTGGCCTTCACCTTCTTCTTCCGGTTCCTACTCTTCTTCCGGTTCTTTGCCTTTGATCCTTGCTTGTCATCGTCATCCGTAAAAGCCCCTTCAAGCAGAGCTTTGATGTTTTCGTTGGCTTTGACAGGATCAACATAGCCGTTGACGTCCATTGACCCAAACCCCGTATTGCGAGGCCTATTGCTGGGTGTGAACCCTCCCTCGCGGGTAAGATCAACGAAGTTGCTCAGATTTTTGGATGCTTTGTCCATTTTGATGGCTGAAGATGCATAGAAAGTCTTGGGAGCTCGCGGGGTGGTGAAGGTGACATTCTCCGGACGGCGAATCTCCACAACATCGTTGTTGACCGGACGCGAGTTTCGATGGTTGTTATAGGCCGAAGGTCGAACAGGCTTGAAAGGATCGAACGGCTCGCTACGCTTCGGTGTGGATGCTACAGGGCCACTTGAGCCACCAGTTGGTCTGTGACCCTGATGGTTCACACTAGGGTGAGGAGCATTGTATGGTCTTGACTGCGGTGCAGGTCTGTGATGTTCAGGTCGAGCCCGGTTCGGCTTTGGGATATTGAAAGGACGGTTCGACTGTTGCTGATGGGGTGGGTTTGGACGTTGATATGGGCCGAGAGGAGAAGGTTTCCCAAATTCAGGTTGCTGTGAGAAAGGACGCTGGGTGTGCTCGTTTGGCCGCCGAGGGGTCATCGGGTACGACGGCGGCGCGTCGCTTTCTTTAGCCATTGCGTCGCGGTAATTGTGAACGCCTCTCTGAAGTTCGTCAGATGCAAGAGGCAATTGTCATCCGGTTATGTCTTGTTGAGTCAGTCTCGGATGACTGATTTTCGCGGTGGAACCTTAGCAGGTAGTGCGTTGAAGAGGGGCAGAAAGGGAGGTGAAGCCAAGGTATGATATTGCAGATCGAAGCGGATTCAGTAGCGTGTCATCTGTCCTGTACAGTGGATTCTTCAATCTTGCCTTGAGAAGCCGACAACTTGAGAGTAATAGCAGGCTAGGCGCTCATGTTCGGTGGTCGCTGCTAGTTGTATTCGACAAGCTATAGTAGCCTGGTACTGGCCTCGAATAATCAGACTGGAGTAGAAATCAGCATTCCCGTGCTTGACCTTTGACAAGCTCGATCTTCTTGTGGAGCTGTTTGTGGTAAAAATCCGTGTCGTTAGTGCCAACATGCCACATTATTATCGATAGCGTTTTGTTTGGGATTTTGCCCCAGCAACCGTGTATCTGCCTTAGCGCCTGAGGCTATTATTATCGATAAAGTCGAAACAACGCGATAACGACCAGATTTCAACGATAATGGCCTGATATCTCTCGACCGATAATGGCTTCAAAGCTACGGTTATGGACTTTTCCTTTTAGCCCACCATTTCCTTTGACGTCACTCTTTCCTAATTATAAACATGGAATCTCTCTGCGAAATTTTTTTTGGAATCCGAAGTCGACGGTTAAAATATGTAACCTAGCCTCTGTACACTCTTCGCTAAACATCAAGAAAACCAAACGTGAAGCCCAGCGTCCCTAAATATCTCCAATGACACCCTTCAATATCTCCGGGACTATAACACCCGCGTCTCCTTGGAAGAACCAATCACCCTTTTTCAAGCCAGAATACCCAACATCATTGCGGTCCATATTGACCACAGCGACTCGGGCCCCTCTCGCACGCGCCTTATCAACATAGCCTGCAGCTGGGTAGACTCTTGAACTTGTTCCAATCACCAAGATCAAATCCACGGGACCAGAATTCAGCCAATTGTCCACCATTTCGAGCGTGTGTAGGGGTAAACTCTCTCCAAACCAGACCACCCCTGGCCGCAAAAGCCCTTCTTTACATTCTGGACAATGTGGCAGGGCATCCTGACTCAAAGCAGGGAGCGGGACGTTCTCGTCTGATATGTCCAGTTCCGTCTCCTCCGTTCTTAATGCGTTGGATAGCGCCTTTGAGGCCTCCTCGCCAGTCTTATCTTCAGCAGATGGGCTCAAGTCCGGGACACCTTTCGGTATGGCAAGTGCAGGGACTATCGGATCGGTAAAGTCATTTTCGCGCACATAGTTGCAGTAGAATGAGGTACATTTGACCGTAAAAAGAGACCCGTGGAGGAGGTGGAGCTGTTCCGAGGGATGGTTTGTGCGTTGTGAAAGACCTATATCGAAAGCCCATTCATCAGCCTTGTCCTACATGCGCACCGAATTATGCAGGCTAGACAGTACCATCAACGTTCTGTGTGAGAGTAATAAAATCCTTATCTCTCCTTGCAAGCTCTGCGAGGGCGTAGTGCGCGCGGTTAGGCTTCGCTTTAAGTGCCATGTGTCTTCGGTAGCTGTAGAACTGCCATACTAGGTCTGGGTTGGCCTCGAACGCCTCAGGCGTCGCCAAATCGGTGGCATCATAAGATCGCCAGAGGCCGCCGGCTCCTCGAAATGTGGGAAGACCAGAAGATGCAGATATGCCAGCCCCTAAGAGTGCCAGTATGCGTTTACACCCTTTCAAGTATTCAGTAAACGATCGCAGATCAGCTGCTGGTATTGCCGATGAGGCCATAATGTTCAGGTCACGGCTCTTAAACTGCTATGTTTCATAGATGAAGACGCAAAAACAGGAACGCAGAAAAATCTCTTTAGCAAGCCAGTTTGAATTATATTCAGAGCGTGAAACTCATATCTATAGTAATAATTGATGATTGAGCTGTCGTTTTTCCCTTTGCTTATCCTAATGCGGAGCAGCAATGACGTGGGGTAGCAAGAAGATTATTAGTCCGACTCCAAGTGGGGTAGTCCAGTTGGCGGAATCCGCTGTCAACTGGCAAAAACATGCGAGTCCACTTTGCCGATTCTGGGATTCAAATTGCAGATAGATACTCAGAAGAACATACGATCAGAACAGTAAATTTTTTTGTTACTAAGGTAGGTGACACAGTCAGTGTACTTGAAGAGTCGTACGCTCGCTATCTGAGAGTGATGAGCAATTTGACAGGATTCAATGTTGTTCCTCCGTCGGAAGCCCAACATTGACTGCTGTCACAGCATAATCCCGATTGTGCTTGTTCATATCGGCAATGAATGAGGTGATGTACTCTGGTACTTCAGAGACCTTGTTCTCCGGGCTCGGAACAGGGTCTCCAAACGCCTCATAGACAGGCACAACGCCCGTCCAGACCCTATTGGTCACATCGTTGTTGCTCTTGTCCTTTCTCTCGTCAGAGACACCGCCATCTCGAATCTTGCCACTGCCGTCGACAATCTTGACTTTAAGAATGACGGTGGAAGACATCTCGGCATTGTCTGGGGGTACTCGGGTATGGTCCCAGCGATGCGGCAACACCGAATTCGTAATGAGTTTCATCGCCCAGAGTTTTTCTGCTTCGTCCGTGACCGGCCTAGCATAGCCGTGAAGGATAGCGGAGCGGTAGTTGTAGCTATGCGAATTCGGTGTAAGAGACAGGATTAATCCGTCTACCCTACTCGCAGCGATGCAGACAGGCAATCCGTCTCCTTCCGGTTTTCTCGCTAGATTCATGATCCGTGAACTGACATATCCATGTAGATAGCAGTCTAGAGGCTCATCAAGTCCAGCCGATGGATAGTCAAATGAGCCCATCTTACCGATCATGGGCAGTATGGCAGGAAAAGGATCCGGAAGCCCTGGACTGAACGACACATGGAGCACTTGACTTGAGTTGATGATAGAGTGAATAGCGCCGAGGTCATACGTTGCTGGTTTATTCCAAAACTCAGTATACTCCATCAAAATGTCATCTCAATCACTCATACCTCGATGCTTGTACCTGTTCACCGTGTTCGCATCTCGCTTCGGATATGTAAGTGTTCTTCCCATCGTGTGTTGTCGAAGCAGGTTTTATGCCAAACGTAACTCAGAAACAGGACCTCTCGTCTGGTATCAGCGCTTGTGGCTTGATTTAAGAGGAGCTGCAAACAGCAGTGTGAGTCATGCGAACGTTGTTCCAATGCAGACCTTGCATTTTGTAGTATATATCTAGAGGTTGGAATAATTCATTGGGAATCCCGAGAATGATGGTCACCACCATGCGGCGCTCGCGCGCCAATGGAGCAATGAGCTACTTGCTGCACCCATAAATGTCATATCAAGATTCCAATGATTTTTTTACAAATCGGATCGTGACAACGGTCCTAGGAGGTTGAACATGGACATGAACACGAGAAACAGGCGGGGCGGGATCGCAAGATAACGCCCGTAAAGGAAAGTCCTTGCGGGGCCCCAATAACAAACATCTGCACTGCTATTGGTTGCCGTCGCCGATAGTATGTTAAAGCCTTAGGCATCAAGGCATACTTCAAGAGCTCCGATAATCTTCGCGCTTACTGGAGATAAACCGAAACTAATCCAACAATTTGGCGCCTCACCTTCTGAGGGCGTTCGATAAGCATGTCGACATGCAAAGCCGTTGCCCAGAGATGGCCTCGATATCTCCACCGCCACATCCCATTCGTCGCACCTAGCCCCTCAATCCGGCCAGTGCTTCGACGCTGTCGCATGAGCAAGCAGCCGTCCCTTCTCCGTTCATACGCTTCGATCTCCGCCGCGGAGCTTAAATTCGGGCAACCGCTTCACGAGACGCATCCTCATTTATTGAATCCTGGAGAACGTGTGTATATGCTCCCCATTGGAACGCAATTGTGACACAACAAAGAATGAGTGGGTTGACTTGAAACTAGTGACTCCTGGTATCACGGCTCTCGAATACGCTCAACGTCGCTCCCGGCTTGCGAACAAGCTTCCTAAGAATGCAATTGCTGTGTTAGCTGCCTCGGAAGTTACTTACCGCGCTACTGGCATCTTCAACAATTATCGCCAGGATTCCAACTTCTTCTACCTTACCGGTATGTTTTCATTACAAGTCAAGAATAAAGCAAGCAACTCACTCGATGTCTTATCAATAGGCTTCAATGAACCCAATGCGCTAGCTATCATCGGTGAGACCAATTTACCAATTGAGCGACTAAAGTAGTGCTTACAATGCCTAGCGAATGATGGATCTGGGGACAATCACATATTCCACCTCTATGTGCGTGAAAAGGATCCGAAGGCTGAGCTCTGGGATGGAGCGCGTTCCGGCACACAGGCGGCGATTGACGTCTTCAACGCTGATGAGGTTGGGAGACTGGCTTGGAGTGTAACGGAGAGCTTAGCTAACTATTGGAGCAGACGGGTGATATTGATCGCATTGGAGATATTCTCTCAACGATCCTTTCGGGGGCCACAGAGATCTACACAGATATTCCTGCCTTTAACCCCGGGAGATCCTCCTTGCATCGTTTCTTATACGGCCCCACCAATGCATCCGAGAAGCTGAAGAAGATGGTCGATTATCGCAAAGTCAAGCCCTTGCGTAACATCTTAAACGAGATGCGAGTGTTCAAAAGTGAGGATGAGGTCGTCCAATTACGCAGAGTTGGACAGGCATCGGGGCGAGCCTTTACAGAAACCATGAGGCAGACTTTTACAAAAGAGAAGGACCTGAATTCCTTCCTGGAGTACAATTTCAAAGTGAACGGGTGCGATGGAAGTGCTTTTGTCCCGGTGGTTGCAGGCGGCTCCGTGAGTACCTCCTAACCTATTCTCTCCATATTCAGGCTGACAGGTTCAGAATGCTCTGAGTATTCACTATACGAGAAATGACGATGTCCTGAGGTAAAACCCCTTTTTAACAATGTCGGAGGGTCTGGGCTAATACGAGATAAAGGAATGGTGACATGGTTCTTGTCGATGGGGGCGGGGTCAGTGCTTTCTCTATCCTGGGAATTGACTGAGACACTAACAGATTACAGGAATGGGGCACGTACATATCCGATATCACTCGAACTTGGCCGGTTAATGGCAAGTTCTCCGACCCTCAGCGCGACCTATACAATGCAGTGTTGAATGTGCACCGCAGTTGCGTCTCACTCTGCAGAGAGAGCGCCGGACTTTCACTGGACAAATTGCACAGTATTGCTGAGAATGGTCTAAAGGATCAGTTGCAGCAACTCGGATTTGATGTTTCAGGCAGTGTAAGTCGATTTGATGTCAAGCATTTGCCCGCATTCGTCAAGCTGATCCGTGTTGTCTCGAACAGGCAATGAGCATTCTTTTCCCTCATCATCTGGGACACTACATTGGGTTAGATGTTCATGATTGTTCCGGATATCCTCGAAGCCAGAATCTCAAAGCAGGCCAGTGCATCACCATCGAACCGTAAGTATTCTTCCAGTCTCACTTTCGACACATTTCTAATTCGCCTCCCCAGTGGAATATACGTTCCGGACAGTGATAGATGGCCAGAGAAGTTTCGAGGTATCGGGATCCGTATCGAAGACAGTGTTTGCGTTGGGGATGATAACCCGATTGTCTTGACCACAGAGGCAGTGAAAGAGGTGAGTTCTAATTCAATTCACTCTAGACAAACTCAAAAGACAATTCTTTCAGGATGTACTCTTTCTCCAAGGATGACCACTGATATAGAATGTTGAATAGGTTGATGATATCGAGGCGCTTCGGGACTAGATGAAACAACCTGCTGTAGTATATAGATACCCTTTCATACGTTATTGTACAATACAAATTGACTCGAGATGCTGCATCCACAGACGAAAGACGTGTTGATGTAAATACTGTAGTAGGGTCAACCATGAAAACAAACAAACAATGAACCGTTAAGGGCAGTTCTTGATCGGTAAAATTCAATGTACCATTTGGTACGATCGAGTCGACGCGTGCAGTAATTCGGACAGAACACAACTTCGGAGGAGAAAGCCTGATTAAATAACAAGAAACGGACTGATTATGTTAATTCTCTTGAAGGCGCAGTGGCAGGAACCACATTGCTAGAATTTATAATGTAAAGAATGTTCTATGCGCATTCGTAGTACGGAGTACGTCCCTAGGTAGGTACTAGTCCTGTAAAAGGGCTTGATAGCATCGCGCGACGGTCTTTGGTTGTTTGGCACACATCCCCATCGGCCAAAACAAACCCGTCTCCACCGGGCTTCCTCACACGCTTAGTCCTACCCTGTTTCGCTTCTCTTCTCGGTCGACCTGTCTACGTACTGGCCTGCCTTACCTACTACTCTGCTTCACCTTACATACTACCTACCGTATTCCAACTACTGCTCTCCCTGTCATCCGACGTCCAACCTCCTAAGAAGTCTCCGGACTCGATTATCCTCCTATACAGACTCGAGGTATTCGCCTCGTATCCTTCTTCTACTGCACGTTCCTTTGCCCATTGCTCTCTATCACAGGTACAATGGCTTCTCTCTAATTGAAGATCCTGCCCTTCGAGACGTGTAGCTAGTCGTGTGCTCAGCCTAGAGTGCCCCTCTTGTGCTGGCACCTCGACTTACCGCGTTAGCTACAACAAAAAGCGCTCGTGTATTGTTACCATATGGCAACAGTATTCATACCACCTTCGCCTCAGAACTCCCTTAATATGTCAACCCGCCGACCTCTCGCCAACGTGCCGAATGCTACCAATTCCCCTCACAGGGCGGGTCTTGTCCCTGCAAAGCGTCCTCGGACAACGAATCCTCCGATCGATATACCCTACGGCCAGCCTCCTCCCAAGAAGCAGGTGATCGATGGATTGGACCAGGAGTCGCGTTCCCCAGCCCGGGTTAAATCGACCACCACCGATTCCAAACTCTTCACACGGCGTTCGACCAACGCGCAGCCAAGTGCCTTCGAAAAAAAATTGGTGGCTGCAAGGGATAAGGAACGGCAAGCTCTGCTCAAAGGAACGAAACAGGAGAGGCCATCCGCAGAATCGGTGGATTCTATTCGGCAATGGCAGAGACATTACCGAAAGGCGTTTCCACACTTCGTCTTCTACTTCGATGCTATTTCAGAGGATGTTCGTGCCAAGTGCTCGAGGCAGGTCACTGCCCTCGGAGCTGTAAGTGTCCCTTCAACCATTTGATCCGATAATGACTCGTTCTTTCTCAACACGCTTGTCCCTTTCCTGGGATTGGTCGTCTGCTGTTCATATGCAATGGAGGAATAAAGAAATGGCTGACTGAAGTGTATAGAGTGAGGAAAAATTCTTCTCGCGTGATGTTACCCACGTCGTCACCTCTCGTCCTATCCCGCCTGAAATAGACACTGTGACTCCTGCAGAGTTGAACGCTACATCTGCTGATCAGACACCAGTTGACACCGTCAACCCGTCGTTGCTTGAGAAAACCGCAGACACACACCTCCATATGTCATTGAAGACGGACCAGAGACGTGAGCCAAGCAATATGGATGTTTTATACCGGGCTCGTCGGATGAAAATGAAGATATGGGCTCTTGAGAAGCTACAACGTATGATTGCTGCTATTAATGATGGGGATCCCGGTGGTCACAACGGTCATTCGCGCAACCATAATGCTGTTGGTGGGAACACTAAGGCCCGCGGCGAGTCAGACCTGTCACAGGTCTTACGGAAGGAGCTCATCAATGGTCCTTCGGATAGGGACCCTCTGTCGTCGTTAAAGGAGCTAGTGTTGTTCAAAGGGCCGTTCATCTACATCCATGATATGGATGAAAAGACCAAGCCTGTCATGGTGCGAGAATATCCCAAAGTTGCAAGGAGGCAGGATGGTATCTGGCCACAATTCAGAAGCGCCCCGCTGGGGAAATGCCCTTTCATCGACGAACCTCCCAGCAAGAAAGAGATTGAAAGGCAACGGGCACGGCAACAAGAGAAGGAGAAGAAAATTGCTCCGAAAGCTCCTGCTATTAAAGAGGTACCTAAATTTGACGCGCCGAATCTAGGCCCCCTGGACATAGACAAACTGGACCCGTCGAATGAGACAAAAACTGGCGATAATGGCTTCGAACCAGCACAGCGGACGACGCCGGAAGACGTACAGGTGCCATTGCAGGCCAAACCAGAATCACCAAGGAAAAGCTCCGAAAGTTTCGTTCCCCCTCCGCTCCATCGGACAGGACCATTTTATGCTGGTCGTGAACCTGCTGCGTCGGGTATGCAGCCATCAAATATCACATCTGCTATTCGGTCGCAGATGGTTTCCTCCACCGCCGCTGCACCTGGTGCCAAAGCTGGGTTGAGCAAAGAAGTCCATGAGTTGAAGAGAAAGGTACTCGAGAAGAGCAACGGCGGTTTGTCAACCGGCACCATGCTGTCTCCCCATCCCACCACGTCTACCTCGGCCACCCTAAAGATGTCAAACTACCAATCGAACAAACTCTGCCAGATGAACACGCAGGAGAAGCTGGGACACGTGCAAGAAGAGGACACTACTCAATCCGAAGGGAATGGTGTGGCTAAGCGGCGGACTGGTCTTCGAAAAGCCCCAGTTCCAAAGAAAAAGGAAAGAAGGAGAGACCCTAAGCCTGGATACTGCGAGAATTGCAGGGACAAGTTCGATGACTTTGAGGAGGTAAGAATCGTTCCTGTAGAAAGGAATTGACAGCGGCTAATCTTTTGTCTAGCACATCATGACAAGAAAGCATCGCAAATTCGCAACCAATAAGGCAAACTGGGCTGACCTAGATGCACTGCTTGAGGAGCTGCAGAGGCCTCTGAAGGACGAGTACGACTACGAAGATTCAGTCACTCCGTGATCTAGCGGATGCGTGCCCATGTGTTTCTTCTGTGCGGCTCGGTAATAGTACATCCTCCGAGCAAGCGAACTGGTCAAGAAGGACTCAGTTATTGTGAGCTCAGCACAACTGCATTAACTCCTCTCGCAGTGCCAAATTTGAGTACACAAGCGGCGATATGCACACGCATCGCATCATTCGTTTCATTGCCCTCCCCGACTTTACGTCGATCTCACTTTTCATATTTTCTCACTCATGTTTACTTCTTTTACCGCTCGGCGGTCCATTGTATTTTCATATCTACCAGGTTACCATATTATCATACAGCCGGCGTCCGTTGGATTTTCTCGCGAGGTTTCGATGTCGCAGCAAGGACTTCACGAGCCAAAAGCACGTCACGGCCTTTAAGCGACCACTTTTGCATACTATATCCGGAATGAAGGGAACGAGACGAAAAGCGAACGAACTACATATTTGGAGGTTGGCGACGCGGAATCCGTCTAGCATGCTGCATGCGTGTACCATGTCCCGTACCATGTGTGCAGAAGATGCTCGAAGGTTGGGTTGACTAATTCATCGAGTTCCTTGTTTTCATCATATTCTTCTTCTTCTCTTCTTTTATCCTCGAGCATTTTCATCGGCGGATGTTAAGGGGTGGGTTGGTGGGTTGCATATCTAGGTGGCTTCGTCCTTTTTCCGTTCCGTGGCATGTCTGGTTATTTCCCCCATGTGGCTCATTCTCAGTTGTCATGGCCACTGATTCTAGCCACCAAAGTCAAATAACTTACTTTCCACAACTCGTCCTGCTTTGTACATCGTACACTTCAGTACTGCTGCCTGCATTAAACGGCTATATCCGAGCCTCGGCTGCATGACCACCTCGGACCGGAATAAACTAAAGCGCCGGCGGAGAAAGGCAACCCACTTGACCACCGGTCGACCAATCACAGTGCAGAAATACACGCACCGAAACACCAAGGAATGCCCCTACAAGGTAAACATCCGGCAGAATGGAACCATTAAGGTAAAAAAAGGTGTCGCATGCGCAATTGAACTCTTCGGATGCTACAGGCTACGCTGCATAAACCAGCACGTCCGGGAGTATATAACTCTCAACGCAGAATCATGGGATGAGAGATTGTTGCCTTTTTTTCTAATCAGTGACTCTTAAATGCACTACAGAATTATTGTTTCTTTCGGACCAAAGTAGTTTGCATTTGAAGTAAGGTACTCTAATAAGATCAAGTCTTATACTTTACACTTTCCTTCTCGGGTAGTGACGCCATTGTGCCGGCGTTTATACCAACGGCGCGGCAGTTCTTCGCCCCTTCCCCACACTTCAATCTTTTATGATCTTTATTTCTTGGGGACTCGACATACATTTCATTCTATCGCAGTTATGCCTTGGTCCCGGACAGCGACACAGCTGATGCTGCCCTTACGATCGCTTGCCAGGGGGGTTTTGGCGCGGCCTGGTCCATTTCCCATCGTCCCTTTTGTCCTTCCTGGTAGCTACACCCCAGCCTGTCATATTCCCTCACCATGCACGCCTCAGGTTCGACATAGTTCCCACTCGCCGCTGGGGGCTGCACCGGTGAACCCCCGGAAAAAGGTGACGATGCAGACCTTAAGGAGTCTCTACAAGAAGGGAGAACCGATCACAATGCTCACCGCGCATGACTTTCCCAGTGGCCATGTTGCCGACGCAGCTGGGATGGAGATGATCTTGGTCGGGGACAGTCTGGCCATGGTCGCCCTTGGGATGGAGGACACGAGCGAGGTGTTAATGGAAGAGATGTTACTGCATTGTCGGAGTGTAGCGCGCGCGGCTAAAAGCGCTTTCACGGTTCGTAAACCTTGTCGGGGTGCGGTGTTTGTTGTGTTCGGGGCTTGGCTGACGGGATGGATATTTATAGGTTGCAGATCTCCCCATGGGCTCGTATGAAGTGTCGCCGGAACAGGCTATTCAATCGGCCATTCGCATGGTGAAAGAAGGTCGCGTCCAGGCCGTGAAACTCGAGGGAGGCGAGGAGATGGCGCCGACCATTAAGCGGATTGTGCAGGCTGGAATCCCTGTTGTGGGACACATCGGACTCACCCCTCAACGCCAGAATGCTCTGGGAGGCTTCAGAGTGCAAGGAAAGTCGACAGCCGGTGCGTTACGGTTGCTCAAAGACGCTTTGGCTGTGCAAGAGGCTGGCGCATTCATGGTTGTAGTCGAAGCGGTACCGGCTGAGATTGCTGCGATCATCACTGAAAAGCTCTCTGTCCCCACTATTGGTATCGGCGCAGGCAACGGCTGTTCCGGACAGGTGCTGGTGCAGATTGATATGACTGGCAATTATCCTCCCGGTCGTTTCCTCCCCAAGTTCGTCAAGAGATACGCCGATGTTTGGGGCGAGAGCATCAAAGGGATCGAACAGTACAGAGAGGAGGTCAAGAGTCGCGCGTACCCCTCGCAGGAGTACACTTACCCGATAGCCAAAGAGGAACTCGCGGAATTTGAGAAGGCTGCTGACCTGATCAAGCGCTCCTGATTTTTGAAATCCAAAATAAATGTTCTCAATGATCAATCTTTCCAATGTTTCTTCAGTTTCCGGCTCTTCGTTTCTTGCCCTTACCATGTCAATTCATGGCATTGTGGGCTTGGGTGATACCATGTCTTTTGATGATTATGACCATTAATGGAATCATTTGCGAGGGCGGCTTTATCTTTTGCATCTCGAAAATTTACCGATGAAGTGAACCCATCTGTTTTTCTCATGTCTGCACGTTGTATTGCAATACGTGCATCTCTTTTATTAGCCGAATGCTGGTGTCATAGAGTACGAGACAATCAATTGATCATCTGTCTTGAAGCACTACGAAAGCCTTTAGTCTTTACTTTCAACGCAGAAGCGCCTGTAGCAGGAATACTCACTCTCCATAAACCTCCAACACCTTCATCTAGCCCCGGAGCAAAGACGCTGTTGACATAGCAAAAGACGGAATCTGTGTCCTTGCAGTCGAGCTTCTTCCTGAGGAATTTGACAACCGTTTCGAATTTCTGCGACGCACTGATCTTGAAAACCCGATTCTTCAGGATAGGTGCTGAAGGAAGAGGCTGGAAGCGAACAGTCACTATTCAGAGTTAGATGAAGACGCAAATTTCAGGTTCAAGTATAGTCTATTCATGATCCCGAAATATGTCTACACGCATATTATTTACCTTTTCCTGTATCGACAGCCTCCGCATCCGCCAAAGCTCGATGGGCATCACGCGGTAGGCTGCTAAGCACCACCGAAGCGGACATGGTCATCGGTAAATCTGCCCCATGCTCATCATCCGGGATAGGGGCGCTTCTGGTATTTGTATCTGAATCTGGTCTTTGGCTAGCAGGTCTGTGACTGAGTCTGCTTCCAGCTATTTGTGGGGATTTTGGATTTGGAGAATTTGTCCCCGAGGGGTTTTCTGGTGATGGAGAGTCCATTTTGTCGTATATGCTGGGGATATGCTCTGAGGATGAGGCTATCACCTGCAGTCCATAGATGATGGTGGGATGATGAAGTGTTTACAGGAGGTTGTTGTTGCACTTGGACAGTTGTTCGGTGGATCTACGAGCTAATTTGTGCCTTAGGTAGCTCTAGGTAGTTCCTCTACAGCGCTAGTTGGGTTCGGTCCGATCAACATGGCTCAGGCACAATACCAGCAGTTGTAGCATGAAATCATGAGAGACAATATGGGTTTACACTAGGTGATAACATTTCAATTCTCTTTGGCTTGATTTCTGGTGTGCAGTGGAGTAATAGTGTACAACATTGACGGTTAGAATGTATGCCACCCAATTCTGGACGGGATCACAAGCACCAACTACTGACGTAGTGACTCTCGTTATCGAGCCTGATAACCTGAAAGCTAGTCAATGCTCCACTGAAAGGCCGGTCGATGACGCTAGCCCATCTACAGGTCTATCACGCTGGCAAACCGAATAGACACCAATTCGGTCCCGAAAGAAGTAGATTGTTCCTGCTAAAACACAATAATATATAATCTAAAACACAACAATATTTATTTCTAAAACACAATAACATTTATCCAGAGAGAAAATAGGAGAGAAGGGAAGAGATCTGGTAAAGCACAGCAGAAAAAGCCGACCCTCGCTGAGTCATCCCGGGCCACATGACTGCCCAACCAAATGGTGCCATCACTCGATAATCATTTATGAGTTCGCCTGACGGCTATAAGTTACTAGTACTAGTCTTCTCTGTAGTGACTGGTTCCCCATTTCTGCGTGCCATCCTATTTCACTATATCTCCTTGACCAACACCTCCTACTTCCGTTGTACTGCCTTCAGATTCTAGTACTACTGTCTTTTCTCAAGGGTCTTCGTCCTTCCCGGTCTTTGTGGTACTTTGCGTCAAGTCTTTCTTTGATCGCGCGCCGTTCTTCGTTATCTCGCCCCCGCTCATTGCTTCCCCGCTCCGGTCTTGGAGAACCCTTCGGGCACGACTCTCTCAAAGCACTCAATCGCCTTCAAGCGATTTACCCCCTTCTTACAATTTATCTTTGGATATCAAAGGATATAAGACTATAGCAGTCTGCAAGTTTTCAAAATGAGCAGCCCAAAGCGAAGAATCGAGACCGATGTGAGTTCAATCAAAGGTTTTCTTGAAGGACATGGTTCACAAATGAGCAAACGCTGACACCTCGCCTTGTTCTCTTTGTATAGGTTATGAAGTATGCTAGGATTCCTCTTGAAGAAAGCCCTGCCGACAAATGCTAACCGAATGACAGGATGTATGCCACACCCCTCTTGAGCGTCCATTTTCCCTGTTTCTGGAAGTCGCATATACTTTCAGATCCGAGCGAACGATTTTCGAACGTCCTGTCGGCTCTTGGGCCTTGCTGACATGTTTCCAGGTTGATGAGTGACTACGAGGTGACTTTGGTTAATGACAACAGTGGGTGATATGGGCTTATTCCTCTGGATTTCACTACTAACATCTGGATAGTGTATGCTGCGATTCCTAGACATCCATTACCAACCAACCAGTAACGCAGACTATTGACTTGATTATTTTTGGACAGGCAAGAATTTTACGTGCGCTTCAAGGGCCCCGAAGAGAGTGCGTCTTGCCACTTCCCTCAAAACTTCCGCATTCACTGACCAATAATAGCACCGTTCGCTGGCGGTCACTGGAAGATTCACGTCGAGTTGCCCGATCAATATCCCTACAAGAGTCCTAGCATCGGTTTCGTGAACCGGATTTTCCACCCGAATATCGATGAATTGTGAGGCATCCCAGCTATCACTCCAAAGTTCGGCGTTAACCCTCTCATTTTTCGCAGATCTGGCTCAGTATGTCTTGATGTCATCAACCAAACTTGGTCGCCAATGTACGATATGATCAATATTTTCGAGGTTTTCCTCCCTCAACTCCTGCGGTACCCGAACCCTTCAGACCCTCTCAATGGCGAGGCTGCTGCGATGTTAATGAGGGAACCCAAGAGCTACGAGGTTAAAGTAAAAGGTGTGTGTTACTGTGATCGGCTCAAGCAGCACTTACTGATTGGATCGACAGAGTACGTGGCCAAGTATGCTAGCAAAGAGGCAGTTGATGAAGCCGGAGAGGATACAGAGTCCGAAGATGAGTTGAGCTCGGCTGGAAGTTACGAATCTGGTGGCGAGGAGCCGGCCGGTACGATGGATGACGTGTAGATCAGTCGTCGGAATCTTGGTCGGTTGGTCGAACCCGGTGCGCATTCTGTTGCATTATGCCATCTATTTCCTATATTCACCTGTTATTCTATCGGAACAAGGCTGGCGGGCGTTACTGGCGGAGTTACTACTGATTTTCAAGACGCTACTGAGGTTTGCAGCTCCCGAGCCAAGGTCCAGGTCACGATTTGCTGATTAGCAATCGACTGGTGTTGGCGAACTGTTTGCTCTCCGACGTTGTGTGCATCTGGATTACTCTCTTCCTCTGTACTCATGGTTCCTTTCAGCATCTAGTAGTATATGCATGTTGATAAGCCAAGATGATTTATACAGTCTCCGCCTCTGCGAGAGCTGCTATAAGATTACTTCTGAAGATGGAGATATTACTCGAGACTAGGGATCCGCTCATAGTGTTGTGCACGCACAGACATGCCCATTAGCTATGTCACTGTCTAATAACACGATACTGCCTCTTGATATGAGGAGTGTCAAGAAAAAGGAATCTACCCAAACATGACGAATATGCAACACAAAGGAAACGTATACCTGACAAGTGCAGTAATAGTAAGAGAGGATTGAAAGGCGCAAGAGGGTATTAAACGTCATCAAGCGACGGGAACTGAAAGAAAAGAAGGACAGGCCGAAGACACCCGACAGAGAACGGAAAGAGTCGAAGTCCGCGAAGCGAAGAAAGTAGAAAACAACCGTCGGCCGGCGACCCAGTAGTACGAAGAATAAGAATGCAGTGCATCAACGTGCGATCGCCTCCCCGTCATCCGCAGGTTTCACGTCACCTTCAAAACACCAAAGACATCTCGGCCGTTCGTCTCATCTGTGTTCAGACCTGGCCGGGCCTTCTTTCCTTTCCGCGGGTTGATGACCACCTCTCCCCAGTGCTTGCAGGCGGTGCCATCATGTGCGGCGTCAGACTTGGACGATGTCGGTGACTTCGACGGATCGGCTGTGATTATTTTAACGGGGACGTCGCTGCTCGAACTTGCTTTTGAGGCCACGGAGCCGTGTAATGTCGCGCGTGGTTGGAGATGGGGTTGTGGTTGGAGGGACCAGATGTCGATGACGGACCTAGGTGCCTGGGTTAGCTTCTTGTTCGGAAGCCGGTGGTAGGTGGCCGGCTTGGACGAGGGAGCAGTGGTTAACTACTCACTCTGAGGTTCGCTGGCAGATTGCCTCGAGGGCTTCTCGTTCGCGCTTTATGTTCTCTGGGTCGGGGTTGTTGATCTGATTCGCGTGATTAAGAGCTCCATAGCCGTAGCCGGACTGATAGATATCGTCGTCCAGAAGGCGTGAGGACTCGGCCTTGAGATCCGGACTGTTAGTATGCCTGTTGAAAGTTGGGGATTGATAATGGCTATGACCAGCCGCATCATGCGATTGCGGCGGCGTCGTCGTCCATTTCACTGGTTTGGTGCCGAATCACAAATACATACATCATGGCTTTCCCGGCGATTTAGCCCAAGGCAAGAAGCACAGACGCCCATTGATCCTGCTGTATTATAGAGCGGTAATCGAGTCTCGAGGTAATGGGATAGTCGCACGGGCTCCGCAACGGAAAGATCGAGTAGTAATGAATATCCGAAACCCAGGCTTCTGAGATAGGTGTGATGGGAAAGATAATTCAAGGAATGCAAGAATATCAAAGTACAAATATCAGCCGCGGCAGGAAACCGACGGTGATGCTGGGAAGGTTAGATATAGAGAACTGTCCGGAGTTGCACGACCACCCGCCATCAATCCGCTGGATTCGTGAAGGAATCTAGTGTTTTCGATTGGTCCGTGCGCGGCTATGACATTGAACCCCATATCGGGCTCATTCTTCATCTGCCTACATTCCTTGATATTTGGAATACCGTCGCATTCCTTCACTAGGCTAAAGACCTAATGAGAAATCTGTTCTATCGATGAGAAAAAAAGCATCCCTATGATTCGACTATCTATCCATGCTTCGGATCTATATCGATTCTTTTCAGGCCCCATCAAGCGTCACTAGCGGGACCCTGAGATGCCATGATTCTCTACTACTACTCGAGTTAACCACACAATGATAGCAAGCTTGTCTTTCCTTATCTGCCAAATATTCTCTCAATCTAGTTCCTTAGTCTCTGACAAGGCCCTTTCTGTTGCCTTATTTTCTCGGAATCTTGTGGCCCAGTCGCACTGACCACAACAATGGGCTTTTTTCGACAAGGAAGCAGACGATCACTCCTTTTGTGAAATAATTCAAGAAATGGAGCCACTCATCATCATATTCTGACAGCGAAATGATCTAGACTCTGTACGGAAAGGCGCTACAACCCTGTCCCCCTCTGTTGTTGTGTCTCCTCTTACTTATGGCAGACCCCGCATCATAATGCCCCTCCATCAACAGCTCACACTCTTTCACATATAATTATCTAGCCTCCTTCAAGCGTGTTCATATATAGTCGCCACACCACCCATCTAATATATCAATCATGCCCGGACGGCTCGAAGGAAAGGTTGCCATTGTGACGGGCGCCGGATCAGGCTTTGGCTACGGCATCGCAAAGAAGTTCGTCGAGGAAGGCGCCAATGTCATCGTCGCGGAGGTGTCGCAGCAAAGCGGAGAGAAAGCGGCAGCCGAGCTGAACTGCAAGTTCGTCCTCACCGATGTGACGAGGCGGGAGTCCTGGCAGGCATTGCTGCAAGCAACTCTGGATGCATATGGGAAACTCGACATTATCGTCAATAATGCTGGTGCGACCTATAGCAATAAGCCCACCGTTCAGGTCACCGATGCGGATTTTGACCTGTGCATGAATGTCAATATCAAATCGATCTATCTGTCCACGAGTGTCATAGTGCCGTACTTCCTTCAGAATACCCGACCCGGGTCGTTTATCCAGATCTCATCGACGGCTGCACTGCGTCCTCGTCCAGGCTTGACGTGGTATAATGCTTCAAAAGCAGCTGTAAGCAATGCAACCAAGACGATGGCTGTCGAGTATGGGCCCAAGCAGATTCGTTTTAATTGTGTCTGTCCTGTCGTTGGTAGTACAGGGATGTAAGTATAAAGCCCCGCACCGTGATGCGAAGACTTCGAAAGCGACTCACCTTGCTACGCCTGTAGGACACACTTATTCCTTGGTAAGCCAGATACAGAAGAAAACCGAGCGGCTTTTGTTTCAACTGTGCCGCTGGGTCGGCCCAGTACTCCTCGGGATGTTGCGAATACATGTTGCTTTCTGGCGAGCGACGAAGCGGAATTCATCACGGGCGTGAACTTGGAGGTAGGTACCGAGCTCATTTGTTTTAGATCAGCACTAACTAATGGCTATTTGGGCTCAGGTGGACGGCGGTCGTTGTGTTTAGTCCATATATTTGGCTGGCGACTGAGCTATGACTCTCCCTTAGATAATATTCATGGGCCGGAAGTCATTTGCTCGCTCTCCTCTGAAGGTAATGACAGACAGCAATAGCTAGGCTGTCTTCGCAGTGATCATGTTCGAGATGAAAGTGTGCACATATAGGCCTTGTGGTCAAGTGTCACTCGGCAGAATCTCACTCGGGACATTAGTGATCAAAGGAGGAGAAAGTAAAAGTAGCATGGGGACAAGCCATGGCATATAAATCTATAGTTATATATATATATATATATATCAGTCTCTGGACCATATGGATTAATGAACGGTGCATTCAAGATGAAGCTATGTTTCTTCCCGGAAGTAGGCAACTCTCCTTCATTCATTGCTGAGATTCTATCAAAGAATGTATGATATTAAGAACCTCAACTATAGCTTAGCTGGGTAATCCCCTCTAACAATTATATATACTTCGGTGAACGGCCACATGTTGCTGTACCCCTTGGAACAAAGTACGTGTTGCCTAGTGTTAGCAGATTGACATAAGTAATTGACACACAGCCTAGGCAAAAGAAGTGTCAAGGCTTTATGAGAGTAGTTAAACTCTCCATAAATATAGAGTAATGCGAAGCCATATAGCTGCTAGGAACGAAAGGAATATGTTGGTTGGGTTTGATGCACTTGCAGATCCCCGGGAACGTGGCCGTAGTGACGGCTGTGCGTGGAATAAAACCATTCCACAATTTTCGGAATCAGCATTTCGCTCCGCACGACAGAGCATCCTTGACCGACACAATCGCCGGGCGAGCAAAAGGGACCCTGACTCGTTTATCCAATGGCCTGTATCTTCATATAGATCCTCGCAAATTCTGACAATAATATGTTCGACCTCCCAGACGCAAAACGGTACCGTGATCCAAATCCAGCTGTCCATACTTTTGACTAATTTTGAGTCTGCTCTACAGCGTTCGTCGCGATGAACTTCTCTCGCGAGATTCGGCTTCACGATCACCTTCACCGCAGCCTGACTCATCGTTTCAAGACGCCCATCAGCGTTTGGGCGCGCTCCTCAACCTTGATGCATTGATAGCGCCTGCAGAATCCACCGCTCCAGCACCCAGACCAGAGGAAGACGGCCACCGACAAGAAGATGAGGAGCAGGAATTCGAGTTCCGTTTATTTAGCGCCCCTGCTGCGCCGACATCTACAAACAAAGACGACAAGACACCTGCAACAGAAGGCGGAGAGAAAGCAGTAAGCGGGGGTACTCAAAAATTGAGGATTCGGTTACGCTCGCCGACACCTGGAGCGGTGGATGGGGAGGGGCGATTTCTCAATCCCTTCCGAGGGTGGCATTATTACTTTACGACCCCGGAGTTGCTTTCTGGATCCGGTGCGAAGCAGGATTCGGCTTCGGCTTCGACCATCAGGAGGAAGCAATTCGAGGAAGTCGCTGTGACCGGGCAGCAGATGCTGGGGTGGTCGGAGGTGTCCTGGGTATGTGTTGGCCTTTCCCTCGACTCACTTGGGTTTGATATAGTTTGCTGATTTTTTGTTTCTCGCAGCCCGGGTGCCATCTACCATGGCGGGTGATACACCTCAAGCGGCAGCATACCACGTTACCTCCTGCATCTGCAGATCCAACTTCAGTCGCGACTATTTGCGTTACGAAACCTCCGACAAAAGACCCCAAGTCTCGAAAGAAGCCCGGCAAGAAGCGACGTATCCAATTGCGGAAGCGAGCAAAGACGGCAGAGGAGGAGAAGCAAAGGGAGGCCGAGAAGCGAAATCGCAAGAATCGGGAGAGGAAAATCAAACGGAGACAGAAAGCACGAGAATTGAAAGCTGCAGCTGCTGCTGCGTCGGGACAAAGTCAAGATGTCGCCGAAGTGGAGCTGAAAGATTCTTCTGATGCGAGCGATTGAAAGTACTGTTAACGGACTGCCGTGCATTTGTGATACCCTATGATTAAACTGCAATTGACTGTACTGCGTTGGTCTACCCTTATTACAACAGTGAGAGCACTAAGATGAGACTGGTCATCAACCAAGCTATATTGCTCTAATTATTGACCAAGGAAGATATAAACAAAACGAGGGGTATATTATGCAACGCAAACACGGCAACGACAACGACGACGACAATGAAAGAAGATCGACTTAACAAAAGGAACATTCGGGTGGTATGCGGCAACTGCCCGCTACTGTGAAAACGTGAAAGAGCAGAGTAAAGATCGAATTAAGAGGGACTGTTAGGAGATTTCGTTCAAAAAAGATATCTGGTGCTAGGCAAACCATTACTTGGCTTCCTCGGCTATTTTGGTCAGCATATTCGACCTGGATTTCCCGAGATCCAGTTACCCACTCTTGGGCGGCTCCGCCGTTTCAGCGGGCTTTTCAGCAGCTGGCTGAGCAGGCGTTGGCTCAGCAGCCGTGGCCGGAGCAGCCGCGGGAGTAGTTGTCTCCGGAACAGCGGGAGCAGCAGCAGTAGCGGCTGTGGGCTCGGGAGCTGGAGCCTCTGTCTTCGCCTCGGGGGCTGGTGTCTCTGTCTTCGCTTCGGGAGCTGCTGTAGTGGAGGACCCGGGCTGCGTCTCGGTGGGTTGTGTTGCCCCCTCTGCTGACTTATCTGCTACGGCTGCTTGCTCTGCAGAGTATTAATTTCGTGTGACATTGGGCGACTCGACTGGATGAAGCGACATATAAAGGAACAACGTACCAGGCTTAGGTTCGGTAGCAGGTGCTGGCTCTGCTGGCTTGGTTTCCGTGGCAGGTACAGCGGCCGCAGCAGCAGCGCCGGCGGCGGGGGCGGTTGCTGGCTGTTCTACAGGCTTGTCGGCAGCCGGGGCAGGCTCAGTTTGTTTGTTCTGAGCCTTCTTCTTTCTGCGGGAGAAAATGGCTTTCAAGCCCTTCTTCAATTGCTGAAGAGCATCAGGAGCTGATAATCAGGTCAGACAGCAGCTTAGCAGAGAGCTAGCGGAGCTTGGTTCACATACGGACACCGGGCATCTTGAAGCTAGAGAAGATATTGTAGCAAGAGGCTATTAGAGTAGCGAAAAAAGGAAAGAAAGACAAAAGCCTTGCCTAAGACAATTTCGCGCGCAGATCTGAAACTCAGAGAGAGAAAAGGAAGTGATGAACTTCTCAGCAAACGAAGACGAAAAGGTTATCTTATGACTGTTTTGATGGCTTGTCCACCACGTGATGGTTGGGAGGTCCGAACGACCAATCTCTCGTACTCCGTACTCCTTTTCGTTTCGTCCCTTGTCCAGAGCTGGTTAGATTCCAGCCGGCTGAATACTGCTTTCCTTTGATTGATGAAATACTCCTTGGCTAAAGTTTACGCACAGCCACCCGTATGCTCCTGTACGAAGAGCCAAGATTAGCCGGCAAATTGCTATCTATGCGCGTGGACGGACGCTACGCAACTGTCCCGGCCAGGGGGTTCATTCATTGGTCTTGGAGCTAAGTACCGGCTCCAAGTCTCCGATAATAAAGACCATTATGGAGGAGATCGTCATAAGCTCCTGAATGTGGGGATAACGGCAAGTCACCTACAGGTGACGAAACAAAAGGGGAAATAAAGGCTATGGAGAACTATCCATCTTAAGTGATTGATGACACGCCCCTTCGAGTCTACGAAGTTAGAGTGAGAGTAGCAGCTCAGATCGATTCATTCCTCCATGGACAACAGCGTTTAACATGGTAGTCCTGAAGCTCGACGTTGCTCGCCTAAGTTATCCATTCCAATGAAGGAAGCACAACTGAAACCCCCCTGTCACACAAATCATTCGTCACTCAATATCTCAGACTCTGGAGCGCTTAGCGAAACAATGACTTTTCTTATTACATTGTCTCACATAGGGAGCGAGTAGATTGCATCAATATGAAATGAAACACCAACAGGGACACTGGGCAATCAGCAACGGCATCTGAGTCTGCAAACTATCCTACAGCTACTAGTGTATCTACCGGGCGATTATTCTGACTAAGCAGGGGCACAATGACAGTCGCAATCTCCCGGAATGTCTGATATGCTTGCTGTGTAAATCGTGTCCCCTAGGCTCTCGGAGGGGATCGCAGATGGCATCTAGTGGTGATGAGACTCGGTTCGTTTGACCGAGAAACAGGAGTAAAGGTTGCTTGCAACATCAAGAGGTTGAAAAATAAGGGACGAGAAATACAATAAAACAAGAAAAGCAAGAAGATAAGCAAACAAGAACTAAAAAGAATTGCTCACAAGCGGATTTGAACCGCTGACCTCATGATTACTAGTCATGCGCTCTACCAACTGAGCTATGCGAGCTCTTGTTGTTGTGAAGAGTCTTTCAAGTGCTATTGAGAGAGAGGTATAAAGATAGACTCTCTACCACATATACGCCATGATCTCACCAATACCTTTACTTTTTGAGACGGCTTTGATTTGACATTTAAACTCAACAGTACGAAATACCTTAGATGCTTTCTTCAAATTGCTTACATAAATTTATTCAGAAAAAGGTTGCTCAACCAATCAGCTCGCATAGCTCAGTTGGTAGAGCGCATGACTAGTAATCATGAGGTCAGCGGTTCAAATCCGCTTGTGAGCATTTTTTACCTGCACTCTTGGTTTCCAAAGTGTGTGGGACAGTGGGAGTCTAAATAAAGTTTGGCGAAATGATCTGAGGAAGGGCCTACCTTGGACACAAGCTATCATTATCAAAACATTAAACAGATTTAGTTAAACATCTTTTTTAAATCAATTTTCTTTAGATACAATCCGCTTATATCAGAGAAGGCGGGTTAACTGAATGATTTGGTCCAATGGGGGTTTGATGACTTGATTACGGAGTAGACAAGAGGTAACCCCGTAGTCCCCACAAGCTTATCAGTACCTCCATGGCCATAGTGTGCTTTTCTCAACCAAGGGTGTAGATAACTGTTACTGGCCCAAGCGTGCTCAGATCCAGATCAAGTCGTTGGCATTGGGCTCAACTTCAGACAAAGAAATGCGCTACGACAACTCCACGGTCTCGGAGCAGACACCGCTCCTGAGGGAACAGGCTCAACCCCCAGGCACTAACACCCATGAACATGATGACAGCGCAGTCGACCCAGGACAGGAGCCCCAGTTCAAGGAACTAATTCTAATTCTTGGATGTATATGGTTGGGTGTATTCCTGGCTGCACTAGGTACCTGCACCCTCGCCTGGCTCAGTGACCAGGTAGTGTTTTGAGTCCATCACTAACTGCTACAGATACAACAATCGTTGCAACTCTCACTGCGCCCATTTCGTCATCGTTCAATTCCTTCTCTCTACTTTCTTGGCTAGCCACATCGTACCTGATCTCCAATGCTGTATTTCAACCGCTGAGCGGCCGCTTGACCGACATCTATTCGCGACGCGCTGGTCTAATTTTTTCGAACGTGTTCTTCGCTGCAGGGAACTTGATATGTGGTTTGGCCAAGAGCGAAGGTACCATTGTATTAGGCCGTGTTGTGGCAGGAATAGGAGGCGGTGGTCTGACGGCTATCTCGACATTTGTCACATCGGATCTAGTTCCTCTTCGCAAACGAGGTGTCTGGCAAGGCATTGGTAACATCTGTTATGGAGCGGGAAGTGGACTCGGCGGTGTCTTCGGAGGATGGATCAACGACACTCTGGGATGGAGATGGGCTTTCTTGATTCAGGTGCCCTTTGTTGTCGTATCAGGCATCCTTGTTGCCGTGACGGTGAAGATACCCGTCAAGGAAGCGGACACGGCCAAGTTGAAGCGGGTCGACTTCTTGGGAGCTATCACCCTGGTCATTACACTTGTGTTATTGCTACTTGGACTTAATACTGGGGGTAATCAGGTGCCATGGACTCATCCGTTGATCCTCACGACATTGCCGCTTTCCGCCGTGTTTCTCTTCATCTTCATTCATATCGAGGCAAACATTGCGTCCGAACCAGTCATCCCTGTGCGTCTGCTTCTCGACCGGACCGTATCCTCGGCCTGTCTTACCAACTGGTTCAGTACCATGGCGATCTTCGGACTCCTCTTCTACCTCCCCTTGTACTTTCAGGTTGAGGGACTATCGGCCACTGCCGCTGGCGTCAGGCTGATACCCCAGGCGCTTGGGACATCCCTTGGCTCTCTTGCTTCGGGGTTTCTCATGCGTGCTACCGGACGGTACAAGATATTTAGCAATCTTTCCATGATTCTTCTCGTCGCTGCAGGTGCCATGATCTGCACTCTGAATCTGGCAACGCCTGCTTGGATCCCTTTTGTCTACTTCTTCTGCCTAGGCACGGCTTACGGCAGTATGCTCACCGTCACCCTTGTGGCACTTATTTCTGCTGTCGACCACGAACATCATGCTGTCATTACATCCGCATCCTATGCATTCCGCAGCACAGGCAGCACCATCGGTATCACCATTGCATCTGCAGTTTTCCAAAATATCTTGAAGTCGGGGCTGTGGTCGCGCTTCGGTGATCGCGAGCATGCCCGAGAGATTATCTCACGCATCAGGGACAGTTTGGACGAGATCAATAAGGTTCCCAAGGATTGGAAGGCAGGAGTTCTAGACGCTTATATGGATTCCTTGCGGGCGGTTTTCCTGACATTACTTGGACTCAGCGTCTTGGGGGCCTTGGTCAGCATGGCCATGCGGGAGCACAAGTTGCACAACAATCTGGCCCGAAGGGACGGTGAATAGTCATGCTATTCATGTTATAAATAGGCGGGTATATATATTTAGGTAGGCGCTAGATAAGCTGCCTATTGTCTTTTAATGCAGCTAGTTCTGCTACTGGCACACCGTAATCAGTATGTGGTGATTTATATCATCCAATCAGAGCCCTGGGATTCCACATGATCTCTCCCCCGCCGATAGCCGTACAGTAGTACGTATAGGTACAAAAAGGCGGGATCCATGAGCCTGCGAAATGTCTTACGATTGTTTGCCTTTGATCAGAATCCCTGCCCTGAGATTTCCGTGTTGCATCAGAGAATCTTTCTCTTTCCTTAGCCCATCGCGCTCCGAGTATTTCGAGTGATTTCTCCAAAGCCCTTGAGCAACTGACTTTCGACCGGTTGTGGTAGGGGGTGGCGTCACAGACAGAGCATCACTGATAGTGCGCAAAGACGTGGCGACACCGAGCCAGCGAAACGGGGGACAGGGTGACCCATAACAAGTTTTCAATACCAAATTGGCCTGGAACCGAGAGCTCTATCCTGGGAACCGTCAAGTTAACTTTCGATCCACTTTCTTGCGTTGTTCTTGACCGCTTTCTTGGTCCACCCGCTCATACAACAATTTAGTCTATGAGCTCACTCACCTCTTGAAACGTTCGAGCCCTTGGTGTCAAGCTGCATTAAAGAGCAGCCATTGGGCGTTGCCACCGTCTTTTACATGGGTTCAATATCGTCGTTTGTTGAAGGAGAGCTCTTTGGGCTGCAATTGAAGTAACCCATTTTCATTGGGCTTCTGGTGTCGACTCTTCCTTGCTACCTTTTGGCTTCCTTGCTGCTTTTACTAGCAGATTCTCCCTCCTCTCTTCTTCGTTGGCGTAGAGGTATACGGAGGAAACTCGGCTCATTGAATTGCCTCTTTGAAGCCTTCTTTGTCGTCCGGTTTCTCGGACTTATCGATTGCTCTCCGGACCACAAAAATCGATTATCATCGCCTTTCTCTGGCCCATTTGACCATAGTCCTGGCATGGCAGTGGGTTTACGGCCGGGTAGTCCTACAAATTCGGGTGTTTTAGCGGGTGCTGCCTCGAAAAGCCTTCTGACGACTGAGATGGAGATTGATGGGGAGACTGAGGAGATATCAACTCGGCAATCTGCATTTACCAACACCTGTTCGAACGGAGTCGTGGAAGATGTCGCTATTTCATCGAAACGCCGCCGAAGGCGCATATTGCTGTCGACGGAAAGCGCCTTTGTCGATAACATACTACCCTCCCTTCTCCAGAACCCCGATGTCGAACTACGGCTGATCACGGACGAGCCTTCGGCCCTATTAGCAGGCGCAAACAAGATTCCTCACTACATGGACACTGTGGATAGTCAAACATTTGAGAAGAAGACCGGTGCACGAAGGTGGCTTAAAGCCAAGGCAGCAGAGCTCAGTGAGTGGGCTGATATGCTCCTTGTTGCCCCTATCGATGCTGGAACGTTGGGGTCGATGCTATTTGGCCTCACCAACACGTTGACGCTGGCGCTTCTTCGTGGCTGGATCTCAACAAAACCTGTCATCCTTGTACCGGGAATGACTGTTTCGGAGTGGGAACATCCTCTTAGCAGTAGACAGCTGGCAGAAGTCGATCGATATTGGCCTTGGATCGACGTTGTCAAGCCTGCCCTCTGGCGGTCGAATGGTCCCGAGGAACTTGTTCAATTACCCTGGGATGGTCTAGGAGACTTACACGATGCTATGGAACGGACCCTAGGGCTGTCTTTCACTGAGTCCTCGACAATTTCTGGACAGGCGCTCGACAGCACACTACAGGCAGTCCCGACAGTGACCAAACAGTCCGCGAGCGCCATCTCAGCCGCACAGCATCTTCGGAAGGGCGCGCGATCACTACCTCTCGAGTTATGGCTCAACATATTCGAAGAACAGCTGCAAGATTGGGAAATTGCCAAAGCAGTCGGCATTCCTACGAACCTTCCTGTACCTAAGGAATGGCAATCTCACCTGCTCAAGATGTCTACCCCGGCATCTCTGGAATACACGATTCTAAGAGGGTCCTTTGCTGCTATCAAAAAGCGCATAGACAGCCTACCACGATGGAAACCGCTGTCAGACCTGGCCTGTCACCTCATCTTCAAGTTCTCGCGAACAGACATACTGTCATATCTGACAGAGAACCATCTTGATATGCTATGGACTACATCTCGCCTAACAAAACTGCCGTACCGCGCGTCGGCAATATACGGGAACCCGAAGGTCTTGACATGGTGGCAGGAGACACCTGCGTTGCCGAATAAGGATTACAGTGCCGACGCGATGGATGGAGCCTCTCGTGCCGGCTTCGTCGAGGTGTTGGAATGGTGGCGAACATCAGGACTCGAATTACGGTATACGGAGAGAGCACTTGAGTCAGCCAGTGCCGAGGGTCGGGTAGCGGTGCTTGAATGGTGGAAGAATGCCTCTGCAAATGCTCCACCATCGAATCCTATCCCGCTTAAAGTAGGGAAATCCGTTCTACTCGCTGCACAGTCTGGTCGAGTGGAGTCGTTAGCTTGGTGGGATGCTTCGGGCATTCCGTATAGTCACGCAGAGTCCGTTGCACGCATTGCCAGCACTCATGGCCACGTCCATGTTCTCGACTTCTGGTACCGGCTGAAGGGACCCAAGATGATCTTCGACAGTCAGCTGTTGGTTGGGCCGACCAAGAACGGACATGACAACGTTCTAGAATGGTGGCGCCGCAGTGGTCTGCGAGTCGAGTTCAAAACATGCGACATTGAAGAAGCCCTCGAGGATGCGGACCCTGTCTCTGGCGCGGAGGGACGCGTCCGCCGGTGGTGGGCTCGCAACGGGCTCAACCTGGGCGTTGGAACAAGCGAATGGATGAAAACAAAAGTGCTCTGAATTCTCTCTATTCATTCATCGTCCGTCTGATTCTGCTGCTTCTATATTCATGACTCAATCATTCGAGAAATATACCCAACTGGTTTTTGCTGTGGATTACGGCGTTCTGCATACATACATACATAACCTCATGAGAAATGAACTAATGATGTCAACGGATGTTCACACTCACTCACACTCCCATCGAACAATATGCTTGACCTCCGAGGAGTCCGTATACTCCTTTATCTTCGAGAACTCATGGAATCCGTCTAACTGGGCAAAGTCGAGATGCTGCTGCATTTCCGTCCACCCACTAAACAGCACAAACTCTTCCTTTCCCTCCTCCTTCTCAACCCTCCACCCCTTGAAGATAGGCAACGCCTTCGTAACCTCCTCCAGATGACGCTGCACCCCCTCGAAAACCCGGCTAAACCTCTCTTTCTTCTCAGCGCTCATGAAATACCGCCCCACAGCAACAACAGGTGCTTCGCCCAGTAACTCCCCCAGTCGCGCCGCATCACCATCCACATGGAACATCCACACCAGCTCCATCTCACTCGAGAGCTGTTCCATGATCCCCTGATTTGTAGCCGAGGGAATCCAATCCTCGTAGTGTTGTTGCGCCGAGTCCCATCCTCCGACGAGGTAGATGAGCGAGGGATCCTCGACTTGGGAGAAGGGATAAACCGGGTACGAGGAGAATTTGGCTTGCGCTTTGATGCCTTCGAGGAGGAGTGCTTTGAATGATGCGGAGGGAGGATTAGATTTTAGTCGCAGGAGCGCGATTTCGGTGACTAGGGGCGTCATTATGCTTCTCTTCGGATACGTTGTGGTAGTTGGTGTGATTGCTTATCAGACTTAGGAGTCAGATGTACGATGTTTCGTTGTCGGGAGTCGCTGTGCCTTTTTATAACTGATGATTTGAGTCATGGCAGAAATGGTTGCTCGAATGTTCACCAGCAGTCATTTACCCCCGATTGGGATCCCGATGCTAACGTCGAAGTGGTGCCTAAACAGATAGTGTGGAGGCGTGCGATCTTTCGCGTACCGTAAGATGCGAAGACCAAATGAACTACATGAGCTTTGATTTGGGGTTAGTTTTGAGCAAATGAGATATCATTCTTGCGACTACATCCTGCCAGTCAACTGCTCGATACTGAGAATCGATGATAGAAGGAATATTCCATTTGCGCTCTGCCAACGCCCCGAGAGAGTTTACATAAGAGCAGACTTGCAAAGACCACCTCATTTCTAGAAATTCATTCCTTCAAGCCCATACAATTGTTAAGAGCGCTGCTGATATAAGTAACTCGGGTATAATCCGCCTGAGCGATTTTCTAAGCCGTGAATCCTAGTCGTCCTCCCCTTCATTTTCATTCCCCTCATTACCGTCGAAATAGTGAACATGGATAATCATAAGAGACATAAGAAGTATAGCGGGGCCATGGCGTTACAAGTGAAATAGAGAACACGGATTCAAACTTCTCTCCTATACAGGGATTAGCAGGAACTATGCGTACCAGGAAAAATACATACCATGTAGGCTCAGTCTTCTCAAGACCAGGAGTGCGGATAGCGTTTCTGTCGCCAAATGGATTGTTCTCGTCGTCGTCATCCTCATCCGTCTCCGACTCACTGGCACTAATGTACTTTTGCTGGGAGGATGACGGTGCGGATATGCTCAAAGGGCGAGGAGGCCGAGGAGGTTTGGGAGGGTTGACGACCAGTCCGGCAAACGATTCATTGAGACCGTCTCGATCAGGAGTCCAGCCACTTTCAAGTACATCCTGGTCACTGTCGCTGTCATAATCTATACTCTTATCCAGGACTTCGAACGCCATAAGTGCAGTAACCAACTCCTCATTGGCGTGGATAAGACTTCCCAGATATTCCTCGCTCTCGACATGCTGAATGTACCGGAGAATTTGCCGCCTAAGGAGCTTGCAGGTCTCAAACCGGTTGAGACACTCTGCATCCTCGCTCACCCGGTGAGTTTCCCGGTTTACACGCTTCAGCGCATTCAGAAGGTTGGTGCTGGCGACCGAGGAAGAGGCGAGGGTCTGTAGCATCTCCGGCTTCTCCCTCTCCAAACTGAATGACCTATTATGTATTTTCTTCTCCTTTTCTTTCTTGTCTCTCTTGAAAGAAGATTTGCTCGATGTATGTTTGTGCTTGGGACTGCTCAAGACAGTGCTTGGGCCGTTTCCTACCGAAATAGAGACTGTATGGCCCAGTTGTGGCTCATTATTTGTCGAATTACCAGTATCCCGGAGAACTTTCGCCTTGGCCTGAGTAGCGGGTTGTTTGCGCTTTGGAAGCTGCCGGTAAAGCGCTGTCACCCCTCCCATCCCCGGCGTGTCCTTGTAGGATACTGCCCATTGCCCGAAGAGTTGCTTGCACTTCTGTTTGACCAAGGGATCAGATACTGGATCGGTGGCTGCGATTCGTAGACGCTCCAAGAGTGGTTCATCTGCGAACTCTCTGAGAAATCGATCTCCAGCATTCTGTATCAAGAAGTCAAGAATAGTAAGAGCTCTCAGCTGGCGATGCAGATTGCCATATTTACTGGAGAAACATTAGACAAGTAGGACTGAGATGAAGGGATAGATAGCTGGACCGACAGTTTCTTACGCAACGCACGACTTGCTTCAGTCGGTCCGCTGCTCTGAATGCGAATCGCTTCGATGAGATCGACAATTCCACTCGAGTCTTCAATCTCGTATTGCTCACCGGTGAGCACCTCAATCTGAACGGTCACAGCCGAGTATGGTTTCTGCCCGAAGTACCGTTAGTTCTGCACGCTTTTCATATGCTCAATTACAAAGAACTTGATTTGCAAATCCGCCGGACAGATTCTGATGACTTGAGTCTGAAAGATCAAGCTATCTGCGAAAGCTCTAATCAATGACAGAAGCGCACTTACTGCTGAGTGGAACATGGCGTTGTCACAAGGTCTTATTGGGTAAACAAGTATCAAAGCAGTCAAAGCGCAATGATTTCCCAAGGCGAAGTCAGTGCAACTCCCCTTGACAAGCTCGGCCCTCGTGAGACCCAGAGATGTATAGTCAGGAATTAGACCTCGATTCCTGCAACGTCTTGTATAGCTCCTAAATCCAGAGTCTCGGCACGAAATTTATGAAGTTAGGCACAGCAATAGCCAGACGGTGACGTGTTAGGCCTGTTAGTTCGACCGAGGCCGTCGTGCGCCCTGGCAGCAGTGCTAAAAGCCCAACACACAAGCACGGTCGACTTCAAAGGAAAACGAGGCTGGTTCGCGCGCAACCCCCGCTATGCTAGCCTTTCGCGCCACTGATGAAGGATGCAATAGAGTTTTGAAAGGGTGGCATATATGACTATCTACTATTAAGTAGACATCGCAGTTGTCCAACTGTCTTGATAGCGGTACCCCTACTCCTCCTTCCTCCGATTATGGGCCAATCTCGTGATTGCCCCCTCCGCACCCCCAAAGGAGTTTAGGGCGGGGAAGAGAGGTGGGAATGGGATGCCTGGATGCCTGGGGCTTCCTTGATGTACGTCCGATTACGCTGATAGAAACAGTCAGGAGTAAATAATTCTATCATGGATGATGACTATCACTGCAGGGGATTGATGACTGAGGGCGATCTGGAATTGAGAATATTACCAAATTACTAACAATTGCTGCTGAGCAGCATCTTACGTATGCCTTCTACACCTTCCCAATGGGTCCTCGGTCTATAAATGCGGCTGATCGCTCCTCAGTTCGCCAGCCGTCCTTCTCAATCTTCTCCCGTCTAATCCTCTGCTCCACTCTTCTGCTCGGAGTCAGTATCGTCTTTAAAACCCGCCCGCGCATATTTACCTCCCTCCCCGCCTCGTCTTCTTCACCCTATTATACCCACACTGCCAACATGTCCTACCAACAAGAGCGCTACATTGCCGAACTGGCTGTTCAGCGAGCAACACTTCTGACACAGAAGGTTTTCCACGAGAAGGCCAAGGGCACGGTTTCGAAAGACGACAAATCGCCCGTCACCATCGGCGACTTCGGCGCTCAAGCTCTGATCATCCAGGCCCTCCGCAAGAACTTCCCCAACGATGAGATCGTCGCCGAAGAAGAGGCTAGCTCTCTTCGGGAGGACAAGGCGTTGAGCGCAGAGATCTGGAGACTGGTCAAGGACATCAAATTGGAAGATAACGAGAGCAATGAGCTCCTGGGTGGTCTCTTGCCAAGTGAAGATGCGATGCTGGACATCATCGACCAAGGCAAGAGTGCAGGCGGTCCCAAGGGTCGTATCTGGGCTCTGGACCCCATCGATGGCACAAAGGGATTTCTCCGTGGCGGCCAGTATGCTGTCTGTCTCGGTTTGATTGAGGACGGAGACGTGAAGGTCGGTGCTATTGGTTGCCCCAACTTGCCCGTGGACGATTCGGCTGCCATGACCGCCAGTATCGGCGTTGACCAGACTGATGGTGCCGGCATGGGAGTACTGTTCTCGGCCATCAAGGGCCAGGGAGCTATTAGCCGACCCCTGTCGAATGGTGCTCTTGCCGAGAGTAAGCCAATCTCCATGCGTCCGGTGCCCGATATCAAACAAGCCGTTTTCTGTGAAGGAGTGGAGGCTGCCCACTCCGCTCAAGGCGACAACGCTGCCGTCGCTCAGCTCCTCGGTATCACCTCCCCCAGCGTTCGACTCGACTCGCAGGCCAAGTACTGCTCAATTGCTAGAGGCGCAGGTGATATCTACCTACGGTTACCTGTCAGAAAGGACTACCAAGAGAAGATCTGGGATCACGCGGCTGGTGATCTCATTGTACGCGAGGCCGGTGGACAAGTGACCGATATCTATGGCCGACAGTTGGATTTCAGCAAGGGCCGGACTTTGGCTGCCAACAAGGGAGTCGTCGCCGCTCCTAAGGCCATCCAGGACCAGGTCATTAGTGCCGTCAAGACGGTCCTGAAGCTATAAAAGATGACGCGAACGCTAACAACAACTGAATCAAACCACTAAACCCGTTCTAAATCTTTGTTAGATCCTGCACGCTCGATGCGCCTAAAAGTACATGGAATAGATACCAATTGGGAAAACAGGAGAGACTCTGCTTGGATATACATGTACAGAAATAGCCCAGACCCTGTTCCAAGAAAATGCCAAAGTAAAATACAAACCACCCCAGTTCACCGAATCTTCTTGGCCTTCAGTCTGATTGTTTCTCCATTCACAAAAATACCCTTGCCCTTGTAAGGCTCTGGCTTCCGCCATTCTCTGATCTCCGCCGCGAATTGTGTCACAACACTTTTGTCGACTCCCTCAAGCAGAATACGAGTAGGCTGCGGTGTGCTGGCCTTGACTCCCTTGGGAACACCAAGCTCAATGGGATGAGAATATCCAACCTTGAGAGAGACGAACTGTTGGCCAGGGTATTCGGGTTCCACTGTAGTCGCTGTAGACTCGATGCTCGCTCTGTAACCGACACCGACCAGACTCAAAATGCAAATATGTCCTTCTGATACTCCAAGTACGTAGTTCTGCAGATGGGCCCGCATAGTTCCTAGAAGCCGCACAAGTCAGACATGGGCCGTCGCATGAACACTCAAGAGTCGTTTACATACCCCACATGGCACGTTGATGGGCAATGGAGGGATCCTGAACAGTCAAACTGGCTTTCCGGAGTGCTTCATCGTGTGCGACCTCAACAAATGGAGGGATGTTCAAGGTCAATTCACCTATGACCGAAACCGTATGTTAGATTCCGCTTCCGAGACACTCAAGGATGAAACACCGTCGCTTACCGAGAGGACCCTTGACCTCAATTGCAGTCTTAGGGATCTCCTTTGACCGGCCTCGTACTTGAGTCTGAGGCAGGTCGACAAACTTCAAGGAGACCTCTGGTGGTATCGAGATCGGAGCGCCGCCTACTCGCGATTGTGTCGGGGAAGTGGTCGAAAAACATTGTGTCCGGAGCAGGTGGGAGTATGCAGGTGCCAGGAAGATAGGTAAAGTGGTCTGCCGGAGAGGATTCCGCGCAAGCCGCCTCAAGCAGCTCTGGGGTAGAATATTCGACATGGCGACGATAATTGTGTTTGATTGTTCCAGATAGCGGTTGAAAGTCCGGATCTCGACTGATTTTGTCCGAAGGCATATGCTCCAAATTGGGTTAGTACAATCTCACGTGACTATATCACCCTCTTCATAGATCGAGATCAACATATTACAAGGTCCGTGTATGTTGTCTATGATTTTCTGCATATTGTCAGAGTTCGCTGGCGACATGGCTTGATTGATTCTTGTAAGGTATTCTTTGTATTTGCGTTCGTTAGTGTGATGTCTGTCTCTGTCGCTTTGCTCATTTCGCTGTTGTTTCCTTCAACTTCATCTCATACTACTTCATTCCAGCTTCAGTCTTTCGGGAGCCTTGACATATTCATCTTTCTATTCTGCTATCTGCTCTGGAGTAGAAGTCACACCGTCCATTGCTCTTATCTTTCTAGTCTCTAATCTCAATATCATTGCCACCGAGGGTCTCCATCGACTCTATTCTACTCACGGAGTGACACTCCATTCTCCAGCCAGATGACAAGGACTCATCCGCCTACGTTCTTGCTTGCCAACATGCTGCTCTTTCTCCTGCTGATATTGAGTCCTGCCCTAGCAGGGAAGCTGCTGACCGGTATGTTCTCAGACAAGGAATTATCAATGCATCATTGATAATGAAGTTAGGGACGTCGGTACCTGCTCATGACGCATCTGCAGAAATTGATCTGGTATCCTTCCTACAGTCGAAGACGCAACAGCATGATGCTATCTTTACCGAAGCGGTGCAGCTACTTGAATCTATGAAGTCGTCGCCTTCCTGCAACCGGATTGCAGCTTCAAGGCTCGTCGCATCTTGTCAATCGATAGGGGGAACGACTGATCATACAGAACCAAGTACATATCTTGCATTGGAACATGTTCGCTCTCTGTACGCGGCACGACTTGCAGTATGTGAACTCGACGGAGCGGGAGCATCAATTCCTCCTCCATGTCTTCCAGTTACTCTTGAGGCCCCGCGGAAGAAAGGATTCTTTGGGTTTTCCTCCAATCATAAATCCACGACCACCACAGCCGACTCTATGCCGACTGAGATTCTAGAATCATGCTTACGGTCACTGGAATCTCGACCACAGTGGTGGACATCGTATAGTAATAGTAGACAGAATGCCATGGTAATATGTCAAGCAACGCGACTTGAGACGGAGAAGGAGGAGCTTCTTGAGCTTCATCGCTCAATAGTCGAAAGCTCAATCAAGCTTAGCCATGGGCTCAAAGAGGCACTTCAGATGGCCTCTGCAGAGACTTCCCAGCGTCAAGCCTTCATGGAGGCGACAGCAGCTTTGCAGGCGAAGCTGACACAAGACCTGGAAGCAACTGAGACTGGCTTCAGAGCTCTTCTGGGCAACTTAAAGGAAGGTATCGAGTTTGCCGTCGATTCTGTAGTTACAACTGCGACCTCAGCCCTTGCAAGGGTACATAATGATGCAGCAACCCTCGAGAAGGTACGCGTCTAGCAATCTTGTACCAATACGACTGACATTGTCTAGGACATTCGAAATGCTACCAATGAAGTCAACTACCTGCGACAAATGCTGCATGCTGTTTATGATGAAGCTCTGACCAGAGAAGCACAGAGTGTGCATGCTCACGAGCAGAATGTTGAAAAACAGAATGAGCTTGCGCTCTCAATTCAGTCTAGGCTCGAGTCACTTGTGCACGGCGATGTGGCCAGTCTCTTTCAGAATGTCGAAACGTTTGACGCTTCGCTAGTAAGTAAACCTTTGCCGAATGTGACGATCTGACAAGGCTTACAACACCAGTCATGGCTCTCAGAGAGGCTAGGACTCATTCTACAACAGGAGCTGAGCTTGTCCGAGGTTAGTGGCTTGCCCTTCAACTGGTTTCTTGACTGAGCTAATTATTGAAGCAACTGCGAAATTTCGAGGCATCTCTTGAAAATTCGCAATTGAAGGCTGAAGCTATACGTACAGCTCAGCTGCAACAGTTCGATGCGCTTGAAGCGCAATATAGATTACAGCAACATATGGAAACCAACTTCCAAATTTCGCAAGCGCTTCTTGATAAGGCAACTGCGACTGCTGCGAACCTACAAGCAATGATCGACGAAACGACGACCAGATATCGAGATTCCCCAATCTTAGGGAATGTTATCGGACCATACTCTGCATGGACAGTGTGTGGTATTCTTCTCAGCTTTATAGGCGCGTACAATCCAAAATTGGCTCTGCCAGCCCTTTTGATCGGTGCCGGTGAGTGTACTTCCCGTAGCTTGGGTCTGATCGTGCTTGAATAACATATTTCCAGTTCACCTTACGATGACGAGATTCTACCACGGCGTTCTATTTTAGCTCTCGTCTTCAACAACCTTTCGTATTCTTCGCTACTTGCATTATTTAGTCCACATATCTATGTCGTCGTTTCGATTTTACTAGGAACGGGCTTGAGCGAATGGGGAGTTTCATGGGCTTATTATTTCCGTCGTTATACCAGATTACTTTGAGGGTGGAGGGAATGGGCGTTGATAGTTAAGTGATAGTTAGGTGACCGAAGGATGAAGAGTGACAAGATTCCAGTAGAAGCCACATTGAATCCTCGAGAATCACCAAATATAGGTCTGAACGCTGGACGTACTGGCTATCCTAATTTGCCAAATTTTTAGACTTAATCAGCCCCCTGAAGCTGCTACTTGCAAAGTAAAACATCAGAGCCAGTCAGATCACTCGACGATTTTCACATTCAAATACTGGATGTAGATCACAAGGGCAACAAGCCTGTCCTTTCTCAGTCTAGACACGAAGGACTCGGGAAGAGTCAATGCTCCACTTTCTCTTGCAGAGATAAAACGAGGAAGAATACTCCGTATGTACCGCGGCAATCTGCCCGTAACCCTAGGCTGGTAACGATCAGAAATAGCGCGTATCCGTGCTGTATCCCGCAACAAACGACATGTGAGGACACTTAAGATTTCTGAACACTGAACACAGAATGCGTAGGTTCATCAGCAGAGAGCCCGAGGGCTCCTTATAGTCACCTTCTAAGGATGTGGGTGTGAACCGAAAATTCCTACTTCCCATGACTGCTCTCAACAGCCCCAAACTGGACGTCTACCAAGGTCATGTATCTACAATACGTCAGGTACCAAGCCGCGACAGCCCTGTCCTGAGCTGTATTTATCGGCATCGGCACTTGCCGAGCGATGTTGGCTTTCGCCAGTTACTCCACATGTATTGGGAAGGATTTGGAGATCCCCAGACTTGGCGCATGAGGGAAATATCCGGAGATCCACACCTGGTCGAAGGCACGAATCGACAGACCGGATTTCCCGTCTTCATGTGGGAGAGTCCCACTTGCTGCTGAATCGCCGCATAACCCGATGCCCCAGATCCTGCCCGATCTTCCTGCATGCTTTGGAACGGCATTGATGATCGGGAAATACTCGTTGTCTAGTCCTGCTTTCATCGGCACAACTTCGGGACTTGCACAGGGGTTGGTCCTGCAACCTGGTGGAGATGATCCTATCTGTGAATTACCCCACGGGGTTACTATTCTGATGAGGGTAGATTCCCGGGAAGTGTAGTACAAAAAGACGCTGTTTTTCTACGAAACTCGAAGCAACCCTGGGATTTTCTGCTGAGAGCAATTCCATATAGCCAGACCCCTGGTGAGCTGACTCAGTCAACATGACCAAGCTCTCTCTACTGCCTCTTCTCACATTGGCCTTGGCAGCTCTGGCAAAGCAGGATGCTTTCCAGGCTAAATGTGCTAGTTTTGGACACAGGATCAAGCTGCCTAATGTCCACGTGAACTTCGCTGAATATGTCCCTGGAGGGACGAACCTCACACTGCCCGACAATGATGTCACCTGCGGTGCATCCTCTCAGATTGTGTCAGCGGATATGTGCCGGGTTGCTATGGCTGTTGATACATCGAAAAGCAGCCAGATCACCCTGGAAGCATGGTTTCCGCGGAATTACACTGGCCGCTTTCTGAGCACTGGCAATGGAGGCCTTTCCGGCTGTATGGCTTCTTCTAATCCGTTGTAAAGATAGAGTTCCGTTGTGGCTGATATTATTATAGGCATCCAATACTATGATCTAGCCTATACTGCCGGCTTAGGCTTCGCAACAGTCGGCGCCAACAACGGCCACAACGGAACGTCTGGCAAGCCCTTCTACCAGCATCCTGAAGTCATCGAAGACTTCGCATATCGTTCAATTCATACCGGTGTCGTAGTCGGTAAACAGCTCACCAAGATGTTTTATAGCGAAGGCTTTGACAAGTCCTACTATCTGGGATGCTCCACTGGTGGCAGACAAGGCTTCAAGTCGATCCAGAAATACCCCAATGACTTCGACGGTGTTGTGGCAGGTGCTCCAGCCTTCAACTTCGTCAACCTGATCTCGTGGAGTATCCACTTCTACTCGATCACCGGATCGAATACATCAGACACATACCTCTCGCCGGCTTCGTGGAAGGTCGTTCATGATGAGATCGTGCGGCAGTGCGATGGAATCGACGGGGCAAAGGATGGGATCATCGAGGATACCGATCTCTGCCATCCTATTCTCGAGACAATCATTTGCAAGCCAGGTTTCTCTAGCACGACCAATTGTATCACCGGTGCCCAAGCGAAGACTGTTCGCAATGTTCTCTCCCCATTTTATGGCGTGAACGGAACTCTGCTGTACCCTCGCATGCAACCCGGCTCCGAACTGTTCGCTTCGTCGATCATGTACAACGGTCAGCCCTTCCGCTACAGCACCGACTGGTACCGCTATGTCGTCTACAACAACCCCAATTGGGACGCCACCAAGTGGACGGTCGAGGATGCCGCGGTTGCTCTGGCGCAGAACCCCTACAACATCCAGACTTGGGACGCGGATATCTCCTCCTTCCAGAAGGCGGGTGGAAAGGTCCTGACCTACCACGGTATGCAGGACCAACTGATCAGCTCGGATAACTCGAAGCTGTATTATGCGCGCGTCGCAGAGACAATGGGCTTGGGCCCTGAAGAGCTGGATGACTTCTACCGCTTCTTCCCCGTTAGCGGAATGGCACACTGCAGCGGCGGAGACGGCGCCTACGGCATTGGCAACGGGCTGAGGACATACAACGGTGCTGAGCCAGAGACCAATGTCCTTATGGCAATGGTCCAGTGGGTTGAGAAGGGGATTGCTCCGGAATTCATCCGTGGTGCCAAGTTCTCGAACGGGGTCGGTTCGTCTGTCGAATATACCCGCAAGCACTGCAAATATCCTCGCAGAAATGTATACAAGGGACCAGGAAATTATTCCGACGAGAACGCATGGGAATGTGTTTAGTTGACGCTGTCTGGTGTTGTATTAAACTTGTCCGTCCTGCTTGATAGAATGCAAATAAGTTGAACAATTGAAAGCAGATGTCTCTAGTGTCCAATATCCTATATCCCTATTTGGTCGCCTGTCATCTGATGTTAAGCCACCAAGGAAATAGGAGTAACCATTTCCAACCATGTCAGCCAACACAGGGTCCTTGCCATAACTTCTTTTCAAGGGAATCGTGCTGATGACCTTGTTTGTCAGTGTGACATATATGTTGAGCGTAGATAATTAAGCTCACAGAGGATAAGACCACATACCATAAGAGGTCTTAGACTGAAGGAGTCCCTATCATAAGCAAATTTCAGATTGCAGCGTAGATTGTCTCAGAGCTCGGGGCACAATCTATAATATAATGTCATTTGAAGCGGCAGAAGGTGGCGGTAGTGAGGGGCAGAAATGTATCTATGGCTTAGGACTCGATCGACAAATGGAGCAATGCCTCCTGCACTTACACACTCCGTCTTGGACTCTGCGATATTCTGTGCGTCTGGCCAAAAATAGGAAATAGTAGGTGAGACCTTTCTCCTGAACATGCGAACTACGCGATTGGAAATATCTCCCTTGATCTCCGCAAAGACACAACTCCACATACAAACCAGACCGCCTTGGCAACTTAGTCCTTGAGGTAGTCGCGGTCAAGAGAGATAATTACAAAAGGCGCTTGATGATGAAGCACTTTCGGCCGTGGAATTGATACAACACTTGTCGCATATATACTTCCGGCTGACCCACAGACTTTCTAGCAACCATAGTTCCGACGCTTCGAAGGTGGTCCTAGGAGTACATTCCGCTTGCTAGGGTCATCCTTGATTTTGCAAAGCTACCCCAACCCCGCAATTGCTCAAGCGCCTTGGTCGAATTGATCCATCGCGAAGAAGTGCGTGACCGCGTCAGCTTTACGTCGAGAATTTCGCAAGGTTCGGGGTTTTACCAGCAAATTTCAGAAAAATGGCCGATCCCGTCGCCGACGCGCCTGTCATAGACGAGTTCGCGCAAACTCGAGGCGGTGATGATTTGTTCGATGACGAAATCATCCCAGTCTCCGTAGACGAACAGGTACAAGCTGAGGTCCAGACGCCGGAGGAGAAAGTTGCAGACACCGAGAGCCAGGAACCACCACGGATAGATACCCCGCCGCGCTCACGTGGAGCGGATAGACGAGGAGGGCGAGTGAGAGGAAAAGGGCGCGGAGGACGCGGGTCACATCATTCAAGTCGCGGGCGTGCAGAGGGAGGGCCGAGGGGCAGGTCTACTAACAGTACTGCCGAACGGGAGGACAACAAAGTGGAGGATGCAGCCCGTGAGACGCCGGCAGAAGGATCAGAGCAATCTACAAAAGAGGATGAAACCAAGTCGGATGCTAAGCCCGCCGCTGCGGCGAATGAAACCGAAGCTCAACGCGTTCCAGCTGTTCGTGGCGATAGGAGCGCAACCGGCGGAGTGAAGAAGGTATGGCACGAGCCTGTGTGGCCTGAAGAGAGACGTCTACTAATAACCTCACCAGCCCAAGCTCACGGAGGAAGAGCTTACCCGACGCATCGCTGCCGCCAAGGAGAACGCCGCTAAAAAAGCTGCTGCATATGCCCGCGCTGAGGCCGATCAGGCGTCATTTCTCGAACGCGAAAAGGTTGCAGAAGAGAAGCGCCGCCAGGAACGCCAGAATCGACGGGCAATGGATTCCGAACGCGAGCGCAATCGCTTGAGAAAACTCGAGGCTTTGGGCGGAAGGGAGTGGGATGCTACCAAGCGCGAAGAAGACTACAATCCCCGTGGTGGTGGGGGTCAATTCCGGCGAGGCATGCACGGAGGAGTCTCAGGTTACGTCCGCCGAGATTTTGATGAGGCCCACGCGGAGGAGGAGAACCTAGAGGGGCGCCATCACCACAACCAACGCGGTCGAGGACGTGGTGGAAGAGGTGGGCGCGGACGAGGAGCTTCTCGCGTTGCGCCTTTCGACGGGGCGTCAGATGGAGCTGCTCCAGCAGCCTCCCCAGCCGCTCCGGTTCCGAATAATGAACAAGAGTTCCCAGCCCTTCCTGGCGGTGATAAACCAACGGACAAGACCGTCTCCGATCTTGCAGACAAGCTGGAGAGCTCTCTGTCTCCAGTGTCTGGTGCCACGTGGGCAGAGCAAGTCGAGTCGCAGCGGGATTAATCTACTCTGCTAATGCCTCCCATGAATTTCTGCCCACGCATGTACGTTTCCCTTTTTAGCTGTTTCTTATGTCTCTAGGATGGATGGACCTCCGGAGAGGTTTTCTGATGTTTCTTCTCTTTTGACTCGAGTAATGATTGTCCTATACCACTGAATCGGAATGAGACTTGTATGTACATACGCGCTAGATGTTACAAAATCAGCAATCCATGCTATCCATGCACACGGACTGACACGTACTATCTCATAGTCAAGATCTCACTATCAACATCCTGACTCTTCCAAGTTAATGTGCCGGCTAGTCGTAACTTTATGGAGTATGTGATGATTCAGCTAAGGTGGCGGGTACCAGCCAATGACCAAGGCGGGATGCGCTCACTATGAAATCATAGTTACTCTGCAACTAGAACAGGACCCGATGGACAAGCAGATGGTCGATGAGGTATACAAGTTGACCCCTTATATAAAGACGTTGTAGTCAAGATATTATTTGCATTATTCAACATTGTTGAAATACCGAAATTCCAGGTACGTTCGGCATTGATTCGCCATTGACTGTACAACGGACCATCGAAACAATATATATCATTCCACATTGTATCAACAATACACCATACTGACTTCAGCGTAAGGATAGAAGCACAGCAATCAAAATCACAATAACCATCACAATGGGAGACAGAACAGCCGACAACGCCGTCAACCACGAGAGAACCTCTACCCAGGGCGGTGCCAGCTCCAAACCCACACCCGCCAACAACGCAGGCGGCGGAACGGGATGGGGCGACAAGGGTTTCTTCAAGGGGGGCACAGGCACAGAGGGACCGGGCCATCAGGCCGTAAGTTGATTCGAGGCGTACCTAGCAAGCGCGGGAGCACTGAACTGATGATTTGCGGTGTAGGCTACCAACCCTAAGTCATCGATGGGCAAGTTCCTAGGTCTGAGTTCGCAGAAGGGTGCTGCGAGCTCGAACTTTGAGCAGCGGGCTCAGGGGGCGTCCGAAATGACTGCTAAAGGTACATCGTGCGATACTGAGGATCATAGTTTCATGGAGCATCGGCCTGGATGTCCTGAGACGCTGCCTGGGTGGTCAAAGACGAAGGGGGTGATGGATATGTGAGTTTTACCAGGAGTTCACCTGCCTTGTTCTGAGGAAAGATGTGTTGGGACTGACGTTTGGTTTTTAGGTTGCATGGCCAAGGTCGATAGTGGTATGCTGGATTCGAGTTGGGAGTTGAGGGAGTTCTTCGCTTGTATTACGTGCTTTTGTTTTTCTCATGAATAAACATTATTTGCATGATTGTGAAAGGACCAACGAGGGTACTAAAATCTAAGCATGCTATATTGTACACTATTCTACCTTCGACCTCTTTCCGCCGATGCGATCGCGTAGGGCTACAATCTTCCCTAGCAGCCTGCCTTTCAGGGTTTGCGCGGTAAGTGCAGCAGCCTGATCAGCTGCGACAAAACGGCGGACCAGGAGATTGAAGATGCTTCCGAATGCAAGAGCAATCACGGTACTGGTCAAAATGATCACGTTGTACGGCATGCTGAAGTCGGGAGTCGGTAGTGGGAGGAGAAGGCTGGTGGTGCGCATGTAAATCGGAGTATCGTGAGCAATAATGTTGCCGTTCGCACTAGATAGCTTGATCACCGCAGGAGCGACGTTGAAGCCACGGTTGGCGTCCGGCGGATACTCGGTGTAGCGCAGGATTGCCTTCTCAAAGTCATAGGTGAGAGTGACGATGGAAGCAGCAGGCACAGAGAGTGCAAGTTCCAACTGTGTGCCTCTTTCTCTATCGATGGCCGGTCTGTAAAATGTCTCTTTCACAATGTGCGAGACGGGAACCGATCTAGTGGTTCCGTCGCGCCCTGTGATGGTCGCGCGTAAAGTGTGTACATAGGGCCGCAAGAACCAGGGAAGAGTCTCAAAATAGATGAAGTCGACCGGATGAGCATCCGACGGATTGTCAAAAATAATACGCATGCCGCCTCGTTCTTGGCCATGGCCAACAATCGTGCGTTCCGCACTCAAAACTGGTTCATCCCGACGGGCCAAGCTCGTGTGAGATTGCTCGGGGATCACCAAGTCAAATGTGCCGGATGGTTGCAAGGTAAAACAACGGGTGTATCCGTCGGGCCTTTTCGTCTCTTCCACTCCAGACGTGGTATATACCCCTTGCTCATGCGGCACCCGCAAACAGATTGCTTCTTCACCAGGACGTTGACCTTCGTCAAGGGAACAGACGCCACTTAAAGTACGACCAAAGATCTCGTTCAAGCTCCAGCCTTTGCCCGAGCCTCTTTCCAGAGGATAACAGGTATCGTCTGAATGATAAGGCTTTGAATTGTCGCAGTTCAGCTGATCATTAGGAACAGGACGTGGAATTGGGTTGTCTAGCAGCGTCAGAAACTACTGTACGTCAAAAAGAGAAAAGCACTTTGATAACTCACCTCGAGGCCGTTTTGAGCGCTCAATATCTAACACAATGTCTACTGTTTGGTCGATTTGCATGAGACACTCCCCGCCATGAGGGCAGACGGGACGCACGTCAACAGACATGCTCTGCCAGGATGCATCAAATAACTTGTGCCCATCAAGAAGACTAGAAACACCAGCCTTGCCCTTGCAAGGAAGTAATTTCAGAAAGGGTGTCAAGTTCTCCGTGCAGACAACTTCTCCAGGAAGCGTTCCATGCAGCAGATGCAGGTCACTGGAGGGGGAATGATCCCCGATAGGCTCAAATGATACAACCGGTCGAGTCGTTCGAGTCGAATCAATAAAATTCAGCGATGCGCAGAACAGACCAGACAGTGACTGGGTCAAGGATATCCATCGTGCAAATGCGCTGGACGAAAGTCAGCTCCGTAACATCGCGAGGCCTTGTGTCTGGTCCACAGCCTCTAGACCCACCTTTCGCTGTCCGGCGCATCAATCCATGCCCATAGCTCTACACCTGTATTTCCCTCCTTCGTCCCGTTCCAGGGACGTGTACCCCAGCTTTCAGCATCCCATCTCCCTGTTGTGAACCGAATATGTAGCTCCTTGGTGTGGGTGTGTTGTAGGATTTGGCCTAGAGCACGGGGGAAGTAGCGAAAATGCCGTTGATCAAAGGCCTCTTGCGAAGTGTTGCCTCTGAAGTTAAACGACGCTAGCAGGGAGGATTGAGGAAGCGGCTGGAGGACGAGAGCTTCATGGTAGTCCGATGCGGCGGAGGTGAAGGTCGCCAACGCGATCAGGAGGGACAGTAGGGGGAGAAAGGAGCGGACAACCATCACGTCATTCTTGCAGTCTAAAAGCCTCGAGATTCTATTGCGGTAGGGTCTTGACCTTTCCTAAAATTCTCAGAAAAATCATCGAGTGGGGTTGTGGTACATCAAAGATGTTGGAGATGTCCCTGAGAGCTGGCCCTTTGAACCGATTGAGTTTAGTCTCTGGATCTATATGACAAGGTGAGCAAACTACACACGATTGAGTTGTGTTGCATAATATTGTTTTCTGAGGATAATTTTATAAATAATATCATGAACATTAGATAACAGCTTTCCAATAATTAGGTCCTTTTATCAATTAATCCTTGCTCACCTAGGATTTCTTCTATTCTATTTCTACGGAGTACGGAGTAGATGCTCACATAAGCGCAGCCGCGTTTAGCGCCACGCCTCAGATAATCCTGGATCTTCGTTCAGCATCACAATCGATACCATCGCCAGTTAAGCAGATATTCCTTTCTTTCGCGCTCAATAAGCTGTCGCCAGCTTTCCATCATCATGGCAGCCGAACAAAGAAAGCTGCTTGAGCAGCTTATGGGAGGTAAATTATTAGACAATCTACAAATTTCAAATTATCTCTGAAACAAGCTGACGGAAATCTTCTCACAGCGGACCAGCTCATAGGTACCGGTGGCGGCTCTCGCAGTGCGCAGCTTCAGATTACGGACCCTAAGGTCTGTCGCTCGTACCTGGTCGGAACTTGCCCGCATGACCTCTTCACCAACACCAAGCAAGACCTGGGCCCTTGTCCCAAGGTACATAGTGAAGGATTGAAGACGGAGTACGAGACCGCCTCAGCGGCCGAGAAGGCGAAATGGGGCTTCGAGTTCGATTACATGCGCGATATGCAGAAATATATCGACGACTGTGATCGCAGAATTGACTCCGCCCAGCGACGATTAGAGAAGACTCCCGATGAGATCAGACAGACAAACAACTTGGTAAGGACGAAACACTTCCACCGAGCTATCATGAAAACATTCACTGACTCTCAGACAGCTGAAACAAATCTCCGACCTTACAAACACCATCAACACCGGTCTCCTTGAAGTTTCCGTTCTCGGTGAAACTGGTGCCGTGGCCCAAGCACTCAACGAACTACACAAGATTCGCACCGCTAAACACCAAAAAGAGACTTGCGAGCGCGAACTCAAGAATCTCCAAGATACCTCCGGTCCATCAGGTCATCAGAAGCTGCAAGTCTGCGACGTCTGCGGTGCCTATCTGAGCCGTCTTGATAACGATCGCCGGCTTGCCGACCACTTCTTCGGCAAAATGCACATGGGTTATTCAGACATGCGCAAGACCTACAAAAAGCTCAGCGAAGAGCTCAAGGGGCGCCCACCTCCTGTCCGTCACCATGATGATGACGAAGGCGGTTGGGGTGGCCGCTCAGGTGGTGGACGAGGCCCACGTTATGGTGGTGGTGGCGGATACAGGAAACGAGGCGGACGGTGGTGATTGAGATGCCTACTGATCGTGGTTTCTTTCCAAGTATTCTGGCCGGAATTTGCATAGCGCAGGCGTTGATTTTCTTTTCTTCATACCTAGGATTTGATGAGTTGCAATATGTGGACGTGATAGGCTTGTTTACATGTCAATAAATAATGATCGCAGCGTAGCATAGCCATCATTCTATCTTTATATTAATCTGGCCAGCATAGCAAAGATATGTTTTGCGGAAGTAGAATTAAATAATATCAGTGTGAATGTAGTAACTGGTTTATATTGACATAAATACTACTTGAAGACTACCTCTGGTCTTTATCCACTGCGTCTGAGCAGGTCTGGAACAAAACTGAAATTGATAACACCGAAAGAAGATTAAAGATTGTTTGGACTGGAGCTGAAACACAAAACTGCAATAAACTCCATGTAAAACAAAAGAGATCCGAGGATATCAAATTGCATAATCCATCCACAAGAGAACCAAGGCAAACCCGACCGCAACCTAAGGATATTCTTTACCATCCAGTAACTTTTACCGTCAACCCGCCAAAAAGAGGAGCATATTCACACAAAGACATTAAAATGAAAGACCAACATCTGTTATATAATGGCCTGGATCTAGCTGGCGTTTTGCTGTGGACCATGCCCATTCGTGGTAGCTTGATATAGCGCCTGCATTAACATCTCGTAATTTGAGGCGGCCTCTGGCTGTCGTAAGATAATGTCATGGACAACACCCAGTTGGGAGACATCAGCATTGGGAGCCTGCTGGAGGAGTTGCTGAATTGCAGGAGCATTTGCCTGAGCACCAAGCACCTGCACTGCGGCGGTCATACCGGTGACAGGCACCTGACTATGTGGCTCTGGAGGTTGATACCCCTGGGGCTGAGAAGCCGGTTGAGTTGGCCCCAGCTGCGACTGCGGCTGCTGCGATTGCAGGGATTGTTGAGGCTGGGAAGCATAGGAATTGAGGGTCGGAATTATGCCCGAGATAGCGGATGGCGGAGTGGGAGACGTCTGCGACATCTGCCTCGGTCCAGGTGTCAGAAACTGCTGTTGCTGGGGTGTGGCTGCGACGGTGACAGGGCTTGCAAAAGACGCAGGCTCCTGACTTGGATGGTGTGACGAGGGCTGTACTGAAGGAGGATTCGATTCGCCGGTTTTGACTGCGAAGACCACCAACAGTACTCGCTCTGGAGTAGGGCCTTCAAGTGTATTGTTTTCCAAAAGCTCAATAAATTCGGGCTTCTTCGTTGATCCAGCTTCGATGGGAATAACGTAGGTATCCTTGACGGCTGGCAACGGATGTTTTCCGACAACACCGTATCGCTTCCGGTCTTGGAAATAATTGAAGAGCTTGTCGAACCCTTTTTGATCTTTGGGGATTCTGGGCGACTGATGGAGATGACTGAAACGTCCGTCGAGGAACTGAAACGCAAACCACAGAGATAATTGCTCGCCAGCTGAATGTCGATTCGCCCATCGACCACCAAGGTCGACGGCGCAAGCTGACTCCACGGTATCCTGTCACTTAGCTCAGCTCCTCCAACATGCTTCGCTGAAGATGAGAAATCAGCCACCGGGTTCATGACAACCTTCCCACGCCAGATAATCCCCTCGTCGTTAAAGTCTTTCGGGGAATAGGGAGGCGATTCAGGTTCGACGTCTTTCAACAACTTGTCAATCTCTGCATCAGCCTGGGCCTTGCCAGTCGGCAACATCTCACGTATGTGAGTTGAGACCTCTGGAAAGACTTGGTCATGATCAGCGGCGCCAGGAGAATGCACCCTAGGCCCATCTCGGGCCTTGGTGTCCGTCACTTTGGTGTCGATAGGTAGCGGTTTGGCAGTCCTTGGCGCACTGTCATCCGGCTGCTGATGAGCCTGGGGACTCGCTGGACTTTGATCTGAAGGGCTTGCGTCAACATCAGCCACGCTTCGGCGGGTCGGCGCTACCGAAAACACTGGCTCGCTGGCGACGGTTTGATTCTCATCTTCAATGAGCTCTTCGCCTTTATGGGTTCGCCTTATTCGCGGACCTTGCTCCTCCACGATGATGTGCTGCCTCTCCGCCTCGCGCTTGATTTCGGCATCCTTCTGCTGAAGCTCCTCACTTGCCATATCCTGACTGCTCATCTTAGAGAGCGCATCTGGAAGCAAACTACCTACGAGCAGGCGATCCCGTAGAGAAGGATTCTTCTTTACGTTGAACAAGATCGTCCGCAGTTGTAATTTATATGGTTCAGTGGGTTCTCCAGATCCTCCGCAAATATTCTGATACATAGCCTTCTCGATTGAAAAACCGAGCTGCTGCGCTATCTCTTTCGCCGATCTTCCCTCAGGTAATTTGAAAGACCCTTGCTTCTGTGCATCAGAAATTTGATCTACAAATAACTTGACTAGAGCACTGGCAGCACTTCTTCTTGCTGGGTTTGAAGTTTCGTCCAAAGTCCCCGGTTCCTGCGTCGCAGTTTTTTCAGAAACGGAGCTTTGGCGCGATGGAGGAGCATTCGAATCTTCCTTCGCCGGAGCAGGCTTGTCGTTGAGAGGAGTCACTGAATCAGCTGGTGAGGCCATCTTTATTTGCTTGGGTTTTGGTCCCTGCTGGTAGACATTAGCAGCTGTCACTACTTCCAAACAGTAATAGTCAAATCTTACCGTATCGGAGGTCGCAGCCTCTTGATGTACCTCGAATTTCCTCTTCTGAGTGCTCGCTGGGCGGGCATCTGGAATGTCACCGTTCTTCTCCGGGACGGGGGTCACAACGGGCGGAGGGGCCAGTGGAACAGGAGTCTGAGCGGGCGTGGCAGAAGCCGCTTTATTGCGGGCTGGGGTGCCTGTATCCGGTTTGGGCTCGCTTGGCCGGCCCTTTCTACCCCCTTTCCTGCCTTTCTTGCGACGTGAGGCCTTCTTTTCTTCTGCCTGCTGGCGTCTCTTCTCGGCTGCTTCCTCCCAAGGCTTCTCACCACGCGCAATCTTGTCCAAGAGAACTTTATGATTCTCAGGTCGGCATAGTTCACAGAAGTATTCGTCGGGCTCCTCGCCTTTCGCAAATGTGAGGCCCATGCAGTCATTGTGTTGCCAGGCAGAGCACTGGTCACAGCAGATCATATCTCGTTCAATGTCTTCCTCCTCTTCATATTCTCCGCAAATACATCGAATGATTTCTTCTTCTTCACTGACGGCAGGCGTCGGCTCGACGGAGGGTTTCGGGGCTTTTCAAGTTTATCCTTCGATTGAGCTTTCGCTTTCGATTTCTTCGCAGGTGTCTCGGTAACCATATCCAGGTTTTTGTGTTGGCCTTTCGTAGAGCGTCCAGAGCGTCGCGGTTCTTCTGATCTCAGCAGTTAGCGAGCTATTCAGTCACGGTTCGGGGGTCGCAATCAGTCCCCACAACTTCAGTTGAGGTGACGCCACGCTCACAAAAGAAGTACTATAGGCTTACCAGTCATGATGGGCATGTGATATGGCAAAGGATCTCTGAATATCTACAGCACGTGGTAGGATAGGTGTTATTCCAATGACAAGTTGTGCAGGCCACCCAACAGCTGGCTTTCTACGGCATCCGAGGGGCTAAAGTAATACGCAGGGGAAAAGACTGGACAGTGGCACTGTTGCCTGGCCCACACGGGTATTACTCGATCCTCCAAAAGACTGTCCCTGCTTTATTTACCGAAGAACGCGTGCGGACCCAATTGTAGCAGCAAGCTGGGTGTGGGCCTTTGGAGGCTTCTGTCGCGCCGAGTTCTAGCGTGAGGAGTCGCGTGAGTATCGTCCTGCACGTGGCGTTTCCTTGGAACCAGTGGATCTGATGATGGCAACCAAAAATATTGCTGGTCGCGACAGTAGTTCGTATAAAATTCGGCGTTGAGTAAACGGCTAAGGATGAAATTGCGATGAGAGAGTGGGTTGAGGGAAGGAATGGAGGAGAGATGTCGTGCTACTTGTAGTGAGTAATCAGGCACGTGACTGAGGCTCGGTGGGGAGAGGTCTTGGCAGACGCCAGTCGCTTCCCGTCGCGTAAAGTAGTTTCGATGTCGTGAAAGCTTCTCCAGATCCCCACACCACGCTTTCTCACCAAACTCTGTTGATCTTACTGAAGCGCTCTCAGAAATCTATTGTACTCACTTTTCACCTGTTAGTCTGTCTACTGGGATGGCAGATGTTCGCTCGTTACTTCGAAGTGAGCTTGCTGCTCGGAAGGGCGCACCGCAAGCAGGAAGTACCAGTAATCGAGTTACCAAGAAGCGGAAGGTCGATATCACGGATGACTTGACGCGAAAGAAGATGAGGCCTGGCGAAAAAAGCGCAGATTCCCTATCACCGGCAGTACATACTGTGCAGCCACCGAGCGCCCAGGCGATCGATGAAGTGGAGGATGTTGAACAACGAGAACAAGAAACCGCTGACCTGGAACTTCCGCCGGACTCGAAAGCCTCCCAAGAGCAGACCCAGGCACAGTCTGAGTCGTTGCTCAAATCGAATACACCCCAAGCTATCGATGAGGACGAATGGGCAGCGTTTGAGCGTGATGTGGTGGCGCCAACTCGTGTGCCCCAGGCACCTGCTGCAGTTGCTGCAGCAGCGACGATATCGGCTGCACCCGTGTCGGCCGAGCAACTGGCTGCCCAGCAAGAGACGGAAAAGGGAACGTCAATACAAGCACGTGAAGCTGAGATCGAAGGGGAACGAGAAGACGCGGCTCGGTTCTTGGAGGATGAATTTGATGAAATGGAGCAGCTTGAAGAACGGATCAGGCGGTTAAAGCATAAGAGGGAAGAACTGAGACAGAAACGAGCCAAGGAAGCTTCAGAGATCCCTCAGACAGAAGGATCCTCGTCCGGGAAAACACAAGGGGAACAGCAGATTGATGAGACTAAACAACGCGACGAAGAAGAAAACGATGATGATGATGATGATGACGACGATGATGTGGATGACGATGACTGGGACAACTGGAGATTCAGGTAATGATGAAATTGAGATCAGCAGTGGTTTTGGGAACGGCGCCAGTTCATAAAGGGAGGTCTGAACTCTTCACATTTACATTGATACCCCATACATCGAGCCATGAGCTATATGGATAATCTACAATGACTTATGATCCTTTCCTCTGTGCCATCTCCGTCGATGGGTGGCTTTAAAAATGTTGCTTTTACTGGCTCTACAGGTAATAATGCAGGCAACTCAAACAGGAGATATTCCTGTCACTTGTTGAGGCTTCAGCCGCGTCTCCACGGCTGTGTCGAAGAATGAAGAAATCGGCCGGATTGGGAACTAGTATCTATCTGCCTTGAGTCTTCATGAACAATTGAAATTGATTACATTTATACACCGAGTAGATCATCTCCGAGACAGTTCTCATGTCAAGAAGCTTCAGGACTTTTCTCTTGTCGTACTTTTACCGAGCCTTGGTTTTCGGCTTCCAGGTAGCTCCTGATACCTTCCTTGCTAACTCTCAAAGCTTCCTCGATCTCCGCCTCACCTTCTCTGAGGAGGTGCCTCCCGCGGACAAGCTCGCTTTGTTGCTTTCTTTTCTCCTCCTGAACTCGTTTCTCGCGTTCAGCAAGAGCCCTTTCGCGCTTCTCACGCTCCAGTCTATTCCTGTTTAGTACCTCAAGCTGATCTGCAGTCATATCTTGCTCTGGCGGTGGTGGCAAAGTAGAGATATAGGCCTCAAGTAACGGGTCGCGCACTTTAGGCGGCAATGAGATATATCTCAGGTCGGTGATAATTGATGAAGGAAGAGCTCCTAGATTCGATGATCGGTTGAGCTCTTGTAATGGTACTGATTTCAGCAAGGCCGAGAAATCAGACTTTCGGGTGCTTTCAGGTAGCTTTAATCGCGAGATCAAGTCTCGGTAGAGTTTCTCACGGTCTTTGTCTGATAATTGTGAATCCTTCATCTCGGGCTCTTTCCTGTACTTGCGTTTGAATTCAGGCCAGTAGAGCTTGGGAGTAGCGTGCTCCTGGAGGAAAGCGAGATACCGGATACGAGGATCCTTCTTTTCCTGCTTCTCTTTCTGTTCTTTCAGCTGCTGTATACGATCCCGGCTCCAACTAGACCAGGCCTCTCGGCGTGCCTTCATGTTTGGCAAAACAGTATAGCGGCTGTCCTCTATTATGCGGCCTTCTTCGATGGTCTTCTCCCACGTTGAATAGGGATTTATGTGATAGTCGTCGAGGAGGTCACGGAAAAGCGCTGTAGCATCTTCCTCAGTAAGTGGCAACCCTTCTGCGCCCTCCTCCCAGCCTTCCTGACCAGGTTCGCCGTATTCTCCCGGATCCAAACCGTATTCTTCTCCCATTGCTGCGAGCTGATACTCGATATCTTCTTCAGTGAATTCTAAAGGTTGTTGTTGGTCGTTGGTATCTTCGGTCTTCGGCCGTTTCGAGGGTTGATCATCCTCGTCCTCGCTATCAGTGACTTCAACTTCTTCGTACTCATCGCTGTCTTCCTTCGCATGTGCGGCTGTACCAGGATCCCGTACGCTACCAGGTTCCTCGGAAGGGCGAACTTCGTCCAATATCTCCTTCCCCTTTTCTCCGGATTCCTCGGCTTCTTCGGAACGAGCCTTCTGTTCCCTCTTCTCTCTTTCCAAACGATCATACTCCACCACTCCCTTCATTACTGCGGGAGGAAATTTCCAGAAACTTTCGTTCGTTTCAGGGTTGTGGACGAATCTTCTCCCCAGTCTCGTCTTCACAAGCACCCACGGCTCGCACCCGGGTATCGCGTGTTTCGATTTCGGCCTATCCTCGGGCCCTCGATTGTTGCGGTCGCGGAACCCTTTCCCACCTCGAAATCCACCCCTAGGATGACCATGACGAGGGAGCCCGCGGGCCTGGTCGCCGAAGGCAAATCCTTCGGGCGCATACGGAGTGGAAGAGAAAGGGGGAAGAGTGTCTGGGGTGACAAAAGGAACTTCGGCGGGCGGGGCGGGTTGCAATTGAACAGGAAGCGGCTGCGGTCTTGTGTATGTAGATTGCTTCGTCTCTGCGTTGTAGTAATAGAGATGTCCTATCTTGTAGTCAGAGGCTTGAGCTCTAAAGATTGCAATAAGGAAACTAACCGGAAGGAGCTCTATGCTCTGTCCACCCCGGTGGTAATGGAGGAGGGGGAGTGTAGGTAGACTTGAGCATTCTGACCACTACTGTCTGGGGCACGATAAAGCTATGTAGGAGATCGTCAATTGCTGGTATCAGAAAGACATACTCGTAAGGCGCGGAATGCCCTAATTGCAAAATTGCATAAGGAATCTGAAATGGGTTTGCCAGTCGATAGAGCTTCGTCTGCGCCGGGAGATCTAGAAGTGGTCCGAGCTTGGCAGCGGACCGGCAGGACGCGCCAGGGCGAGTTGCCTGGTCACTTGGAGCTCACCTTGCCCGCTCACATAGCTTAGGTACATCACAGCTCCATACTCTTCCTACAGCACTCTCCCGCCCTATCTACTTCATCTATCTTCTGATTTTCTCTCATTGTCATAGTCACTAGACATACTGCAAAATGTCACGGAGATATGATTCCAGGGTACGACTATTCCGTCATTCCGTCACTTGCTCCAGCTAACCCGGTGATGCCCCATGTAGACAACCATCTTCTCCCCCGAAGGTCGTCTTTATCAAGTGGAGTATGCGCTCGAAGCTATTTCACATGCTGGTACAGCTCTAGGAATCTTGGCCAAGGATGGAATCGTCCTTGCTGCGGAGAAAAAGGTGACCAGCAAGCTGCTAGAGCAGGACACTTCTGCAGAGAAGCTCTACACACTGAACGAGTACGCAGTTCCCAACGGAGAGGATGTTTCTCGTCTCCTTTACTCCGTTACTGATTCATTACTAGCAACATGATCTGCGCAGTTGCCGGTATGACTGCAGACGCCAATATTCTTATCAACTATGCCCGACAAGCCGCTCAACGCTACCTCCTCACGTACGGCGAAGAAATTCCCTGCGAGCAACTTGTTCGTCGATTGTGTGACCTGAAACAGGGATACACTCAGCACGGTGGCCTCCGTCCCTTCGGTGTCTCGTTCATCTACGCGGGTTATGATCCTCTGAGAGAATTCCAACTGTACCAGAGCAACCCCAGCGGGAACTATGGTGGTTGGAAGGCCACTAGTGTGGGAGCAAATAACGCGAGCGCCCAAAGTTTGCTGAAGCAAGATTATAAGGAGGACTGCGACCTGAAGGAAGCGTGTGCTATGGCCGTCAAGGTCTTAAGCAAGACAATGGACTCGACAAAGCTGAGCAGTGAGAAGAGTAAGTGACCCGCAATGCTTTTATCCCGTCCAGTTCATGACGTATCGCTTTCGATATGCTTAATCTATTCCCGCATCGTTGGCTGACTGATGTCCTTACCCACGCAGTCGAATTCGCAACGGTGGGAAAGACCAAGGAAGGGAAGATCTACCACCATCTGTGGAATGCGGACGAGATCAATGCTTTACTGAAGGAACATGGCCTGGCCAAGGTCGACGATGAGCCCGAGGCTGGTGATATCAAATAACTTATGAGACAATGCCCCCTTTCGGTAATTTCGTCATACAATTAGGTTCTGAGATTTCAAATTCCCAGAAATGACATATTTGAGCCTGGTAGCCATTTTACAGAGGATGTTGCAAATGCCGGTGAAAGACCTTGAGAACACATAGGAGTTGTCTCTGGCCCACGGTTGCATTGAAATTGCACTTACATTGTTCGGTGGTGACGTGGCAAGCAACCTCCTGGGGTTCAATAAACCATTATTATAACTCCAACGCATCTCCTCGCACGAATTCTCGCAGTCTGATGCAGCCCGTTGTGGACGATGACCTGACTGAATGGTCCACGTAGTCTCCCTTCAAATTGTCTGATCCGAGCGCTTGATTAATTCCATTCTGAATAGCCCCTGCTCAACAGAGCCCTCAAATATGACAGTGCGCTCCCTAAAATACGTCAATTGTTCAAACAAAGATGAAGCCGTGCAAAAGATGGGCGGAATTAAAGATGTCGTCTCGACGAAATTTCACGGAGCAAAGTACATCTGGTCTGGCTCTCTACCATCCGAGAGAGAGGGTTGAGCAACCATGAGAGCTCGCAGCACTCGACGAAGTCATCGATGTACAAACACAGGGAGAAGACCATGCAGTTTGAACACCCTGTCTGGCACTTGGATCAATGGAGTTTGTTATTATTGCTTCTAGTTAAGCGACAAAGACCAGAACCGCTTCAAAACGAAAGAGGGCTAACCAGATAAAGGTCACTCACGTGAGTATATGTATACATTCGTCAATGCTGCGGGGTATCGATTCTCATCCCTTAACAGCTTGCTATGCGGAACCGAGCTTTGGAAACAAAGCCATATTCAAGGAACATCTGTGACAGACAGACGTACATTTAACACTGCGAGTCAAGGTAAAATGGCCACAGTAAATATTACAACCGTCCTAGTTCCTACTGGTGGAGCTGGGTGAACCGCTCATCGTGAACGCAGGCGCTTATGAGTTGGGGGTTCTTCAGGCTACATTCCCGTTCCTGCAACATCTCAAGGGAATGCATTTTATCATTGGAAGACTATGACTTAGATACATTAAGTCTGCAGTCGTCAAGACTTTTCCTCCAACCATCGTGTGGATCTCCCCGACTTCTGAATCCGTTCGAAACGATGATGCTGTCAAACCACAGCCAGAGTGGCACCTGCTTGAGAGAGCAGTTGATGGACTAAAGCATAAGCGACAAAATAGAGGCTTTGCAACAGAGGGAATCTTGAAACAAGAAACGGAACTACCAAGATGGCCAAAAATGCCTCTTCCTAGACGCCATTGAGCTCGGACATCTTACTTTCATGAGAGTGCTTTTCTTCGATCTTCTCGTTCTCTCTGCAACTGGCAAATTTCTTTGTCCAGTTCCATTATGAGCTTTTGCGATCGGTCAATGGAGGCCACGAGTGTTCCTCCTTCACGTTTCCATCTGGTCAGACGTTCCAACTCGGCGTTTCGCCGCCGGTACTTGGTTTCGATCTTGTCACAGAGCCGACATTTTGCCGTCTCGTACTCAGTCATATTGACGAGCCTCATGCCACATGTTTCGCCCGTTCGGTACTCATAGTTGCAGCGGTGAGCGAAGCTGGTCCAGCTCCAGTCTCCGCATGAAAATCTCTTTTGGTTGTAAAAGCACATGCCTATCATATCCGTCAGCGGAGTCCGGTCTGGGGTACTGATCAAACTCACTTGCCCGTCCGGGATCGTTGTTTCAGCTTTTTCGATATATTTGATTGGTCCAATTCAAAGGCCCTACCACTATGCACTATATGATAGGCCACAAATGAAGATGGTCAATTGAGGAACGAAAACAATATAAGAGTCTGAAACGCTTGATATCAAGAAGAAAGCTTTATCACTTATGAGATTCTCTGATGTTGCCAGGTCTGAAACTAACAGTGATTGAAACTCCATATAGACGGGGACTGAAGGGCCCTATTTATGTTTCGTGAGGTCTACCATGTTACAGTTCAGCTAGTTCCCTACTGTACGTGTTCATCCAGTCCATCGTCAATCAGGGAACTCCCTCAGCACACAATGGCTTATCGAATCCGGCGAACTATCATCACATCCGCATCACTCACCTCGAATCACCCTTGCGGTTGGCTGTGATGGCTTCGCCAAAGCAGGTGGGGTCGCAAAAAAAAAAAGCTCAAATGGACCCTCCATGAGGCAAAGGCAATGAGTGATTGCTTCATGATGCATGCATCTTGTTGTCGTGGCCGTCTCTTTCTTCTTCGGGCTTGAATTGAAAGTTCGAAAATGCCTCATTCAACATCACTCCATCGTCCAGATTGGATCACCGTTACTGCCTTGGCTGCTCGATTGATTATCCCCGCTTCATTCAGGTAAATACATTTCATATCAAGCCGTCCTTGCGAACCAAGCACTTCCTTTTCCGTCTTCTTGAATCAGACCTCCTGCATGCATGAGCTGTCTCGTGCCAACTATGGTGCCGTCTTCCTATCAAACTTTGGCTACGTCCAGGACACTCCTCGCATTCTATGAGCGGGATGCGGGCTTCCATTCCTCGGTATACTAGCCCGGTCTATCCGATCCAAGCACAAGATTTTATCTGGAAAACTCACTAACAACCAATCGATTTTAAGCCTTCTCGAAAGCTTTGCTATGGACTCGGGACAAACGTCAAACTTGGTAGCTTGCGAAGTAACACGCCCATGAAGTACTTTTTTCCGTCTCTCTTTTTCTCTTTTGCTGATTCCCTTCTTGTCGACCAGGGCCTTCAATGCCCGTAGCCTGTCTTTCTCCGGCTGCACTGTACATACATTGGTTCTTCCATCCATCCGCTGCAGGGGTATCATGCGTTGAGCCTACGGATGTCTTCTGGATTCCGCGTCCTCCCATTTCATTGTTGCAGCCCAGGGTTGTCCTTTCCTAGTGGCAAAAGACGCGTCACTAAAGGATATCGATTGGCATTCATTGCACCATTTCCATTAGTCCTTGAGGCTGATGGTGATGAAAGTGATATGTTAAACTTCAGTTTCTTGCAGGGATGCGTTTCTTTCAGCTGATCTCTTACATCTGCAGACGAGTAATCCTGCATTTGCCCCCACCCGTGTGCAGACTGTGGCTCATCCGCTTGCCTTCCTCGTCCCAGGTGATAGGGCATTACTTGATCCGTTGAACATGGCAGAAACTGACCGTGGTACGGCGCACACACTGTCCATACCCATGCATCTGCGCTAGAGCTCAGAGTCTCTCTGACGTGGCATCCTTCGTCTGGCCCAGAGATATGAATTCATGTACGTTGAGACCACTGTGGGTGCTCCAAAGTCGAGACCATCAATACGCAACTCTGGATCACAGCTCGGGGAACTGGTCTTGTCTCCCTTCATTCGGAAAAGCCTGGGTACCACCTTAGGAACTCCACTTACCCGAACATCCTAGGCCGCCTTCTAATGCAATCAATTCCAGCCTGTTTTTCTTTGTTCTGATGCGGGATCGTCGGACAGCTTCAGTTGATGATCCCTGAGTTGAGGGCTCGAGCAATGGATCCAGGCTGGGATGTCGGTTGCCAACTCAGCGGTCATCAAGTGCTGCCTTGGTAGCCGCAATGACAGCAGGGAAAGCCCAGTATGCTACTGTGGGAGGACCGACCAAGCCTACCTCCAGAACGCGATTTGCCACCTTTCTAAGAACAGTTTACACATCTTCTACTGTAGCATGCTATGATCTCAACAGCAAGGATTAGGCTGAGCTAGTCTAGCATCGGTCCTTGCCAGCCAGCCAAAGTTCCCTCTCTCATGCGGGAATCCGACCCGGCTAACACAGTTGGCGTTGATGCAAATCGTCAGTACGAACCTCCGGATGCCCAGTGAATACATCCCATCAACGTTAAAATTGAATTTTACGACACACATGTACTTCCCATCATGCCGGGTTCGTCCGGTCCCGTGATCATAAAGCCGACGGAGGCTCCTGCACATTCAGGGAGCGGGCTTCTTGCAGGTAGCAAATGGAAGCCGTTATTCTCAGCAGCGAAATTTTAAGGTAAGAGTGCATTGCTGCCGTATTATACCTACGCAAATGTATTGGCTAATAGTGGGATGCATGCGAAAAGCCATCATTCGACTGTGTCCAATCAGTGCTCTGCACTCGCTGGCAGCTTATGCAGCTAAAAGAACACCCTAGGTAGGTGCCGGCTGCACAATTAGAGCCCAGAGTGTCTGAGTCAAAACATGATTGGCCTACAAGCAGGACAGCGCCAATTGAACATTAATACCTAGATGCTAGGTCGCATATGCAAGTTGCCTCGTGCAAGTGTCCACTTAGGTACTTTCGTTCACATTCAGACAGCCTTGAACTGGACATATCAGTACTGGTTTCCCGTTCGGCCCGTGAGAAGAGGAGCTGTTGTCTACTCCAGTCAAGATGCCTAGTCGACACCCCGCGCAGCTTATGCTCGAGAGGGGAGTAATCGCAACTAACGCCTAGTGATGTCGATATGCAAGCAACCCCAAATGGGTCTTCGGCGGTCCTTCATTTTCTGGAAGTGGGCTTGAAAGTAATCAAAACCGGAGCCTGGAACGTGTCTGCGGAGACGCAGGAGCGTACCGAACCACCAAAAAGTTACGATAACTTCGACCCTTGCGCCTGGTATTGCTCAGATGATATTTCCAACAGATTGACGTGGCCGAACAGGTTGGATTTGTTATCGAGTCATCGTCTCGCCAATCGTAGGTGCGTCGTAAGTCTCGTTGCGCGAAGGAATCATTAATCTCCCTACGTAGCCACGCTAGGACTAGATTGACGAAGACTGACTGAACAATTGTACTTCTACATTGGTCAATCTATCCTTCTTTTTCGGTAGATCATATTACCTGTCAAGAAAACAACTGCTGCGCTAGTCCATGTAGCTTGCTCGAATATGACCAACGGAAAAAGGAAAGATGTAGCTCTCCAAAGAATAGGACGACCTTTGCTTGAAAGTTACATACTTGGAACGGAAGAGTGTCCCTTATGCCAGCGTCATCACGTGGCAGAGCAGGTTCCAAAGATACCCTGCAAAGGATGACGTCAATATGATTGATGAACAAAAAGCATCGACTCGACACGAGCTCTTCCAACTCCTTTTAACACCTCAAATCATTATACATCCGAGTTTTAGAAAGGCAAGTCTTCGGGAGAGATACTTGAGAATGAACTGCTTAAGACTAATTGTGTTCTAGTGACAAGTCTACCCGTTTTCTTCTACAATTGGCATTACTAGTCTTCGCGCTTTAAGAGACCTGCGTTATTCCTACACTTTGTCGTCTTAGATCGTCACATAAGTACCTTGATCAATCCCTTCATCATGACAATGCTCAAAGGCTTCGTATCAATTGGTCAATTGGGCCACAACGCCACCAGAAACGCCCGACGAGTCCAATTCCAGCCAGCCTTTCAGGCACCCGTCACTGCTGTGAAACAGAGGAGAGCTTTTCGCTCGCTTGAAGGCTTGCGGGCATCCGAAGAGCAGCCAAGAATGCATAACAGAAACGAACTAGATCCCCAGAGATCGGAGGGCACAAAGACCGGTACCGACAACGAAGTCGCAACCCACCACGCGGCCTACGATCCAAACACCACTTCCCCGGAGGGCGAAATCAATCAAGCTGAGAAGGAAAGCGAACAGGGAGGCAAAGTCAGCAATCCCTTGGACGTAAGTGCTGCGAACAAAGATGTCAGTGAAGCACGTGATCCGCAAGAAGGAGGGCCGGACCACAATGCGGAGAAGGAACCGAGTGGGAGAGGATCGCCGAGGAAGGGAAGAGAGGTGCACGTCGGAGGTAAAAAATAAGTGCAGTCGTAGGTTGAGGTAACTCAAGGCGCAAGGCGTGGCTGCCAGACTTGGCATGAATATACATTTGATCTTGTCACATAGGATTCGAGAGCAATTCTCTTACAGAACGCAAAGAACATCTAAGAGCAGATACCTTTTTGCAATTGTCAGGTCACCAATACGATACAAGAATAATAAAGAGAATATACCAAACAAATTATGCCTTCGATGTTGGTGCAGACCGAAGCTATTTCTTCCCCCGTATTTGATGATGTCACTGCCACCCAAAATCCATACTTTCTCGCTACCAGGAGGAACATCGCCGTCCAGAGCTTTGAGGCCTGCATTGACCGCTGCTCGGGCAATAACGTCTGCATCTTGAGCCCACCCATCTTTCAGTCCCGAGTGAACTTTCCCGGCAATGCCAGCAATGAACCGGAATGCTGCTTCCGCAGGTCGACTCTCCTGCCGTTGGCCGGATATCAGACCAGGGCGCAAAATCACCGTTCTCTCAAACCCCAGGGCCTTTACGTCTTCTTCAATCTCCCCTTTCATACGAGGATACGCGAAAGACGACGCCTTATTAGCCCCGCCAGATGAAATCAGGACATAGACTTTCGTACCGGCATCGCGCGCTGCGCGAGCCATTTCTACATTCAGACCATGCTCCACCTTGTACTGACTCTCGAATCCACCAGCAGCTGCACGAGTAGTGCCAAAGGCCGATATGAAGATGGATGGAGTTGGAGTGAGAGAAGAGAGCTGAGCAGCCCAACGAGATGTATCATCAGATACAAATGTGGTGAGTTTTGTCTGAGGTGCCGCAGCAGCAGCGGATGGAGTACGGCGGGAAATCGTATCCACCTGAGCTACAGCGGGATTTTCGAGAAGGCTAGTGAGGATGTGACTGCCCTAGGAGATTTGAACGTTGAGTGAAGGAGATTTGCAGGTGGCGGGGAGAGACCTTACCACCATCCCAGTTGCTCCTATCAATGCCACATTCGCCATGGTGTCCGGATATATACAATGCTATCGTTGGAATCAGAAAGCGTAGGTGTAATGTACGATATAGTACAAAAGTACCTCTGTATGTACAATGTGTCAAAACGTAATGGATATGGTTTGCAGGTATCACATTCCCCAAGCGCGATCGAATGACGTCGAATGGGGGGCGAGACACAGACGCGGTGTTTATACCTCAGGCACCATTAATAATGCACGTGCATTGATGTCTGACTAATGCGGGGAGGGTCCGAAGACGCAGGATCCTCCCCCAGTTTGCCTCTCTATCGATAACGCCGATAAGAAATTGCGTGATTGCCGCTAGCCGCTTTGGGCAAGGCCCTGGGACATTTTCTATACTCCGAATCCGTCCTCTTATTGCCATTCCCCCCCTCCTCAGCTTGCTGTGGTAATTCCTTCGTCTTTGTTTTTCTCTTGTCATCTGCGAGGTGTCGGCTGAGTGTGTTTGATACCCAGACAAGGAAATCTCAAGATGGGCTCTTCTTCACCATCTTTGTCTGCCCTCGGTGGCCCTACATATGTCACCGCCCAGACGTTGATCCAACAAGTCGCCTACATCCTCAGCGACAAAATCTTCTCCTATTCGCCTGAGAGTTTCGATCTGGACAATTCTCTGCGTGAATGGGCATCGCGCCAGGAAACCAATGCCAATGGCGAATCTACCGTCGTTAAGGCTATGGAGACCCGCCAGGGTGCCGGTAGCATCGCTCTCGGCTATCTCTTCTCTCAAGATTTTGATCTGAAGAAGCGCCATGTCCCTCAGGGTATCGTTGCTTCGTCGGCCACACTCCCCTACATGCGCTCAGCTCTGGAGCAGCTGTCTCTATTGTATTCAGTCGCTAGCCCTGTTGCGGCACACGTTGCCGCCGTCGATTACGCCGGTGAGGATGGTCTGGTCTCGGATTATGCTTCCGCGCTCTCTCTTGCTGAAGAGCTTGGCCTGGGTCTTGTTTCAAGTGCCTCCGTGCATGAGGCTCAGCATATGGCGCTGCTCACAACCCTCCTCGCTTCCGTTCTGCCATCTGTTCACATCTATGACGGTGTCCGCGTTGGCCGTGAGACCACCCGTGTCATTGATGTTTTGGACCAGGCGGGCGTTGCTCGTACCTACGAGGCCATTCGCAAGACCTTGGATGAGTCCCGTAACCGTCACCTTGACACCCAAGGGAAGGTTCTGGAGTTGTTCACTTCTCTGAACGGCGAACTTGGCACAGACTATGGTCTTTTCGAATACCACGGTCACGCCGAACCCGTTTCCGTTCTGGTTGCTTTCGGTACCGTCGAGGCGTCTCTCACTGCGCAGGTTGCTCGCTCGTTGGCAAAGGATGGTGTCCGCGTCGGTGTTGTCAATGTCCGTGTTTACCGTCCTTTCGTTGAGGAGGAATTCCTGCGTGTTCTCCCTCAGTCGACCAAGACTGTGGGTGTTCTTGGTCAGGTTACCAATGAGCAAGCTGTGCAAGAGCAAGGTGTTCGCTCTGCCCTTTACGAAGACGTGCTTGCGGCTTTGACCTTTGCCTCTGCTCGAGAACATGCGCCTACCTGCGTCGACATCAAATACCCACGCTCTCAGCGTTGGGACCTGATAAACACTGCCGCTGCCTTCCAACTCATCTTCGAAAAGCCCATTGTTCCGGCCAGCGGTGAAAGCGCGCCTCTTCAGCTTATCGACCCTGCTACCGTGCAGGAGTACACTTTCTGGGATGTTGACAGCTCTGTTTGCGAATCTGCTGCTGCTGTTCTTTCTGAGGCCCTTGCTGCTGATTCCGCTAGCAATGTCACAACATCCAAGTCTCACGACAACCTTATTCAGGGAGGAGCCGTCCGTATCGACATCCGCAAGAGCTCCAAGATTCTCGATACCCCCTATGCTATTACTGCTGCAGACACGACATACGTTGGAGATATCAAGCTTCTCGGGGATATCGACGTTGCCGCCTCCGTCAAGGACAAGGGCAAAGTCATTATCAACGCCCCTGGCGTCAAGGACGATGAGTTGGAAAAGAAACTACCCTTGGGCTTCAGACAGGCTGCTGCTCAGCGTGAAATTTCTCTCTACATCGTCGATCCATCGGCGGCCGGTGCCTCTGCTCCTGAATCCTCCATCCTCCAGTCAGCCTTCCTTAGAGTGGCACTTCCCTCTCAGGAAGGGGTCGGCCATAAGAAGCTTTCTTCTATCACCGGAGACTCCGAGGCTCTTGAGAATGTCACTAAAGACCTTGACAAGCTTCTCCGTCAGATTGAGATCCCTGAGGCTTGGAAGACCTCCGAAGAGGGAACTGAGGTTACTCAGCTTCCCAAGGATATCTCCATCAACAGCTTCGTTCCCTTCGACAAGGATGAATCGGAGCCAGCTCCTCTCCTCAATGATTGGCAGGCAGCGGCCAAGGGTCTCGCATTCAAGGAGGCTTATGGCACCAAGAAGGCTCTTCGTCCCGAAACGGCCACCAAGACTTTCACCGTTCACGTCAAGGAGAACAGACGCTTGACCCCTGTCACTTATGATCGAAACATCTTCCACATTGAGTTCGATCTTGGTGACTCTGGTCTCAAGTATGATATTGGCGAAGCCCTAGGTGTGCACGCTGAGAATGATCCCCAAGAAGTTTCGGAGTTCATCACATTCTATGGTCTCAACCCCGACGATGTTGTCGGTGTTCCCAGCCGCGAGGACCCCGCGGTCCTTGAGAACCGCACCGTCTACCAGGCTCTCGTCCAAAACGTCGACATTTTCGGCCGGCCGCCTAAGCGCTTTTATGAGGCCCTCGCAGAATTCGCCACCGACGAGAAGGAGAAGAAAGACCTTCTCACACTGGGTGGTCCTGAAGGTGCCGTGGAGTTCAAGCGCCGCGCCGAAGTTGACACCATCACTTTCGCCGATGTCCTGCTGGAGTACCCCTCAGCTCATCCTGACTTCCAGGACCTGATCCGCATCGTCGGCCCCCTGAAGCGACGCGAGTACTCCATTGCTTCCTGCCAGAAGGTGACGCCCAACTCGGTCGCTCTCATGATCGTTGCTGTCAACTGGGTTGATCCCCGTGGCCGCGACCGCTTTGGTCTCGCCACCCGGTACCTCAGCCGCCTCCAGCCCGGCACTCCGGTCACTGTCAGCGTCAAGTCCAGCGTGATGAAGTTGCCACCCAAGTCCACTCAGCCCCTCATCATGGCTGGTCTTGGAACTGGTCTTGCTCCCTTCCGTGCCTTCGTGCAGCACCGTGCCCTCGAGAAGGCACAGGGCAAGGAGATCGGTGCAGTGCTCTTGTACATGGGATCCCGTCACCAGCGCGAGGAATACTGCTACGGTGAAGAATGGGAGGCTTACCAGGAAGCTGGTGTCATCACTCTCCTTGGCCGTGCCTTCTCTCGTGATCAGCCTGAGAAGATTTACATCCAGGATCGCATGCGCGAGACTCTGCCTGAAATTATCGAAGCCTACATCCGGGAAGAGGGTGCCTTCTACCTTTGCGGTCCCACCTGGCCTGTTCCTGATGTGACTGCCGTGCTGGAGGAGGCTATTGCCACTGAGGCCAAGAACACAGGCAAGAAGGTCGACACCCGCAAGGAGATCGAGAAACTCAAGGATAAGGAGAGATATGTTCTTGAAGTGTACTAGATGGATTTCGTTCAGAGGAGGCTGTTGAGATTCCCGCTACGTTTCCGCCCACCGCTGCCATTGCATGATGTGACGACCCATTTGTCCCATTTCAGTTTAGCGCTTCCATCATGAGACTCAACGATAGACTTGGATTTGTTCGATGACAGTGCTTCAACTCATGTCATTTCCATAGAGAGTAATTGCATTCAAACGTGAATTGAATCGTTCATTCAGATTCCGGGGTATCTCCTCTATTCCTCTATACCTGCAATGTAGACTCAACTGATAGCGCAAGGCTCACGCCAACACCTTCTATCCCTAAGACAAAACGCGTATGCATGCAAGAGATAGGAAATGAGAAAAGTATTATAAACAATGAAAAATAAAATGGGCGTGGTTCCTCCAAAGACCCTACGCTCGTCCCACGGCTCCCAACTTCGTCTTACCATAAGCTCCACCTTTTTCTTTCCGTAGCTCCAATGCTCGCCGATAAGGCGGTGCCGTAGGTGGCTGGACAGGATCCAAATTGACATAGTCCGGGGGTAACGAGTATGAAGCATCAGAGTCCCAGGATGAAAGATCGCCACAGGCAATGAATGGAGGAATCCATCGGTTCTCGATGGCGAAACGCTGGGGCTTGTTCGCCAGGGACGGGATTGAAGATTGCGGATGAAGCATGCGGATTTGGGTTTGTTGGGTTGAATCGGATGCAGAAACCATCGCTGCTTCCGAAAGTGCGACTGTCTCTCTTGGTGATACAATATCCTCGTCGGGTACTTCGACTCCGATGTTGCCGTCCGCGGACACGGGCTGTGGTACCGCTGCACCGCCAAAGAGAGGGTTCTTCAATGCTTCCGTTCCGACCGAGCCGTCATGGATGGCTGGAGGAATAAAGCCCTCGCAGACCACGAAGGCTTCTAGACTGCTCGCGCGACTGCTTCTCGGTTTCGCAACACTCACTTTCTCAAATACCGTGCGGAGCTGTGCGTAGATGAGGTCGACGTCGCGGCCTCGGAAGATCTTGGCTACGAACTTGCCTCCTGGCCTTAAGACGCCCACTGCCAGGTTTAATGCGGAGTAGAGGAGCTGTGACTGAACGTAGATGTCCAGATCGTGCAAGCCGGTGACGTCCGGTGCACCATCCGAGATGACGAGATCAACAGGGTGGGGTTGTTGGATGGCCGAAGGGGTGGAGGAAGATGCCGATTCGTAAGCTTCAGGATCGAGAGCACGAAGGAGCAGAGGGATCGTAGACGGATGTGTGATGTCGGCTTGGAGCGTTGTGATACCTTCCAATGGCGCCATGGGTTGGAGGTCAATCGAGACGATTTTCACGTTCCTTCTGGGCTTCAACTGAGCACTTTCGTCGTTCCCTTCTTCTTCAGCTGCACCCTCACTTTCCGATCCATGATCGATTCTTCTCAAAGCCTCGCTCTCTTTTCGCTTTTTCTCGATCCACGCCCGCCGGCCAAAGCTCTCTCCCTTGATCAGGACTCGACTGAGGACTTGACTCCAACTTCCTGGAGCGGCGCAAAGGTCAACGACTCGTGTCACCTTCTCGGGGTTCTGATGTTCGAACAGATCAAATTGTTCATCAATCTGGATCAGTTTGAAGGCGGAACGGGCGCGCCAGTTTTGTTCCTTTGCGAGGCGGTAGTAGGCGTCACGCTTATCCTTGGAGGATTTGCCCATTTTCGCGAATTGATAACAAGTCCTCACAAGTACTGGGATTGCAAGGCAGTCTAGATGTATCAATTGCTGTCCACCTGGACCTCGGACAGAAATTCAATGTGGGGGAGATGAAGCGATAAGATTAATTAAAATCCGCGAAAAGGCGGGCCACTTTTCTGCCGCTTTTTTTCGTCTCCGCAAGTAAAAAAGATCATCACCGCTTCCATTGATTTGCGTCGCAAGCTACGATTCTTCCACTCAGCACCCTTCAGGTCGACACTAGACATCATGGGCCAAAAAAGGCAGCGCGACTCAAAAAGCTCGACCTTCCACGCTAAAAAGCGGAAGAAGGCCGAGAACGCGACGGCAGCTGATTCGGACGACGGCTGGGATGGTATCGTCGGCGCGGACGAGCTGAACTGGAAGGAAGTAGCTCTACCTGATCGTCTTGAGGATGCTGGAGGATTTTTTGGTCTGGAAGAAATCGAAGGTGTTGATATAGTGCGAGGTTCGGGCAATGGAGAGGTTAAATTCAAGGTACGCGGAAACACATGCTGACTTGTCGAAGAATGGTCCATTGACACACAATGACCCCAGGCCGTTGTTGGGAAACCGAAGAAGTCTATTTTGAAAAAGAAGGCGCCAGAGGATGAGAAACCCGAATACGATGAGGAGTGGTCAGGCTTCAGCGACGACGACGACGCGGACCGGCCAGAAAACGCTTCCTCACCCGCCGTAGAGAAACTTGAAAAGTCGGACACGAAGGCGGACAAGAAGAGCGAGAAGGAGGCCAAGGATGCAAAGAAGAAAGAATCTAAAGCTGCGAAGAAGGAACAGAAGGAGAAAGGTTCGGCAATTCAGCACGATACGAGCATTAATGCCGGCCTTTCGTTTGCCGCTCTTCAAGATACGGAAGAAGATGATGGAGCCGATGTCTCTGCTTGGGACTCGTTGGGTCTCTCTCCCGAGATACTCACTGGCCTGTCCAAGATGAAATTTGCCTCTCCGACATCAGTGCAGGAGGCTTGCATACCTCAGATATTGGAGGGACATGATGTTATTGGAAAGGCTTCTACAGGTTCCGGAAAGACGCTGGCATTCGGTATTCCCATCCTTGAACATTACCTGGAGAAGAAGCGCGATGATGTTAGTGCAGAGAAGGGAAAGAAGTCAGAAAAAGACTCGACTCCAATCGCTCTGATCCTGTCACCCACCAGAGAGCTTGCTCATCAGTTGTCGAAGCATATCGGGGAGCTGATCGCCCAAGCTCCGGGTATTAACGCACGCATTGCGCTTTTGACTGGTGGACTCTCGGTGCAAAAGCAGCAACGTCTACTGTCCGGAGCTGATATCGTGATCGGGACACCGGGTCGAGTGTGGGAAATTTTGAGCACTGGGCAAGGGTTGATTCGGAAGATGCAGCAGATCAAATTCCTTGTGGTCGACGAGGCCGATCGCCTTCTGAGTGAGGGTCACTTCAAAGAGGTTGAAGAGATTTTGAACGCTCTGGACCGTGTCGAGGATGGCGAGGTTCCTGATGGTGAGGATCAAACATCGGAAGAGGAATCTGATCCTAGCTCTGAAAGACAGACATTGGTCTTCTCCGCCACCTTCCACCGTGATCTGCAACAGAAGTTGGCTGGTAAAGGGAATTGGACCGGAGGAGATGTTATGGATAAGAAAGAATCCATGGACTACCTCCTGCAAAAGCTGAACTTCCGGGAGGAGAAGCCCAAGTTCATCGATATGAACCCCGTCTCGCAGATGGCTGACAACCTCAAAGAGGGGATTGTCGAATGTGGTGCCATGGAAAAAGTGAGTTTCGTTGAGCCTTCAGTAATGTTGAGCCCAAGGCTAATGACCTTTCAGGATCTCTTCCTCTATACACTACTTCTATACCATCCCAAACACCGGACACTCGTCTTCACCAACTCGATCTCTGCCGTCCGTCGTCTCACTAAACTCCTTCAGACTCTCCAACTCCCAGCCCTGGCCCTTCATTCATCTATGGCCCAAAAGGCACGACTTCGCTCGGTCGAACGTTTCTCTTCACCCTCATCCGATCCCTGCACCATCCTAATCGCCACTGATGTAGCGGCCCGCGGTCTCGACATCAAAGGCATAGACCTCGTCATCCATTACCATGCCCCCGAACAGCAGATGCCTACGTTCACCGCTCCGGCCGTACAGCTCGTGCTGGCGCATCCGGTAAGAGCGTCATTATCTGCGGACCCGACGAGATGATCGGTGTCGTCCGTCTCGCTGCCAAGGTGCATGCGAAGACAGCGAATAGCAAAAAGCTGCCGCTGGAATCATTGGAGCTGGACCGTCGCGTCGTGTCACGCGTCAAACCCCGTGTTAGCCTCGCCAGCCGCATCACGGATTCTAATATAGCCAAGGAGAAGATCTCAGCAGAGGACAATTGGCTGCGCAACGCCGCGGAGGACCTGGGCGTTGAGTACGACAGCGAGGAGTTCGACGAATCCAACGGCAAAGGGCGTGGTCGCGGCCGTGGTCGTCAGCAGAAGCAAAAGGAGGTAGGGAGCGTTAGTAAGGCTGAGCTGACGGGGTTGCGAGCGGAGTTGAAGCAGCTGCTTTCCCAGCGGGTGAATGTGGGCGTTAGCGAGCGGTATCTGACTGCTGGGCGTGTGGATATCGAAGCATTGCTCCGTGGGGAAGGCAATTCTTCATTCCTGGGGCCTGTCGATCCACTGAACTTTTAAGCTGTATTTATATACCATATCAAAGATTATTGCCTTGAACCATCGCATTTGATTTCAGTCTCGATAATTGGGCGTTCTTCAAGAACCGCTGTGGTAGCATACGTGGACAAACAACGCCGCATCCATCATAAGCCTCTCTACCTTTACAATATCACCATTTTCCACCAGATATCAAACAGACAAAGTTTCGTAATCGTCATCCTAACAAGACTCCCCTCGACGCTTACGCGAATCCTTACAACCGGTTCAGCCTGCATCTCCGACAAGCTCGAATCCCACACTGTCCACATTGCAAGATATAGTTCGGAAGATGATCATTGCACTCCTCGCACTGATGAGCCCCTGGAATGCGCGGCCAGAACTCTTCGTGATCACACTCATGTCGTTCAAGTAACTGCTGTACCATCTGCTGTACCTGCTGTGGTCTCGCGGGCTGAGCAGGTTGAGCCGGGTCCCTGCCGCGGTCAACGAGACAGCGGGCTCGATCAATCAATCTGTTCTCGTCCCACAGCTGGCATCGGTACTGCCGCCATTTGGTACCGCACGTGTAGCAGAATTCAGCACCGCAGCGACAGCTGAACGATATACGATTAGAGTCGAACTTCGCATGAAGATGAATGATAAACTTACGTGATGTGATTGCAACCTGTTCCAAGCTCAATCATATTTCTGCACTGAAAGCAACGCCGCCAACCCTCGCGCTCGGCAAGCTGTAGGAGCTCTTCGTCTTCGTCGGGGCAGTCACCCTCGTGCGCGGGCTTCTTGCACCGCATGCACGTTCTGGAGGAGCAATGACTGCATGTGCCGATATAGGAAGACACTGAGTCCGGAAAGATGTATTTGGAGCACGAGGGATTTGAGCAGTAGGTACGATGCGGGTCGCTGAACTCGATGGCCTTCTCCTCGAATTGCTGGCTCTGGGCCAAACCGAGGAATCCACTGACAAGAGAGAGTGGGATCTCCTTTCTGCAGCAACGAGGCGGGAACAGTGTCTCGTCTGTCATAGAATCTTGAAAAAGTCTTACCGCACAGACTCTGCAATATGTATGGTGACAGGGAGCTGGGATTATATCTGCCGACGGAACAAGTCCTGAGCACACAGCACACTCATACAAAGGCTCCTCATCGGAAGGGCCAGCGAGGCAACAACGCTTAGGGTTCCTGGAGCTCTCAGCTTCCGCGTGCTGACCAGCGACTCTCGGAGGGAAGAAGTTGAAATCGGTGTCTGCAAGCGTCAAATCAATGAAGTCCTTCATTTTGTCTTCAGAAAGCTGGACCGCAACTGATTGATCGTGAGCCTGTGGAGGGGGTACAGGCTGTCCAGACAGTTCGAGAGCGAGTCTATGATCGTCAGAGGCGCGGAGCTCTTCCTGTCTTGCGGTGGTGACAGCTACGCCATCATCGACCACAGCTCGGGCAATGCTTCTCGCAAGTCGTTCATCCTCGAGAGATCGGTTGTAATTGTCTACTTCCTCTTGCCAGAGGAGGAGGGCAATTTCTTCGTCCGACAATTGTCCAGCGGGCTGTTTGCCCTTGCTGCGGTTCATGGTATCGTTTATGTCCTCGCGTAAGATGTCGAGAATTGCTGCGGAACTAGCTGCATCCATGCTTGGGTGATGATATAGGTACTGAGGTGTATAATAGACTTGGAGATGGAAAAAGGGAATCGAAGCTCGAGGAGTCTAGGATGGATGAAGAAGGGGAAGAGAGGGTAGGTGAGATGAAGCGTTGAGGTGAGAGAAGGTGGGAGAAGACCGAGCAGAGAGCAGAGGTTTTGTCATTCCCTGAGAGCAGCACATGATTTCCAGCTAGACGACACAGTCGCCTGAGATCTCCTCTTATGTCATTTGCACTTTGTCTTCGAAAGTTAGTATACATGGAACTAGGTGACTCTAACAGTCTTTAAATCAGTCAATGCCTTATCAAGTCCACTTTACCAGTATAGAGAGAACTCACAGGCTCCCAGCTGGATTCTCTATAGCTTTGGCACATCAATACTTTCTCAAGTTTTCGTCTACTTACTCTGACAGTTCCTCCTTGTAGCCCTTGACTGACAGTTAATGCAGCCTGTTCACCTTTCCTATAAATCCTAGAGCACTAAAGAAGTGCTAAATAGTTCTTGCTAACCTCGTACCCTTACTTTGCTCTCATTCCCACTTAACAGAACTACATCCATTTCTTGTATGGCTTCGGCATGTAAGGTCATATAACCAATATGTGATTCTATGTCAAGTTGTGTTGATCCTATCATATCCATCACTTCTCAGTTCGTGTTACAGAAATGCACTAGAGGGACGACTAGTATGAGCCTAATCTCACTTTCACATAACCTAAACAGTATCATTCTACAGCCTGTCAAACATTGATCAAGTTCATCATCGTAATATCTCACAAACCCTCAATGTTCCCAGGCTAGGTTATGTGCAAGATATATGGAGTATATATTCGCGCTAATCCCGCCTCGGCAAACCGATATCAAGAGCCAAACTCTCGGCATGCCGGTTATCTTATCTAAGTTATCTCCCAATGTGTTCTCGTTCTTTCGATTTAACCGTTAGTTTACCCACCTTCGGGGTTCATCCGCCAATCTCTTTCGAGAATTGCTGCAAATTTGATCCCGATGACGGCACTTCTTTTCGGCTGGTGGTCACGGCCTGAGCCCGAGTCTTGCAGCTAGTTTTTTTTGTAAATTCTGGATCTGGATCTTGGAGTTTGGTTTCATTTTGTGATTCTGTGGTTTTTGCTGGTGTTTTATTCTGCAGCGGAGAATTTACAGACTGCACTAGACGTATTTTCTGAGCTCGTGGTGAGTCTTATCTATCTAGCATTTGTTGATATGATCCCTGTTCCGATTGCGGGCCGGGGGTCAGTCGTTGAAGAAAGCTGCGACAAAGGAAGTACGCGAACTGGTTACTGACCTGGCCATTCTATTCAAGGTCCAACCAGGCACACCACTGAGAATATAAATTCGGCATAGAACCACCATGTCGTGGCTAACAAGGCCCTCCCGCTGCCTGAGCAGGGTCAACCCAACGACCAGACTTGTCGTTCCCGTATCTACATGCCGCTCCTCTCAACGCTGCATCCAAGGCGCATCAGCCGTCGCTCAAGATCACCACTCGAGTCACACATCTTTCACCGTTGACGATGGCTCCTCCTCATTTCTCCCCAATCACACAGCATCAGCGGCGCAGCGTCCCCGCCCTCAAACCAATCCTATCGACGATCTAATCTCCCAAACACCCATCGTACAAGCCCTCCGTCGCGACCCCGCCTACACCGAATCCCGTCCCCATCTCGCAATGAACCCCAGCCTTCGCCCGAACCACTTCGTCGCAGGCCCGAACTCTGGCCCAGGCAAGATCACCGTCCCGCCCTATGTCTGGATGGCGAAGAACCCGCGCACCGCCGCAGGAGCGACGACCAGCCGCATGGTGTCGGTGTTCCATATCGGAGCGCAGCTCTGCGGTCATCCGGGGTTCGTGCACGGCGGTCTGCTGACGGTGATGTTCGACGAGGCGTTTGCGCGCTGCGTTTCGACATCGTTTCGCAGTGGGCTGGGCATGACGGCCAACCTGAACGTGGATTTCCGGAAACCCGCGCTGCCGGACCGGCTGTATGTGCTTCGGGCGGAGACGGTCAAGGTCGAAGGCCGGAAGGCGTGGGTCGAGGGGACGTTAACCTCGTTGCCGCCTGTGGGCGACACGAGTGAGCCGGTTATGGTCGCCGAGGGCAAGGCTTTGTTCGTAGAACCGAAATTCGCAGAGGTATGTTGCGACGATAAGTTCCCACATGGATGATTGCCGGACTGACTCGGCCAATTAATTAGTCCATGGTCCCCTTGTACAGAGCCTGAAACTACACATCGCTGGTTGCAAAAGCCTACGCGCACCCCTGTTTTCCCCGCCGTCAATGATAGAAGGTTCCGTTCCGTATTAATAGAATTATAGACAAGGATAGAGTAGATAGACTTGGCATTAGCATAATAGAAATTTAATGAACACAATAAAATCAACATAAGACCAGATAATTCCATTTCTATCTAGCTGATATTTCTGAAACCGAGAACCCTCTGGACTCCTTACCAAGCTGGAATATCAACAAGCAGAAACAACAATTGCAAATTTGATAAATTCAAAGACGACAGAGCCGAAGTAACAGAATGAATGATGCCCGTCGGTCGTCACGAGAATACATCGCCAAGGGGTATGATGCTGTCACTAGATACCGTACCAATATGCTGACCGAAAACGCTCTTCTCTTTTTCTTCAATTGCTTCATTAGTTTTTCCTTGATTTTTGATTGTAGATGACGTTAACTGTGTGATGCCCCATGTCACGGGAGGAGCCATGGAGGCGAACGAGTTTTAAGAGGCCAAAGCAGGATGATCGACAGTGACCGAATCTAGGACAGGTGGAAGGCACCCTGACCCTCTCGAATAGCAACGGACAGCCGCTCTCGAAGAACCTCCAGGCTGCTGTAGTCTGGCAGTTTGAGGTAGTTCACACACGTCATGACGCTGGGAAGGTAGTCATCGGGAGTGTAAGGAGGTTCACTGGGACGACAGACAACAGTGAAGATAGGGGTGAGACTCTTGAAACCTGGAAAAGGAATAGAAAATTAGTCACTATTGTTCAGCTCAAAACAAAGAGAGAAGATGCAATTTACCTCCAATAGGAAGCTTCGGGCTGCCGGTGACAAATTGGAGGAAATCGCGCCGTTGCTGGGTATCTAAGTCGCTCATAGTCTGCAGTAAGTTTCGAACGCTCTTACTGTCCATATTAAATCCATGATCGGCCTTGATTGAGTCCATGAGAGCTAAAGACAGATGTTAGTAAACAGCTTCTCGGTATTCAAATACAGAAGGTAAGCTCACTCTCAATAGTCCAATCTTCTTCCGCTCTTCCGAACAGCATGACGAGCTCATTGGGGGTGAAAGTCCGAAGCGCAGAGTACGGGAAGACCTGCGAGAACCCAGTCCGGAACGCTTCCACTTGACGTTGCACGCCGCTACC